ATTTTATTTTTGTTCACAGCGCCTTGATGCTTTTTTTTTTTTTTTTCTTGTAGAATCAGAGAGACATAATGCCTTAAATTATAACGGACCATTGGTGGAAAACACCGATAACATTGTCCTTTGATGCATTATTTGTTCTTAGTTTAGTAATCCTTAATTATTTTCGTGAGAAAAAAAGGATACATATTTAAGAATGGAAAGATTATTGCGTTCAATTTCTTAAATCAGAATTCAGCATCACGTTGGTTTTTATATTTTTAAAATTATTATTTTTTTCATATAACAGAATATTGGAGCTTCAACAAACTATTGCTATGTTTTTTTTTATTATTTTTTGTTGAGTTATAAACATTTCACGCAACCGTGGCTTGCTTCCTTTATTGGGAAGTTGGCTTAACTCTTTTCTCTTTTTTTTTTTCCCTGTACCAAAATGACTTTTTTCCCCTTGTAACCTTGTTGTTGTCGGAATTTTGCTTCTTTTTTTTATTTATTTTTTTTGGCCCAAGGTCTGGAATCTAATTCCTCCATTCTTTTTTAGTTACCGATTGTAGACTTTTATATGTCCGTAAGAATAAACTGTTAGTCATTTTACCGATTAAAATTTAGTACTCCTTCTGTCCCAAAATTATTATCCGGTTTGAGATTTCACTTTTAATACAATTTGAACTAAAAATAAAAACTTTAACTGGATAATAATTATGGAACGGAGAAAGTAACTATTTTTACTATAGATTAATCAATATAGTGGAGTCAAGCTAAGCTATACTATGTTACGTGCTCCAACTGTTATGCCGGATAAATTCCTTTCTCATCATGATACTAAAGTGTTGATTTTCAAAGTTTAACAAAGTAAGACAAACTATGTATATGCATTCTGTACCAATTTCAAAACTTCAGATATGAAGTAAATCACGAGTTTTGACTTTTCCTCTCGTCATGTTTCCTTTTCTTCCCCCCACCCCCCCTTTTTTTTTTCATGAAAACAGAAATATTGTGAGCCTCTACTCCAACAAGTCAATTCATAAATGAGTTGGACCAAAAAGAAGGGAAAAAAATGAAAACCCTGGGAAAAGCCAACATGGAACATCATTAATACAAAAGAGAGGCTGGTCAAAAGTCTTTGGGTCAATATGACGCTTCAATACATCAGTTTTAATGGGTGATTATGTACCGTTTTCGTTGATGTTAGCACTTGTTTTCAACGCTAGCTAATTGATGCGTGGTCCTATAAATGATTGTTCAACTCAAAAGTTCTGGAACTAAAAAGGTTGTGGTGGAGCAGTAAAGACTTTTTTACCATGAAAAATATGGCGAGAATTCGAACTTTGTCTTGGGCATAAAATAACTTTAAATCTTTTTGCCAGTTCATTCACCCATCGAGTTGCTTACTGCTCTACCGTGAGCGAGGGAATTATTCACTAGTATCGATGGCGGACACCCAATATGCATAAAAAAAAAATAGAAAAATCAAAAGGTCTGGTTAGCTCTATTTTGTTTGAGTTTCTTTCTTGAACAGGAATTTGCAATGCTAGTTTGTGATAGTTCGATTTGGCTGACATCCTACGGACTTGCATTGCGATGCATTAATTCTTGAGTTGTTCCTCTGGCACTTGGGACATCGGATCTTCTGTCACACCCATATTTATAATTATTTTACAGTTCATCTGCGAGTTGTATGGCTTAAGCGATCACATGAGAATTGAAATTTACCCTTTAATACAAGGTTTACAATAATGTTAATTGCTATTATACTAATACTTTGTTAATTTCTATTCCTCTGTATAGAAGAGGCTAGTGGGAAATTACAATTACTTTTCCAGGAGTAACTTAGTAAATACACTGTTTGGTGAAACATAGTTCTACCGAAAATATCTCCTTAACAATGTCATACTCCTTTCGTTTTATTTTTTGAAAAATAGTACACATTTAATTTGCGACTTGTACTAAAAGAGTACAAAAAATAAACTACGATGGACTATTTTTTGAAATAGTATTATTTTTAATCATCACTAGCTTTTATTTGGATGCATGGTTGAAAACAATGGGGGAATTTTTCTTACTAGATGTTCCTGATAAACAAAAAATAAATGTCTTACAGTAAAGAGACCACAAAAATCATGTAATCTATGTCTTATATAAATAAGTTCCCTCGTATTTTCCTGTCCAAAAAATATGGTTTACATTTGACTTTTAAAATTTTTGTAAAAATAATATAAACTAGGTTTTGGACCCGTGCGAACGCACGGGTATGAAATTAGATAAAAGTTTTTTTTTTCTCTTTATACATAATGAAGGTATGAAATTAGATAAAAGTATTGTTTTCCTTTATAGAAAATGAATTTTGATGCAAGAGAACATGTCATGTTAGTATTGTCCTATTCATAAATGGTATAAAAAATAATACCTCCTCCTCAACCCCCCAAAAAAAAAAAAAAAAAAGAAAATCATAACAATAGCTTAATCATACCATGATGTAAGTTAAAGATGCCTTATCTTGCAAACATTTGTTACATTGAATTTCTCAATTTTTATGGGTTAATAAAATTATGAAAATCCTAAACATCTAACTTGATATCAATAATCATAAAATCAAAAGATGATCAGGAAGAACTTTTTACAAAAGTACACGTAAAAGATGACAAAGTATTAAGAACCTTACATATGAGTTTAGGATACTCAGAATTTACTAATCACATAAAACATGTTACTCTGAATCCTCCAACCTTCTAAAACGATTTGATTAAAGCGGTACACAGTATTTGTGATTTAATCCTATGTTACTTTCCTCTATTGAATGTGTGGGATGAACAGTTTTTTGTTAACAGTATTATTGTTCGGATGCACATGGAGGAACCTCTAGAGTCATTCTGTAGTAGCAAAGCAATACAATTCAACAATTTCCATACCTGCAATAAAACAAATTAAGGACCAAAGTTAGAGTGGTAAAAGGTTGCATATATTTTCTATTTGTTCAATTCCGGCCTACCAATTAAGTGCATCTTCGGATATTAAAGGATTGGATTTTATGATGCGGCCATTCTTTTCACCGCTCGCAGCCTTCGCCTGTGAAGATAAAAATTCTGTCACGAATGAAGATCGCGTTAAGGATTTGAGTCTTCTTTTCATCTTGCGGCATCGCTACCCTTCTCTGTATGAACTGAATTTTGAATCTCTCTGAATTGATGAAGGATAAGGAGATGGAGGTTTTTTTTTTGTTTGGGAAATATTTAATTTTGTTTTTCATTGTTCCGAGTGTGACTTTTTAGTTTGAAGATGAAGTTGATTTGAAAACTGGATCACGTGTAACCGAAGTGGGTTGATTTTAGGATGTGAATGAGGAGTTTTGGAGGAGTTTAGTAACCACTCTTAGTCTTTGATGATGATTAAAACTACGTGCCTTTAATTTTTGCCATTATTTAATTAATGTAATTAAATTAATTACCATGATTTACTTCTAGTTTTGGGAATGTAATCGTGGTTCAGTGTAAGTGCTGAAGTAATGACTATAAATACAGTTTTTATTTATTTATTTATTTTTGGATAATTTAAACATGAGATTTTTTGTCTTTGAGTGGGGAGATGTTATCTAATTATCTTTTGTCTTAGAGTAATCCGTTTTTAGATTTTTTATTTATTTTTTTGGGAATTTGGGTGAGGAGACTTTTAAAGAAATATGGACACTTAGAAGTTTGGGAAAAAAGTAATTTTTGTTATAGTGGAGGTTAGTATAGATAGATTTTAAAACTCAGTGTAAACTATTTACAAATATTAAAACTCTGCGTGGATTATTTTTTGGGATAGTACATTATAAATTTCACACAATTTATGATTTTGGGCTAAGATAAATTCAAGCCATGATAACATATACTCCCTCCGTCCCATAATTATTGTTCACTTTGCCCAAAAAATTTTGTCCCAAAATTATTGTCCAATTTGACTTTTTATGGATTAAATTAAATATTTGCCCTGCTAAATACCTGTTTTTTTTTCACAATCGCAGAACAGAGCATCATCCTGTGATCAAAAACAGCACAAATATTTGGAGTGGCTTGACCAACAACCCAGCAAATCGGTTCTTTTTGTTTCCTTTGGGTCCAACACTTTGTTATCCGATGAACAAATTGAGGAGATTGATGTCGGAGTGAGAAACAACAACCAACGATTCATCTGGGTCTTAAGGTGTGCTGACAGGGAGATGTTTTCGCCGCCGAGGAAGTGAGCCGCCGGCATGGACCTTGATTGCGGCACCGTACGAAGAAGGAATATTGAATGATGGAAGGGGATTGATTGTGAGGGATTGGACACCTCAATTAGAGATCTTGCGGCATCAATCGACGGGCGGATTTTATGAGTTATTATGGATGGAATGAGAATCAGTTTTGGGGTGCCCATGGCAACATCGCCGATGCATTCCGACCAGCCAATTAATGTTATTCTTTTGACGAAGATTCTCAAGATTTGGTTTCATGGTGGGTAAATGTAGCCACGAAGGGGAATCGATTAAAGCGGATGTAGTCAAAAAGGTTGTTCGGACATTAATGGAGTCGCTCCGGTCAGATCTGAAGCGGAGGAATGAGCTGCCGATGAGGATTGAGATGCAGATCAAAATGAAGGCGAGTGTAGAAGCTCAACAGCAAGGAAGTTGGAATCAAAATCGTGTGTTTGTCGATTAAACAATTAAGTAGGCAGGGGTATATCCGGTAGTTTGAGCCCAAATATAATTAAATTTGATTAAAAATGAAATCTTCCAATTTAGCTAAACTGGACAAAAATTATGGGACGGAGGGAGTACAATTTTATTTTTAGAAATAAATACAAGAATTTGGATTCACTTAGAATCTGTAATCTCATAGTAAACAATGTACACAGAATTTCTTTCAAAAAAAATAAGAAAAAAGAAAAAGACGACAATTACACATTTTCAACCAAAAAGACTAATAAACATTTTCAACAGAATGTAATGGGAGAGATGGTTTTTGCACTTGTCTTCATTTAATTTATCCCTTCTTTTTTCTTTTCTTTTTTTCTAGTTAATTTAGAAACTATTTATATCCAATTTATACAATCAACCCAAGGCCCATTAAGGAAGATAACGGGCTCATCTAGTTGATACCCAAAGCTGCTTAAATATTTTATTTTGGTTCAACATCACACCCTATAAATAGGGCAGGAGTACATATTCATTGAATCCACTTCCCCACATCTGCGATTTTAGTTGGATTTTTCCCAGGTTAAAACTTGAACAATGGAAGTTAGGCCAGCAAAAGGAACCAACACTCTTGCTTTAATCTTCAAAGGAGGGATAATAGTAGCTGCAGATTCTCGCACAAGCAATAACGGCTCCGTCAAGAAAATTACTGAAATCAATCAGTACATGTTGGCTACCATGGCTGAGGAGGTTGGCGCCAATGGCCAGTTTTGGCTTAGGGATTTGGGAAGCAAGTGCCACAAACATGACTTTGCGAACAAGCGAAGAATTTCAGTTGCAGGGGCATTAAAGCTGCTGTCCAACATTATGCTCTATTCCTACCATGGCGGGAAGGGTTTAACGGTTCAATCTATGATCGCCGGGTGGGACGAGAAGGGTGGTGCTGCCCTGTATTATGTGGACAGCGAGGGGGGACTGCATGAAGAAAACAGATTCTGTGTTGAATCTGGTTCGCAATGTGCTTATACTGTCTTGGAGGGCCAGTACCGTTATAATATGTCCCTTGCTGAAGCTGCAGAGTTGGCCAGACAAGCAATCTACCACTCCAACTCCAAATTCCGCAATGGTGCTACTGGTGCTGCCGGTGCTGCCGGTGCTAGTGTTTACCATGTTGGACCTGAAGGGTGGAAGAACCTCTCCGGTGATGATGTGGGAGAGTTGGGTAGCCAGTACTTACCAGTTGAGACGACTACAAAACACGAAATGGCTGATGCAGTAGCTTTCTCACGAGAGAAATAGTACTAGTTGCCTTTTATCTGTTTTATCACTTCTATTTTAATGCAACATTTCCGCTAACATTCTCAAATTGTTTTAACACAAAATGTAAGGAAGAAACGATGTGCCTAAAAACGCCATACACTGAAACATATATCACAAGAAGGCTATTAAAATATTCCACCATCAAAGCTTAAGTTAATGGATGTTCTTCTGTACAAGATACTGTTTGTTCTACTTTTGTACTTAAAAAAAAGTAACCCAATGGAACTCAAACAAGAAAACCTTTAATCTCTGCTGACAAAGATTTCTTCCCCAGCATGAAGCCATGTATCTGATTTGTTTCTCGTGCTACTATCCTCATACCTTAGCAATATACCAAATAATATCTTGCCCTGTTGAAAACAGAAAAATCCACCCAAATCAAATCATAAACCTACCCACTAAATGCATGTTAGTTTGTTAAAATAACGACAGTTTAAGAGATACAAACCTTCACTCTCCGATATGTAGCTAAAGTTGACAATGGCTCACTTGACCTTTGCACCTTCCCAGCTTGGAAACTCAAATTAATCATTTGGCAACGGTTGCATCCACCCATTGACTGCAAGAAACTTCGGTCATAATATAATCTGGAACTGGAAGGCTTTAGTTTTTAGAAACAATTGACTACATAAGCAAGCAAGCTGAATTGCTAACATGCAGAAAAACAAAGTGCGAAACTAAGACCCAATGTCATAATATTTTTCAGATTTCTTATATAGTCCACAACATGAAATGACAAAGTTTCATGTTGCGCTCAACCATAATGCATCTCTCCCCCTTATTCTGAGGGTTAGACTAGAAACTACAACCTTGATAACTAACTGTCATCAGGAAAGCTTGTGGCCCACTCATACAGGTCAGCAGTCAGTCAAGCGACAACTAGACAATCACTAAGCCCAGAAGCTGAAACTTACTGTGAAATCTTTGTTTCCAATCCTAAGACTTCTCCATTGATCTTCTGCATACGGTTCTCCTCCAGATACTATAAGGTTGGGACGAAACCTTTTTGCATCGATTTGAATTCGCTGCCCTTGTAAGCCCTTCTGTGGACCTAAGGAAATATAAGGAAAATGTTTCAGAGCTTAAAAGGGTTTTCTTTTCCATTTGCATTTCCAACATCTCTCATTTTGTAACAATATAAACACAAGGCCAACTCTTTTCAAGAAGCAACAGGAAAGGATTTGAATATAACGTTCCATACTTGATCTTAATCTGTTGTTCAGGTTGCTGACACTTTCCTCAGAGATGAGCAAAAACTGCCCTTCATTCGCAAAATTCATTTTGGTTACATAATCTCCACACAGCTTTCCGCTAGCGCAACCATATGTCTGCGGCCTTAAGCTCCTTACTAAAGTACAAGGTCTACCAATGGCATTACTAAACCAGATGTCAACCTCATTGTGGTAACCCAGAACTTCAAACCTGTTGAGCAAGGAAAGTATTTTAAAAAACAAAAACCAAGTAAATCTTGACTACAATTAATAACAAAAACAAGGTTACAATAGCTACAACATTTATTCAGTCTTGACTGCTTAAATCTCAAAAAGTATGACAAAGCTCCAGATCAGGAACTATTCCTGAGCCTAGTGCGTGGAACACCATATTAAAGCTCTTCAGAAAATGTAAGGAAGTTATATAAGAATGTAGGCTGCAACCTTTGAGTACGTATGTCCACTTCATCTTTCCTGGGTAAAAATAAATCTGATCTCAATTCAATCTGCAACTTGTCCTTGCAACGTGGTGAATTCACGAACATTATTCCCATATTCAGGTCGATAAACGTGGTAATATAGCACATATCCGGAACCTAAATCATGATTACATTTAATTCAGAAATCTAATGCATAATAAGACATTAATGAAACTTCTACACACAACAATGAAGGAAAACATATCAATTAGAGGCTGAAAATTAGAAAACCTTTCTATCATACTTCAGATGGGAATATTGGTTATACTTTCATCCAGTTGTTATCATGATAGTAATAAAATACCTTCTTTTGTGTCAGAATTTCACCGCTAGGGCTCTTGAGAAGCCACTCTCGATCATGTAGCAGCCCTGATAAGCATAGTAGGTAGTGAGCTGTTTTGAATTTTTCTGTCAACGCTGGAATATTGGAACAAATATTTGAAACTTGGAAACTAGAACCCAGTTCTTATAATTACAACTAGCTGTTTACCGTAAAAACCAGTATGTTTTCTAAGCATCAAGTTACTGACAAATAAAGACAATAATAACAATAAAACTAGGGATTATAGTTGGGAAACAGTTCAAAAAAATACCAGTACTTGTAAGGGGCCAACTGTCCACACTGAAACCCATGCAGGACTTTATGGGATAGATGGAAATGGATTTGAGAAAGTATCTTTCATCCACTCTACCGTTTCCTGCAATTTGAAAAACAAATGAATTCTAAGCAGGAACAACAGTTGCGTTGTGTCAATATTTAAAGAGTTTCAGGTTCTTTCACTTGAATAGCACCAACAACGAGCCCCTGATACATCCACAAAAAGAAATCAGCAGAATGACAGACATACCTTCAACAACAGGAAAGATTGGTCTTGCTTCGAATAAATTGGTGCTTGGAGCTTGAGTTTGAGGATGTAACACAAATGAATGATCAATGAAGCTCAAAAATTTCTGCAGGACAAGTTTTATAAATTATAAAAACGAAGAAAAGCAGATGACAAGAATAGCAGCCAATTATCAATAAATTAAAAAACGAAGAAAAGCAGATGACAAGAATAGCAGCCAATTATCAATAAATTAAAAAACGAAGAAAAGCAGATGACAAGAATAGCAGCCAATTATCATTATTGGTATGACTATTTAACAAAGTCATTCTATGTAATACCTTGGCATCTTCAAAAGTAGACATGTAACCAAATGATACTCTAACAGCCCCAGTCGGTTTCCCATTTAACAAATCATGATCATCCCAACAAACATGCCCAGCCTGCATATGCAAAAAAAAGCTTATATATTATGTACAAGTCAGATTACCAAAACGAGGATTGATGGGCAAAAATAATTACCTCCAAGTTAGTAAGAAGATCCGAGTGAGACAAACCCAGATTTTTTGCACATGCACCAGGATTGCAAAAACACCCTGTCTAACGACAGCACCAATGAGTAAACATAGTATCAGACAACCAACTACAGGAGCAAATTACCAGAATTTGGCAGCAACATGAAAAATATCAAAAGTTGATCATAAAATAGCATTGAGCTATATACCATTTTTCATTTGATACCATTATCAGAGCTCTATAATTCAAGATGCGAGAGTAAATTTAGCCAACATGTGTTCAATGATCATGAGGCACTGAAATTTTTTTCTTGATTCTTACCCGTAACTGGATCCGAGAAAGTGATGCAAGTTTTTCTACCTCACGATAGCCAAACCAAGAGCCATCTGGCCTCTTCAAATTGAATGAAATAGTAGGACCCATCCTTTCAAAAGGAACCTGGAAACGGATTCGATATAGATTAAGCTGAAATATCCACGAAGGCTTGAAATTTGTTGGAAGCAGCTGAATTGAAATGAACCTTATCTGTCCCATAAAGTGCACAAACATGATTTCGGTTTTCATGCCTCATAGCTGAAAGTGCTTTTCTCACATATGTTGCCAGAGAGGTTGTATGCCTTGACAACCAGACAAGAATAGACGATATCAGAGCACAGATTGCAAAGAAGATTGGATCTTTGGTTCACATTTCATTTACAAGACCAAGATAATAACTCCAGACATACCTGTTTACAGCAGAAGTGGTCAACGTGCTTAGTATTCTGAACCCGTGGAGGATTGAGGCTATGCTTAAATAAGATAGAGTGCCATCCTCAAAAAATTCCTCAATTCCTTCTCTTCTTTTCACAAAGTCAATGTCAGCAATGGATGCAGCCACAGTACCTAAAACATGCCAGTGTTACGAATCAATATAAGCTATTGAGTATAAAAGCATTAGAAATCAGATGTTGATTCAAACCTCCGCTGAAGTAAGTCTTCTTCAACAGCTTTGCAGCTTCTGTAGGAATTCAGAGCATGGAAGACAGAAGGGAGGAAAAAGAGGTCAGTTAGTTTTCTTCAGTCTTACAAGCAAGAAAAAAGAGCTTGAAAATCAGTTCAAATCAATGCAAGTACCAAATAAAATCTGAAACAATAACGGTTCTCCGCGACACCCCCACCCCCACATACTCCATCCAAGGGAAAAACAGTGGCTAAGGAGTAGACAAAAATATGAACTTTATAAAACCCAGCTATTACCATTTCGCACAATGAGAGCTCCAAGACCAGTTGGATAGCCAAATATCTGGACAAGAAGGACATAAGCAAATTAAGTCCCAAATGTAGAAGAAACACAGCTTGCACCTCAGATGAGCAACAGATACCTTGTAAAATGAGATGGCAACAAAGTCTGCTTTATACTTGGATAAATCTGGTGGATCTGTGGCACATCCCTTTGCTGCATCAATCAAAACCATCCATGACCCTCTGTTACATAAAAGAGAAAAAAGAAGCCGAAATAGATTATAGCAACATTTCTTAGCAGTTTTGTTGCAAAATCAAAACTCTAAGGTACCCTTTTTCTTGTGAGCATTTCAACCTGAGAGTGGGGGAGGCTTCCAAGAGTTTGTGAGAATCTTCCTTAATAAACTTTACTAAGTCTAGGTTGAATCTCAGACCAGAAAAGTTGCATTCAGACGGAAACGCAAATAGGTTGTATACCTCACCTGCACCGGAGAACAAAAAAAAAGCGCCATAACCCATCATGATTACATATTTGTAAATTAAGCTACTCAAAACATGATATTAACAAACTTATCATGCAGAGAAATGTTCGGTGACAGGTAATATTAAGGGTTCATCGCTGCTAAGAGTCTACCACAAGGTAGTGCAATGTGTTCAACAACTTCTCAATGAACAGAAATGCTGATGAACTTGCACTTACTAACCCATAAACAGAGCTGCCATTGTATATAAAAATTAAAACAAAAGAAAAAGGAATACAAGCTCCTCTAACTCAAGGTTACCACTAGAATCTTCTCTGCTGGACCCTTTTTCAACTCTTCGCTGTTCTGGGTGCTGAAATATATCAATTTCAGATTTAGAGTTTATAAATTCACCATGATCTGCAGTCTCTTGAATATCTACAGCAACAGCAGTAGCTCCTTTAGCAAGCGCATATCTATAAAATGTTAGGGAACAACATCCAAGAACCACCGAGGGAGACAATATTAACCAGGGTTTCCATCTTCGTCTAGCATCCGACAAGCAATGTATCACCTCCAGTCCTCCACATTCATAATTTATATATAACACACCGATAACAGTTTCTAACAGGTTTTAAAGGATACTCTCTCATGCCAAGCACACTATTATGATTCTCCATTGTGTACATGAATTTGCTCTGACAACTCCAAGGAAAGGTCTCCCCAACAAGCTTTAACGCTGCTGTTGCACCAGAGGTGAATATAACACTATACTCTCGTGGCGAAGCATTAAAATAATTAAGGACCTACACCGTAATCAAAATGCAAAGAATACAACATGAACCCAAGAGGAAAATCAAAACACAAAACATGACACAAATTCGAGAGCATGAAAATGCAAAGACAAAAATGTTGACCTCTCTGCGAGCTTCCCCAACTGTGTCGGTTGTCTTCAAGCTGCAGTTGCTTTGGCTATCTACATTTCCGGTGGAAGTTAAGAAATACAAAAAGAAATGTAATTCTGTAGATAAATTGAACTACTCTGACGTTCATCTTGAGTTTCCATTTCCATTTTAAACAATCTGGACACCGTTTTACATCTTGTATAACATTTTTCATCTTTCCAGTTCTGGACACCGTATAAGATGTATGATGAATCCTATTATCTCCGAAAGGGAAAGATGCTGTTTCTAACAAATAAATAAAGCTTTTCTCGGAACTAAGAAAAACTAATTACAAGGATACGGGGATTTCCATAGAGCGTAGAATTGAAATCCTTGAAAACGGACTCCAACTGAGACTCCGAATACAAAGTCGCTCCGGCATGATCCAGATACACCACCTCTGCATTTCATTCAATTACAACTAATACTCTACTACTACTACTACTTCCAAATCCAAAAAAAAAAACAAAAAGACAAAAAACAATCAATATTATTTCTTCAAGGAAATTAATCTGACCGTTGAGTCGTTTGAATTCGGTGGCTCGAATTTCATCGATATTCTTAGGAGCATCCTTGTAGCCGTAAAATTCACCGAACTCTTCCAGAAATCGTTGTTTGTCGGCGTCCATGGTTATTGAGAATATTCTCCTCCGTAGGAAATCAATAAATCCGGAAAAAAAAATCACGGCCAGAAAGAACCTTGATGACGGTGACCGGCGAGCTAATATTATAAACGTGGCTGACCAGAGAAGGAAAAGTAGAAGATGATACAGTAGTACTATTAATTACGACATTTCGTGACGTTTGTAAATTTTTAACGAAGAAATGATAGTCAAACGGTATTTTGACTTTCTTAGTTCTTACAGTTATCTCATGGCCTGCACCGACGTCCAATACAATTGTCAATTGGGCCACAGTTCATAAGCAAAGCCCTTATCGAAGTTCAAACACAATGCAAGAATCATACAAATGTTAAAGACATTCTCTTAAATGAAAAAATAGGCTCACGTTCGTTGTCCCACGCACATGATTGAACTCAACATATATACTTCATGTACTATTTCTCATTTCTCCTCATTATTAATTAGTTTTGAGGTAAAATCATATTTGGGCCTAGGCTTTTAAGACATTCTATCTATAGAAGAACAACTTTAAATGTATCTACATGTCAAGGTTTTGAACTATGTTATGAGTATGGAATAACTTTAAATATTTTGGTCAGTTCTCTTCACTTATCGATGTATCTATCATGAACGAAAGAGATTAGACAAGGTTACCGACGATGAACATTCTGCCATATGCAAAAGATCTATCTACACAAAAATATCATGAAGAAAAAAGAATTATCCATTTATTATTTATTATTTTTCTTGCTACAATGAATGGGACGAAATTCTGAACTCTAAAAAGCATTTCATTAATTTGTCTGTTTAAAAATAGTTGTGTAGTTTGTATATTAATTTTAATATAAATTATACCCAAACTAAAAATTTAAATTAGATAATCATCTTGGATAGAGATAGTAATAGATTATGTGAGTAAGTAATTTCATCTTTGAGAATTTCATACCCTCCGTCCCATAATTATTATCCAGTTTGGATTTTCATTTCTAGTTCAAATTGTATTAAAAGTGAAATTTCAAACTGGACAATAATTTTAGGACGGAGGGAGTATTATTTTTCTACGATAAAGAGACTATTTCTTTTTTTGGGGGGGTATATTACACACTCGTATCTGAGGTCTACGACTAATCCGGACTCGAATTAGGGGCAAAATTCTCCCAACAAATATTATAATTACTACTGCATACTCACGTACAGGTTCGAATCCGAATCATCGTTAAAATTATTCCAATACTTTTATCACTTAGACTAATTGTTTGTTGGTATAAGGAGAACATTTCTTAAGATACAGATACATTATAGGCGATGGTATAACACACCATCATTATCATATTCCAACGAGGATCTAAGTGCGGTCTAAGATTCTAACATATTACAAGAAGTTTGTATGACTATTTTTATTTTTTTAATTTTTTTTTGGTTTTTTGGTATGACTATTTCGATCGTTCTCTAATTTCGATTTACTTTTCAGTGGCAGATCAAACAATCTCGGAAAGTGTGTTAGATTGGCTCTTGTGAATGGAATCTTTATTTTGTTTAATCTATTTAATTTGGTTCTCGATTCAGCTACCGAAGATGTTTTAGCAAAAAAAGCAAACAAAAGACTCAATCAAACGTTTATTCCACTATGTACACAAAATACTTAACCAAACACGACAATGTGATGATGAGAATTAGAGCCTTGTGTTTTTCCGTTGACTTATATTATAATTTGTTCTTCATGCATGCTTCATAATCATGCATATAGACGTGTATCACAAGACTCGTGGGGGTTTTCAATTGACTGGAGTTATAACCCACTTTTTATGCATGTAGAGATTTGATGAATGCGGAAATGAATAGCTTATTATTCTAAGCCATTTCCTCCTCCCGAGTTGGATGTTAATGAAATCTAAAAATTACCACTTTTTTTGTCTTAAAATAATTGTCTTACATATTTTATTAAATTAGTAAACCAAAATAATTATTTCAAAATGAAGGGATTTGTCAAGATCTTATAGTCGAAGATTAATTGATGACGGCAACCCATTTGCAGAACACCATTCATTTCTTCTGAGTTCTGATAGCCACTAGCCCAGGTAAGACTAATTATGCTGAAAAAACATCGATGAAATGAGGAAAAGCCACAATTTAATTAATTGGGAGGCATGTAGACCATGTTGCGTTTTCACAATTGCGCATAACTAATTATTGTGGTAGTTAAATTAGGGGCAAGATTAATGAACTTTTATTAAGCTTTAAAGCCTTAAGGCATGAAAATTATGAACTGAAAAACTTTGACCCCCCATGCATCGAGAGTGTGTGCGTGCGTGTAAAGTTAAGCCACTATATTTAAGTCAATGAAATAAAGGGAAAAATACCTTATCTTAATTAATTATGAATATCGCCGCCCCTTTGATAGAAAAGTAGGAAATTCAATTTGCTATTGAAGTGGCTTTTCCCGTATTCATCAACATTTGCACCCCATCTATCAATAACAACTTACAAAAGTGATAAGACAATGAGATTGGCACTATAAAATAGTATTTCTTTTATTCTAGAGTGATGGTCTGATTTGTTATACAAGGAGTATTTTGGAATGAAAAGAATAATTTAAAAATAATTGATAAAGACATACCACACTCTTACACCAATGATCTCAGTTCCCAAGTGTCGCAGTTCCTAGGGAAGTCTTGAATCCACGAAAGTAACAAGACTACACTAAGATAAGAACATGCGATCGGAAGTCAATTTTATACAACAAAAATATTCCTTAAATTGCTTTAGAAGTAACCACTTTCTAATGGGCGTGATAGAGTTTAATCGATGCTTGTGTTCGCCACGTTCGTTTGTTTAGGGAGTTAAAGGAAAAAAAAGAAAAGGGTAGTTTATTTGATCGAAAATAACCAAAACAACAACAACAACAACAACAATGATACAGTAGTAATTTCAAAAAAATCATATCTTGATAAAAAGATTTACAACCCTATTATAGAGTTAGAGCATGTGACATTCTTAATTAGTAGATATATATATATATATATATATATATATATTATTTATACATAATCTAGCTACCATTTTGTAACGGAACAATTATTTTGCAAAAGAATAACAATGAAAATAGCCATGAATGAAATGTGCAGCACGACACAATTAGGACCCACAAATTCAAACTTTGAAATTAGTAGAACTAGTTCCACAAAGGGCCTTTGAAACACAAAATGAAAAAGAAAGTTAAAAAAAAAAAAAAACCAAATGTTTAACCTTAACTTAATTATAGAAAATAGTAGAGATGGAATGTCTACACACACATGCTGATGTAGAGAGATTGATAACTTTATATAACCTAGTACCTCTAGTACTAAATCCACTCCCACTGCATTATTTTAACTATAAATAAACTTACAACGTTGCAAACCTATCAGAATAAAGAAAAATCACTGCAACAAATCTCAAAGCCCCCTCGCAAACCCCTTTCCCCTTCCAACAGGCCTCCGTACAAATCAAATTATATATCATGAAGGATTCATATCAAGGTGGATTTATGGCAACTGGGAGCAATATGAATAATATTGATTCATCTTCATCTTCATCATCATCAACAACGCCGTGTGCAGCATGCAAACTTCTCCGCAGGAAGTGTGCACATGACTGTATGTATGCTCCTTATTTCCCTGCCGATGAGCCTCACAAATTCGCCTGTGTCCATAAGGTTTTTGGTGCTAGCAACGTGAGCAAGATGCTTCTGGTACGTATCTATTATCTGTTATTTCAGTAACATAAACATGATTCTTACTTTGAGACGGCGATGGAGAAAGTATTTAATGTCTATGTCTGATAATTAATTCGTGGCTAGAAATCTTTGATGAACTTTATATGCTAAATACTAATTAGATGAATAAAATCTAAATTACAAAGTTCACTTCGACTAGGGTTTTCTTTATCCACGTTCAATACTTTTCTTAATGATGAGGCGTACTGATGTCATTTCCAAAATTACTAGAGTATATCCGATAATCTATTATTCTTTATTAGTACAAAACTAGGATTTCTTTCTTTTTACAATTAAGGCTGCATGTAATATATGTATCTTTCCTTCCTAATCATGTTCGATTCGGTGATTTCGTTTCCCTTTAATTACTAGTATCTTTTCCAATGCAACATTTTGTCTTTATATAATAATAATATATATGATTATCGTTGATGGAAATCCATATCACCGCAAAATAAATATGTACTCCCTCCGTCCCATAATTATTGTCCAGTTTTACTAAAATGAAAGATTTTATTTTTAGTCAAACTTAACTATATTTTACCTTAAACAACCGGATATACCCTTACATAAGTAATTGTTTAACCACTAAGATTTTATGGATAATGTTTTTTACTAAGGACAAATGTGTAACTTGATCCATAAAAAGTCAAATTGGACAATAATTTTGGGACAATTTTTTTAGACAAAGTGGACAATAATTATGGGACGGAGGGAGTATATTAGTTCTCTATATGATTTTTTCCCATATGAAGTTTCAGATATTATTTTTACTTCCGTTGGACTATTTTTTTTTTTTTTTTTTGGAACAGATTGGTATTAATCTCTATATTATACGTTTCTCACTTTCCCGAATATATACTTAAGTGAGATTATGCTGAACTATTAATGTTAGCGTGGGAATATATATGCATATATATAGGAGTTGCCGGAGGATCAACGGGAAGATGCGGTGAGCGCGATGGTGTACGAGGCGAACGCGAGGATTAGAGATCCGGTGTACGGCTGCGCCGGTGCAATATCAGCTCTCCAGCAACAAGTTGGCATCCTTCAGTCTCAGCTTGCAATTGCCCAAGTTCAAGTTTCCCAACTCAAGGCCTCTCAATCCCTATCTTCTTCCCCCACCTCTTCCTCCTCCCGGATGGTGGCCGAGCCCCGGCGTCACCGCCGTTACGACGACTCCTTCGCTCAGCATATGAGCGCCGACAACAACTCCGCCGCCGCCGCAGCCAACACTATGTTGATGGACGATCAGGAAGAAACTAATGATCATGACGGTAGTTATTTAGGGGATCCGGATTATTCCTTGTGGTCCTACTAGCTAGCGTAGCAGAAGAAACAAAATGGTCAACTTTGGGTTTGGGCTTCTTGGGATCATGATCATGGGCCGTTTGAAGAAAGCCCTCTCAATCTTCAAAATCCTTCTCATAGTTTTTTTTTTTTTTTTTTTTTGGGAAAATGGCCTTCTTATAGTTTTTTGAATAGAGAACTCGGATTTTTACTATTTTTCTTATATTTTCTTCTAAATTTTGTGTGTCATTAGATACAATTATATCCTTAAAAGGCCATGACTTTTTATATAATTTGCAGGCAATCTTATATATATATATATATATATATATATATATATATATATATATATGAAAAATCTAGAGTCCCGTTGGCTATTTTTACAGAACCGTCTTGTTTTGTCTTCAACCAATCGAAATTGAGAGTATAAGATATAACCATATGGTGAATAACATTCTATAATATCATAAACTATATAAATCAACCCATTGTTTTGAAATAGAAATACGGACAATGTCGTACGATTCCAGTCACAATTCGATGGATTCATAAGTATATAGGAGTATTATTTTTGGTGTACTGTGAGAAGCAAAATCCATGGTCATTTTACATACTATTTGATATATATTATGAACGGAAAACGTTGAAATCAGTAACGAAAAAAAAAATAATGCTGTTGAAATACTACTAATCAAAGTAGCTACTAGATTTTGGGAGGGACCATTCTAGGAGGATGCCCTACTATGTTTCGAAGTCAAAGCACAAGTCACAATCTCATTCATCCTAGCTCATGATGGGAATTTATTTACAATTATTGTTCTGTATTTATTTGTTTTTTTAAAAATTACTTTTGTGGGGATTGTTGGCCAAGTTTATGATGCAGTGACTAATGAGTAGTCAAAATCAGGTCCTAACCGAATCGGGAGATTCCAATATAATAGGGGAAAGCTTTCCAATTCAGTTGTTGTTGTCTTGCAAGTTCTGCAAATCATCATCATTATCTCCTGAAAGAGAAATAGCTCCACTTAGCTGGACTGTAATATTGTTCTATATAATTTTCATGTCTCGTTATCATTTTGCTTGTCCATGTAATATCATCTACCTACTTATTTTTTTAGTACTTTATTAATTTATTGCACCTGAAGATTATCATGTTTAAATAAACGTAAATCTTCATGCATAGTTTTCCCATAATTTGCATCCCAATTATGGACGTAGATTTTTTAGCATATTTAAAATTAGTATATTCTATTTGATGGGGGTGATTAATTGATTAATAATACCAGCTACATGATATGTGATTGGTCAAAGAACCATCAACTGCATGGGCAGCGACGCATTGACCCTTTTTTCCTTCTGAAAAAATGTTGATCCCACGACTTTAAGTAGTCATGGAAAGGCAGTTTGCTTCTTTTTGCGTTACAGCTCGATCGCTATTTAGGTTGTTGCATACATTGTGGAACAAAAGGTTCAGTCAAGTCACTTGCTAGTAATCAAGGCAAGTTGATTGATATCTACGTTGGTACCCATTTAAATCTCCTAGACATAATAACCTAGCATGCAATGGATCCTTTAAAACATTTATCTGATTCGAATCAGAATTAGTTTAAACATCTATTCCTTCTGTTCCAAAATTATTGTCCAATTTGAGATTTCACTTTTAATATAATTTGAACTAGAAATGAAAACATAAACTGGACAATAATTATGGGATAAAGAGAGTACCTGTTTAGAATCAAAATTCTTGTGTATTAAAAAAATTTCTTGACTTGATAATTTAATTCACAACATCTAGCAATAACGTAAAATATCAGCATTACAAAATTTCGCCCATTTCCGCTTCCGAAACCCCCCAAATATACATGAGGGGTGTGTGATTGGGGATATGGTTTTATGTAGTTACTATACTAATGTGGATGCAATGCACTGTGTAAATGGGGCCTCGTGGTCTAAATTAGGGTGTAAGGGTTAGGGTTGGGGTAGTGGCCTTTCAATGTAATGTAACTTCTCTCCCTCTTCCATGCAAATTAAGCTGAAGGCACTCTCTGTTTGTGGGGCCAAAGATGGAGGAGGAGATGAGAAATGTGCACAACGCCGACACAATCTATCGAGGGAGGATCCTAATTTTTTCCAATTGAATTTCGCTGTTGATTGATTGGCAACATGGAAAATTAGAGATAGAGATAATCAATGTCACAGTTGACAATGAAGTAAACCCACACAGTGTATGAGAATATTCTTCCTCACTATTATACTTCACTATACAGTGTTTTTTCTGACCCATCATCTATAGTACGACGCAGTACCTGCTTGGATGGAGATTAACCCTACCTCACTTGGAAAGGACACACACAAATCTGTGTAGATATATAATTAAACCAGCAGATTCTCCCCCCTCGATCAATCCCTCTCCAAATCATAACATACACTCATATATATTTTGATAATGTGGTGTTTTTTTTTTATATATTTTTTTTTGGGTAATGATTGCACATATAATAATCATGTAGTATCGAAAAGGACATGCACCAAAAGCCTCCACCGTTTTTGGTTTAGTTACTAGGAAACCAGAAATCCCATTGATTCTCAATTCCCATATGGTTTGTTTAATTTCTTCCCCTAATGAAATCCATCGACCTTGAATATCTGCATCTGCATGTGTCCCGTCCCCCCTGTGGTAGCACTTACAGGTTGTTCTTAGTTTGCAACAACATTTTATGCATGCATGCACGCATGATCGAGCCCAATCTTTATCGAATTTTTAACTAATTATAATGATCATTACTTCATCTTCCTTTTAACTAAATTTCATTAAATTCCTCTGACATTGAGAGGTATTATATTGTTGAATTAATGTATTAATTTGATACTAACTCCGTTCCGAAAAAACACTGAATATTTTAAACTTTTGTCTCTTAATTTTGACAACTCATATCCACAAACAATTTGAAGCACTTGTACCACGGTATGCTAGAAGAATAGAAACTACATATGTTAAAAAGAAAAAAATAAAATAAAATAAATCGAGGTAGATAAAGTATACGAGTGGCCAGTGGTAGAGGATAACTTTGACATTTATCGATGATGTGATTTATTGTGCATATAACTATCTAGAGACTATATGTTGCAGTCACCTCATGGAGAGACATGGACTACTGCTACTGTCATTTCTTAGTGCTTTCTTACGATTGGAAGAATGCTTACTTGTGACCCTCCATTCACTCTTTCTCTCTTAATTTGCTTCCTTCTTGTTAATTTCTTCCCCCTTCAGCCTTTTTGCTCAGTCCAAACAATTTACAGTTGATTCAATGCAAGTAATTAAGTAGTAGTGTTGAAGTAACTGGTTTTGGGGAGAAGCTATTTAATGCATGCAAGGGCTATACTACATGTAACTTTGAAACATTTAGAGGTGTTGTAATTCTTAGTCAAAATGATTAATGAAATTAGAGATCATAACTTAAAACGTGGATGTAGAGATTGAATGAACTTAAATTAGTTTCACTATGGTATATACAATTGTTGCATTTAGGATTAGTCAGTGGTTGAACTGTTTCAGGGATCAGGTCTATACCAGAAACAAATAAGGATATAGATTTACAACCCAATCTTTTTCCTTATCTGGTTTTGATGGATTAGAAATATTAGAGGAGAGGAGGGGTTCATAGTGGCATTATCAGTGGGATCAGAGAGCTATTAGGAAGAAATTGGACAGTGGAGTTGATCAATATCCTTAGAGAGGCCGACTTTGTGGCCGATTGCCTTGCAGCAATGAAGGATCAAGTTGATTGGGGTGTTAGGAAACTGACTAAGCCCTTCACGTATTTGTATAGCTAGTTAGGCATTGGCCTCCCTTTTGTACCAAAAAAAAAAAAAAGAAGGAAATATTAGAGGAGGAAAAAAAAAAGCCCTAAGTAATTAAGACGGGTTTGAATAAAGTATGAACAAGAATGTATATTTTCGCAATCGAACATTACGTTTAAGATAAATACTCCCTCCGTCCCATAATTATTGTCCAGTTTTACTAAAATGAAAAATTTTATTTTTGGTCAAACTTAACTATATTTTACCTTAAACAACCGGATATACCCATACATAAGTAATTGTTTAACCACTAAGATTTTATGGATAATGTTTTTTACTAAAAACGAATGTGTAACTTGATCCATAAAAAGTCAAATTGGACAATAATTTTGAGACAAAATTTTTTGGGCAAAGTGGACAATAATTATAGGACGGAGGGAGTATATGTTAAGAATCTGAGCTAGAGAATCACATATATAAGTCTGTTTGATTTTCCTTTCCGCAAATCATTTGAACTCAAAATTCGTTCACATTTTATCATGAAAATACAAAATAAACACAACTCAAGGAAGAGATCCATCTTTGAAGTTCTAGGTAATTGAACCAGATTGTTTTTTAAAACTAACCAAAAGAGCATGAAATTGATTGATATTTCTTAACAATCTTGTACAAATTAACGTTATAATAACAAAGCTAAGGAAACGCAGAAACAAAACAAATAATCTAGAAATTAGTATAACATGGATCCTAATCATTAATTTTTAATTGAGTACATTAATAATTATTAGTTAAATAAATAATGAACATTTAAATATAGTTGTCGAAAACTATTGCCCATCAGGTAATACACTACTATAGTTGACGAGGCTGGCGATAGCTTCTTGCAGCCATTCCTCCTCACTTGGCGCCGGTATCATCTAACCAAAACCAAGGTACCAAAGGAAAAAAAGGGGGGAAAAAAAGGGTCAAAATGCTAGCTAGATGGTAATAAATACTCCCTCCGTCCCATAATTATTGTCTAGTTTGGATTTTCATTTCTAATTCAAATTATACTAAAAGTGAAATCTCAAATTGGACAATAATTTTGGGACATGGAGAGTACATTTTATTTTTTTAATGTAGAAAAAATTTAAGGAAGCTAAACTGACCTGAAGGAACGATAAATCGTGATTAGTGTGGCATAATTGTTCTTGATCACCAAGATGGTTGATAAGGAGGTGATGATCAACGTGATCACTACTCGTCTGATTGAATGATGAGGACGTTTGGTCATCGTCGCTAACTTCATTCTTGGCAAATCTTCCGCGGATACGAACTCGTCGGTCAGCCAGGGTTTTCCGGCAGGCATACTGCCAGCATTTGTATCACAAATCAAATTAACAATTATACAATGGGTAGTTTCCATTGCAAACAGCCACAATTAACTAATTAATTTCAAATATTCCTGAATTTCTGTAAATTACTTTTACCCGCATTAAAAAAAAAAAAAAAGGAACATTTCTACGTACCAATATATTACTAGTTATCGCATACTAAATAAGCGACCAAAATATACGACGGTTATTAGTGGGATAGAAGAAACAGATTCCATCCAATAATAGTTTTAGTATGGACTATGGGGGACGATTGTTTAGCAATAAATTAATTAGATAAACAAACCTTAATCGTCTTGTTGAAATTCCTTTGGTTTCGTTTCTTCAAATAACGCATGATTCTGTCTTTCCTTTCTTCAGGAGAATACCTGCAAGCTATTTTTAGTGTCGTATTATCTTCTACCCTTTGTGCCATCCCACCAGTATTCCCACCTTCATTAATCTCCTGTAGTGTGTATACAAATCAAAATTAATTCGTCATCAAGAAATCGCATATATAGAATTTGTTATATGTATTATTTTTAGACTAATACATATAACAAATTCTAATAGACATTGTAAACGTGAATTTTGAAAGAGAAAAAAAAGAAGAAAAAGAAAAATAGATGCTACTTAATTAATTAATAGGATCTGAATATCTAGTGATTTCTCATTTTCATTTTTTATTTTTTATAATTGTTGTGAGAGTTGATTATGATTATGTAAGTAATTAAGCATACAAAATAACCAATGGGATCGATCGATACCCTATTCTCCGGGGTAATGGCGGGATAAACTACCGGTGGTGGCTGCCAGAAGTCGGATGAATATTCGAAGGGGCCGGTGGAGCAATATTCTTCCCCGGAATTAATCCAAATTCGGTTTCCTTGGTAAGAATCAGGCAATGCAGCTGCCGGAGTCCCGGGAAATGACGACGAGGTGGTGGAGGAGGATCCGACAATATTACTATATCCGGAAGAAAAATATTCAAATGGTAAGACCATACTGGAATTGCTGGAACCGGTGCTGCTGAGGTTGATCATGACGTTGTTGGAGAAGGTGCTTGGTGGTAATGAGTCGTGAACTTCGCCGCCATATATCCCTGCCGGGGAGCTGGCTGAGCAGGAGCTGCCGCCACCGCTGCCGCTGCTGCTGTCAGAGGATGCGATCGGAGCTGGAAGTTGGTGGATGTAATCAGAGTAGTAGTAATTTTGGTTATCAGAAAAAGGATTGGAAGCCATTGAAATGGAAAAATGAAAAAAAAAAGAAAAAAAAAGAAAAGAAAAGATGGGAAGGCAAAATAAAACAAACTATTCAGTGTGGCACTAAATTAAAGTATTTAATTTGTGGATATTGTGTCCAAAGGTCTTGTATGCCACTATGTATTTATAGTTTTTTTTTTTTTGGAAAAAAAAAAGAAAAAGAAAGGTTTGAGGCAAGTTGATGTACTAGAGTCATAGTCATAGAGGTGCTTCTTTCTCCCTAGATTTGATTTTGATTTTGATTTTTTTTTAGGGGGTGTAATAATCTATCTTGCATTACAATTTAATAATTTATGTATTTTTTTAATTGCTAATTTACGTAGCAATCTAAGTCCACCCCATAACAATAATCATGTTTGAAGTTCAACAAAAGGAAATTAAAACAAACTCACAAGTCATAATCACTAAGATGTTTTTGATTTTTTTTTCTTATCTCCAAATAAAAATTAAATTCTCACTCTAAGATGTTTTTTTTCTTATCTCCAAGTCATAATCACTAATACCTTTTTTTTTTTTTTGGTGTATAACATGGGGAGTATTGCATATAAGTAGATAGCACGTTAATTTCTTACTTTTTTTTTTCCCCAAACTCCAAGGTTAATGGATCTTCGACTTTCTGTCCCTTACTTCAATAAATATGAATTTTTTTATTTTATTTTATTTTATTATTATTTTTTTTTTGGTGGGGAGGGCAAAGAGGAAGGGAAGGTTTCAATGAATATTCCCTCCATCTCGAATTTATTTTAATACAAATTTTATTATAAGTGAAATCTCAAATTGGATAGTAATTTTAGGATAGAGTGAGTATGATTTTTTGTCGTTACTCCATTACTTCAAAAAATTAATTCCATTACCTGTAATATATGTGTCCATGTTCAACTTCACTCTAGTGTCTACATCTCATATTTAAGGTTTCATTTTATTTCACTTGCCAAGGAGGCTAACTCTAAAATATTTTCTTTTTAGTTTTTTGTTGGGAGGAAAAGAAAAAGAAGGGAAAAAAAGGAATGAATAAAAGTCAGAGAAAGAGAAACAAATATTCACTCAAAGACAACCAAAGTGGTTGTGGTGAAGTAAAAGGGACTCCTCCACTTTTGAGGATTCAAATCTCGCCATGGGCATAAAACAACCTTAAATATTTTAGTCACTTGTCCAACCCATTGAGGTGCCTACAATTCAACGAGGGAGATTAGTCACTGTTGCCGACGGTGGACACCCTGTAAATATATATATATATATAAAAAAAAAAACATTCACTCAAAAGACGCATCTCATTAGAGATCATGTGTACATGGCTACTGTGAAGCTTTGGTGATAGGCCAGTAAGTTCTTAAAAGTTGAGTAGATATCTAAACATTCTGGCCTATTATCATGTAGCTAAATTAGGGAATCAGATCTCAAAAACACATTGGGGGCTATTTTACCACAAAATCAAACACTTGCTGATTAGATATAAATGTAGGAAAGATTCCTGATTTCATTTTCTGCCTCATTTTCCCCGCTTCTCACTACTTCAGGTTCCATCCGAGCCTAGACTGAGTCACTAAGTTGATCTAATTGTGTGTGTTTTACAGGCTCGAACAGCAACGCACCAATATTATATTATTACATATGTGCACGTTTGTTTCTGTTTATTAATTTCTATCCACAATAAAATTATTACTCTCTTCGTCCTAAAACTAAAAATGAAATTCAAACTTGACAATAATTTTGGGACAGAAAGAGTACTAAATATCTGAAATAACAAAGATGCATGTGTTTAGTACTGTTCTTTTGTTACTTTTTTTTACTGAAAGTGTTGCTCAGTTGGATGAAAATAAAATTTATCGCCTCCACAACAGGGTTTCTAAAGATAAATTGTTTTTATTTTTTTAACTTGAACATTCCTTGCGTGAGAATATCATACAAGATGCACAAAATTGCAAGAAACTTATTATCTTCCAATAAATAGATTCAAATTTAAGACAAGGAATAACAAATATGAAAATAAGAATTTCGGTTCGTAAAATTTGTGAAAAATGCCGGCTAGAACTTGTGAAGTAACCTCAACCTAAAATATTTTTTTTTTTTTTTTTGTATTACAGGATGTCCACCGACAACAAAAAAATAGTGAATAATTTTCTTCGCTCATGATAACTTTTTGTTCTAAATAATTGTCTATAAAACTAAAATAAACAAGACAATCAATTCGGGAAAGAAAGATTATCAGTAACTAGGCATACAGGCTAATGAAGTGATGCTGTGTACGTCGGAGAATCAATGCCCTCATTGTCACAGTCCATTTTCCACTTGGTTTGAATACTTTCTTACACAAAGCTTCATAGTTACTTCTTTGGCAATATAGATTTACCTGATCAAATCATGCGGGGAAAACATCAAAATGATCCTGAAAAAGGAACCAGAGAAAAGAAGCCGAAAGGATTGATTCATCGTACAGGCCCATCACAAAGAGTTTTAAACTTTGATTTTCTTGTCACCCCACTTGGTTTCAACAAGAAAAAACATCCCATAATATTAACGATCTGGGGAGATCAAGCTGATTTCAGGGTCCTTAACACATGCGGTTCACATAAATTTCTGAGTGCATCTTAGAAGACAATATTTCCAAAGATTTGACAGAAATCAATCAACCCCAAAAATAAATAAATAAATAAAAAATTGAAGGGAATAGATGCAAAAACCAGAAGATATCATATAATCTTATTCATGTGCCAACAACAAGTTCTTGTTTCCTTCCCCACGTTGTCTGACACAAAAATAACACTTGAATCCTTACCCGAATTTGAGGGCTCATCAGAAGATTACTATCCAAAAAAATAATAAAACAGATCTTTCTGTCGCTTTTTCTTTTTTCTGCATTTCTTCAATGATGTTTTAAGTCCCTTTAAGTATTCTCCTGCTGTACAATGGACACGGTAAGGTTCACTTCACTCCTATGATGTTACTCTCTTAGGTTGAACTTTGTCGTTTTTTGTTTGGTGCTAGATTTGTCAATCTTTTCGTCTATATATGTTTCATTCGTTATTTGCAAGGCATCACAAATCCTTCCAGTCAAACGAGAATAAAGATTTCCTAGCACAAAATCATTCCCTAACTTCGTAACGCGTCTCCCATTGATTTGATCCCTCAAACTTCATAGATCAAATTAGTTTGGTCATTCAAATTGCGATTTGTTCAGAATTAGACTGATAGGGAAAAGCAATTATGATCGGTAAAGACGGGAACAGTTATGGTTGGAAAAGAAAGAATCCAATTTAATTTAGAGAGGCCAGTGTGGCAATACATTTTCTATAACGTCAAAGCAGGCGTAAAGGGGCCTAAAAGTAGCCATTTACACGGCAAGCCTGCAAATGATTCCGACAATCCGTCAAGGAAACACATTTCTGACAAAAATTCCTGTGGTGAAGGTTATCTCGCTGAGACGTATTCAGCTTGAGCAAGCATCAGATCAACTTTAACTCAAAAACTGCAAACACAGCAGTATCGGTTATTCGCATCAGCAAACCACGATAAAACGTAAAATATTATACACCGGAGAACAACATGAGATATGTGGAACCAGAATACCTTATCTACAACAAACTTTTGCCTGTATTTCCTTCTTTTATTGCATGTTCCGGTTGAGCAAACCTTGAAAGGATAGATAAAGATCCTTGTTATCCATTCCAAAAATCTCTTCAGCTTTTCTCAGTGTTTCCTGTTTGTTCAAAATCAGCAAAGAAAAATAGGGTGAACAGAGCTGTAAAAGTGCAGACAGCAACCTAGGATTACGTATGCAAACTTATACAACTTTGGAGTTTACCTCACGGGATTGCTTCTGTGCATTTAATTCCTTTATATTCGCCAGAAATGCACTGAACTGCTCATATGAGAGTCGACTCCTAATCATGACATGACAACACTTTTTTAGTATTAATTAAAGAAATAAATAAAAGAGTAGTAGTAATGGAAGGAAACAGAAAATGTGGTCATCACCTGGCTTGGCGGAAAAACTCTTTTCCATCAATTCGGGGAGTACGACCTTTAATTGCCAGTGACAAGAAAAAAGACATCACGTTAGAAGATAGCCAGCATCTCCATTATAAGAAAAAGTAGAAAAAGTAAATTAACAGATATATAAGGTATTAATTAGCTAGCAGTAGAGCATAATAAACTACATTCACTAAGGAAAATGAGATGTGCAGTGAAAATAGATAGTGGAAAAAGAATAGTGACTGATGTGGCATGTGTAAATACAACTACCCCTTGTTATATTGGTAGTTCTTTTAGCAGTAGGTTGATGTTTCTATCTTTTCATAATTCACTAATCCTTTTCACAATAAATTTGACTAGCTCACATTCGCTAAATCGAACACATTTAAGTATATGATGTGGCTGGTGTTATTGCCAGAGCAAAGACTAATTTCCAGAGTGCAATTTAAACAATATTATCCCTCCACAATCTAGTTCTACATCGTACTTTCTGTGCAAAATAACAACAATTAGCTCCGAGAGCTAATTTGCTGTTGGGGCAGTATAAACCATATGATATCCTGCTCTTTCCCATGATAAATTGACTAATAACTTTGGCCCTTGTCTTTGGCAACATAGATGTGAATCTTAAAATCAGAAAAAAACTTCTTACTGACCTTGCAAAGGCCGCCCACGAGGTGGAGAGTTTGCTGCTGATGACCGCTGGCTTGATGGGTACCATGATGAAAGTGAACCCCCTCGGAAATCATATTGACTTTTTACAGGTGAGGTAGCCCCAGAAGTTTTTTGAGGAGATACTGCAGCAGAATACCTACCCGGGGAAACATTAGCAGAAGCCACTTTTGGAGTAGCTGTAGGAGTAAGCCGCGGCGACAAATATGGTGTCAAGGAAAATTTTGTCCCAGTTTGCTTTGTGGCTGCGACAAATATAGCAAGCGATATATTTGTAGGATTAACAAGACATATAAGACAACAAAACCAAAGAGGTAATAAATGGCAATGAATAGAACAAGCTTAGGCTAATTACCGTCATCCGCAATGCCTGCTGCACTTTCTGTCTTTGTGGAAAAAGAATGTTGTGATGTATAGCCATTTGCCTCCTCATCTACAAGGAGGTATAGTAGATAAGGCATTCCAAATACCTCAAAAAATAGAAGAAGAGAGATCTTAAATGATAAGCAAGTTCACCTAGTGACTAATGCAATTAATGCAAAATTGACGGTCTGGAAGGTAGTCAAACCAGAAGACCCTTAATTATACACCCATACTTAAAAGTTTGCTTTCCTATCACTTGGGGAGGGGAGGGGGACGCGGGGACACCAGGGATTGGGGAGGTTTTTGAAATAACTTTAAACACTTTTTGATGTTTTAGGGCAATGAAAACCTGAGAAAAAGGTAGATGATGGTCTGGAAAAATTTATCTATATTACATTTCTTATTTGTCAGACAACACCACATTTCAAGTTGATGTATGTTCCTCCACTTATACAAACTCAGTGGGTCTCCAATTTGTAAGAAAAGTACATAGATTTACCTTTAACAGCATATGCTTTTGGAACGGAATGGTCATAAGTGACAATATCAACAGTTTCAGCCTGCTGACCAAGAACAAAGTTTATGGATAATCAGTCAGACTGGTGAAACACATCAAACCATAGTTCTGCAACAGTTGAGTCAAAGTCCAACAGTGAAAGGTATGATTAGGAACACCAGCAAGCATTACATACCGACGAAGTATCATCATTTAGTGACATCATCAATTGCCTCTTAAATGTCTCAAGCTGTCAAACAACAGAGACAAAGTCAGTTTTTGTCCCAAGTAATAAGCAATACCACTACTAGTTAAGTTAAATTAGACCATAACTGTATGTTTCGCATCTTGAGAAATTTTAATTTCATTCATTCTGAACCACAAAAACACAAAAGAAGGGGAAAAGAATTCTAATCAAATTCTGCCAAGAAAATATTTTGTTATTACTAAAACACAGCGTGATTTTAGGTTTCTCATTCAGTTGTGTGAAAGAAAAGAACATCCACTTTGAAAGTTTTTTGGACACGCAGAAAAAGAGTTCACCGGTTGAATCAACTTCATAGTGAACCAACTCAGGCTCATCGTAGATATACAAATTAAAACATAATCCAATCTGCCCATGGAAATTTGCAATTTGACAACACAAAAACAAGGATGTCACCCCTCTTGACTAGAGGTCCTACTATCAATTAACAGAGTCCCATCATATGCAACCTAACCAATCATTGAAAACGTAAATGCATGAAAGCAACAAACTTTCATCACCCAAAAACAAAGACAAACTTGTTTTTAAAACTTGCAGTCCTTGAAGTTCAAATGAATGCATAATATCTTTAACACTATGAACTTTTTTAAACTAAATGTACAGAACAAGAAATTAAGTGTGTTCTCATTACCTTAGCCAAGTCCCTGCTAAGCTTCTTGGCAGTGAGAGCAAGCGAATCCCTTTCCTTTGTCAATTTCATCTACACCCACATTTCAAATAACTTCAACTTTAAACTCATCCCAATAAATTCGAAAGCAATATTATCAAAAACTGGAAGGTGTAGAATAACTCAAATTAGAAGTTAGAATATGCAACCCACATTTCAAAATCGGCAACGAGTAATAAAAGCACTAACTTTGAATTATACCGGCAAACCTAACAAAACAAACCATTCTAAAGAGTTCATTCCTTAAGGATTAACCAGTAAAAAAGAAATAAACCGTCTTAATTTTTTCTACAAGCCACATTTCACACATCTGAAATATCATGTACGGGAACTAATATTACTAGTAGAGAAAAAGAAAAAGAAAAAGTTTATCTTTGGAAAGTAAAATTATCATTCGTATCACTTACATTTTCGTCGAGAGTGATTTTGAGACGCAATTCCGCTTCCTGAAAAGCTTGTTGGAGGTGGGCCACTTTGTCCTCGAGCTCCACCACCACCCGGTCTTTCTCATAGAGCTTCTGGCGGAGCCTCCCCGATTCGGACTCCAGCTTCGTGACCCGGGAAGCTATGGCCATTGACGTAATCTTCCTAGCCAGATCTAATTGCTCGTAAGGGTCCGTCGGAATAACCGATAGTATCTCGTCTGGCAAGTAAAAATCTGGTGCCCCGGCGGAACTCCGGCCGGTCTCGCCGCCGCTGTTGCTGCTGCTCTGCATCGACATCTCCTCCTCCTCCTCTCCTCAGGCCCCCACCCCCTAATTAAATTAAAGGGTCGGCCCCAAAAACCAAGGAAAGAAACCCTTTGAATTGGTAGAGTTTGGGTAGCCTGCCTGAGGGAAGAGGGAAACTGAAAATCGATAAAATTGAAGAAAGTCAAGACACAAATGTTGGTTTTGTTCAGGCTGGACAAAATGTGGAATTTTCCTTTTTTTCAATAGAGCATAATGGTGTAATGATGATTAGGACAGAGAATCTTTTTGTATTATTAGCGGAAAAAGGTGGTCTGAGGAAAAAAGGTCGAACATTTGAACTTTGAAATTACGTTAAACTTTGATGTTAATTTGGTTTAGGTTTGAAACTTTGATTTGGTTTCCCTCCATTTCATATGGCTCGTGACGCTCGTGATGTCCAAAACAGAAAAGGACCACTTTTTTCCATTAATTGGATTCTCGGAGAAAGGTTGTTTTCTTTTCTTTAATGTTCTGTGGCTGGAGTTTGGACTATGGAGAAACGACAACAATTTGAAATTGATTGGAGATTCTGGGAACCAAAGGCTCACTGTTCAAGGTCGTCATATGCTACAACAATCAAAAACTTCGACACCAATTTTATTACACTTTCTGTCCAAATAAAAATTAAAAAGTGTTTACTCTTTGTTTCAAAATTCAAGATCCCTCGTCCAAAAATACTCATAAAATGCAACTTCGTCAATGAAAACTCATAGTAAAACACAACTTTACCCTACCACTTCCTTATAAAATATTAAAGCAGTTCCCTTGCATTATAGTAGGACAACCTATTGCGTAGTTATCATTCCAACAACAAAATGTTACAAAGGACTCTTTTGTATACACGTATCAGTCTCTTTTTATAACACACCCTAATATACTTCGTTGCCCCGTCTTCTTGGCTTAGGCAAGGGCTAAATTCATCCTGAGACTTCTTCACCAGTCTCTAAATAATGCAGACCAACTCCACATAAATCCCAATGTAACTTGCTAATTTTCAATCCAAAGCACATACCAAATAATGTCATATAGGGAAAGGATAACAAACCATGGATCATCTTGTAGAGCCATGCAGCGATTTATGAATCTGTGATTGGTCCAAAGAATCATTTTTTATGTACATGTACACTTCCTTTGATGCTGATGTAATGACGACATGGAGAAGCCAGATATGAATACCATAATGTTCTTATCCGATGGGCCATCAGGCGGCGAAGCAAGTGACCCTCAGACTTTCCAAACCATCATCAATCGGCACACTTCTCTCCAAAGAGAAGTTTAGTGGATCTCACAAACGAGTTTGACACGCTATTACCTTAAGCCAGCAAATTTTTCGAAATTTTATGTTTCACTTAACAGGCCGCACACCAACAGTTCTAACCCGGAATCGGTATTGAGGACGAGAATCTTCATCATCCTCATCTTCTTCTGAAGAGTCGTCTTCGCTTGATTCGTCTTCAACTCTATCCCACCTTGAGTAATCAAGTTGTGAATGTCCTTTTGGTTTAGGGATGGCTTGCCATCCAAAGGAGGGGTCTTGTTCAGATGATTTACCTTTACTGTTTGGAGCAATCTGTTTAACCTCAGCCCTCTGCTCAATAGGATCTGCTGCTTCTATCACTTGCTTTTCTTGCTTATTTTCATGTCCTTCCACTGCGTTTATCTCTTTTCCCTCAAACACATCATCTTCCTCTTCTTCTTCAAGCTCTCCATCATCCTCGGGTATTGGAGCAAGTGACTTTCCTTGAACAAAACACACCATCTCTTATCAAAATAAGCCATAAATAAATATTCAAATAAACACCATATTGAAAATACTAAACAGTGCCTATATGTGCATTCCTTACTAAACTTCACAAGGGACTTCAATTCACTTACGGCCCAAAGGGATCCTTTTGACTTATTATTATATGAGTTCAGCCCTAGAAATACAGAGATACAGTTGCAACCATTATAGCTTGTTACTTCTTTTTTTTTTTTTTTTGGCTGCCAATCACTCTATTGTAACAAAGAGTTTATCGGTATCTCTCTTAGCCAATTATGAGTAATAGTTAAAAACAGGCTATTCAACCAAACAATGCGGTTATTTTGTATTAACGATTCTCTATCTCTCTTATAGTCTAAATTATAAATACTAGTTAAAACCAATACCTCTATTCTGCTTTTACTTCAACTACGCGAGGGCATCAAGTGTTATATATCTCTTTATTTTCCCATAATCCGGTGGTTGCATGATTTGCAAAAGGCTATACCTACAATCCTACTTACAAATTTAACCACATTCCATAGAGGGTACTAAGAGAAAAATAAGAGAGAATACCAATTGCGTCTTCAAACGGGCCTGGAGACTTCGATATACTTCAGAGGATGGGTTCAATTCAATGAGCCTATTGACATCAAAAAGAGCAGAATTGTATTCTTTTAGAGTAACTAATGTTTGAGCACGTAACATCAACGCTCCAGTGTGATTCTGATCCAGCTCCAGCACCCACGTGCACTCCTCGGCTGCCTACAACAATTTTACATAAACGTACCAAACAATTCAGAACGAAAAGTGCAACCTTCGAATTTAAGTTTAAATGGATAAGATGGTCAATTTGATACAAAGAAACTAGAATCCATAAAGTCCAATTCTTTTATGTGGTTTGCTACCCAGGTGTTATCTCAGAATTTGGGGAAGGAGAAAAATCTCCCCGTTAGATCTGGTTCCACTCATTGCCAATGTCTAATGAGGAATCCGCACTGACAACAGCAAAAGTTCCATTGAATTCATCCAAATCCTATCCCAAAAATATCTACGAGTTTTTAACAAATTAAGGTTAGTCCAACTCGTTCCTATCATCTAATGAGCAACTGCAAATGAATAACCCATTGAGTAAAGTCGGCTACATGGATGGATCATACATCTCCATCATGCCCTGTTCAAAAACTCGACAAGCTTTCCTACACGATCCATATTCATTTCGCTAGCTATCAACCTAAAGCAAAGCCTCTTCCATATTTCGGGATTTAAAGCCGAAAACTCATACTTAAAAAGCTTATGGTAGTCGAGCCTTCTATGAGTGAAATCCGAGCTTGAACTAGCCTAGCTGACTCAAATTACAATATCTAAGTAATAAATCTCATCATTTCAACTCAAATCATTCGTGAATCCAATACAAAGATGGACAAATTCGATAACAATCCCAAACTAGTTAAAATCCAAAAAAAAAAAGGCAAAATAAAAATCCCATAAAAATACATACAACTTACAGAAAAAAAAAAAGGAGAAAAAAGTAAACGGAAGAAAAAAGAAAGAACCTTTTTGAAGTCTTGGAGTTTGAGAAAGCAGGCGGCGCGGTTGCTGTGGAGAGCGATTTTCTGAGGAACGGTCTTGGCCGACGACAGCGCCTCCGTATAAAACCCAAGCGCTTCCTCGTGCCTTCCATCTCTGTACATTTGGTGACCTCTTTCAATCTTACTACCATTGTTATTACTATTATTATTCACAATTTTAACACTCCCGCCATTACTGCTGATACTATTGCTCATCGATGATGCCATAACTCAAAACAAAAATAAATTAGCGATGAAGCAATCAACAATTTGTATTGAACAAAAGAAGAAGAATCTGGAAGGAGACCCAAAAAATAGGGAGAAACAGTAATAATGAATAATGATGATGACAATCAAGAGAAATGATGAAATTGGAGAAATCTATGATCTCAGGGAGACTGGTCGCTGTCCCTTCTGGACTTTTATCTGATGGGTTTACGACCCACTCTTTTCTGGGTTACTATTTAGATGTCAGCCCATTTGTTGTCTACTTCAATCCAAACCCCATCCGAATACTATTTTCATCTCCTTTCGTTTTTGGGGAAAAATTAAAAGCAATAATAGTACTCGGAAAAATAAAATAAAATTAATAAAAAGCTCATATTGGCATCACTGGTTGTTTTTTCAATCATAGTTTTTACTATAATGAAAAGGAATAATAATGAAATAAAAATTGATCAAATCAATAAAGACATTGAAAATGTATTATGGGCGGAGCAAAATTACATTTACAAGGTGCAAAATTATCTCGACAATGTAAACAAGTTGCCTTTAAAAACATTAATCCACCGAGATAAAAGCAAAGTAAAAAATAACACCGTAAACTAGACACATTGTGTTTAACTGCATTGGCCACCCCCGGTGCTTCTGCAGTTTTGCAGTTCAAGCATGCAGTTTCCCCAGCTACCTAAACTTTTCTTTCTTTCCATCAACACTAAGCTGTTTCATCACATCAGCCGGAAATAGTCAGAAGCTCGTCGAGTTTAAACCCTATTCATCCAAAGATGTCGAGACGGGAGTGTCAGGATTAGATCCCCATTCGGTCCACGATCCATCATACACGGGGACATCAGTTTTTCCGAGTCGATGAAGGCCCTAAAAATGAGCAAGAGGATTAAATACATGGCATTATTATTACATCTCAACGAAAAAAATATAAATCTTACAGGCATTTCAAAAATAAAACAGAAGAAGAAACTCACCAGCGCAACTACACAAGCCGTAACGCCAGTCCCACATGAGGTAACAATTGGATTCTCCAATGACACGCCTGAAACAAACAAGCAATAGTCCACAAAGTCATGAACATTTGTCGTGCAGACAAACCAGAACCCTTCAAAGAAAAGCAGCATAAAACATACGCAACCACTTCTCCTGAAACATTAACAATAGTTGATAGAGATACTATGAGCAAAGGGTAACCTGTGTATAAGACTGAGGCTGGAATGCCACTAATAACTTATGTTAAACTATCAGCCTCTGACCGGTCCTTCGGGTTTTTTATTGTTTGAAGATTTTCTTATGTTACTTGAATCCAGGTAAATTATAAGATCATCCAACATGCAAATCACACCAAAAGACTAATAATCTAAATGAAACAAAGTTCATAGACTTGTCCACGTTTGAATCCTAGCCAGTGACAGGATCTGGTACCCAAGTCAATTTTGCATACCAAATCACTGTCGGATTCCAGATCAAGTTATATGGAAACTGCATTATCGTAGATATGGTAGTACTCGTCAGATTCTAGTGAGGAGTGAAACCCGTGGAGTGGCGTGGATGGCTTATTTAATGATTCAGAGTAAGGGAAAAAACAACCATTCAATTACCTTGTTCTTCAAATTTTTTCTTCAGCTCATCGGCAGGCAAGAGAGTTTGTGAGCCATCCAACATCTACAAAAGGTCAGAAAAATGTATCAAAGTTAAAGTTAAGAATGAAATGGCTGTCAGCTTTCACAGTCACAATTTATGCTGACAGTCAAACTAACAAGCTCAGTTTGAGATTTGAGTCTAAAATATCATGACTATTGGTCAATTACCTGCGGAAATGGAACACACTTGCTTCCGGGAACATGGCCACTTCGAATTCCTTTCCGAGGCTCAGGAGCAACTCCATCAAACCTTAATGAGAATAAAAGACAAAAAGCCTTATAACGATTTTAATAAGAGCGTGAAGAATGTGATAGTCAATTCTGAATACACATTCAAGAAAAATCTAGCATCAAAGTCGCTAATCGCAGGCCCTTTCCCATAAATATATGGATAACAATGGAATTCCAATTTTTTTTGGCAATTTCCTGGAAGAAACAATTAGCTCTCTTCAAACAAACAGCTGGCTAACTTAAAAGTATATAATTTTCGGTTTTTCTCCAGAAACAAATTCTAATTGGGAACATGGCTTCCTTTTTCATAAAGAATTTCCCAAAGCTACAAGCCAGAAAGTCAAGATTCATCAACTTCAGAAAGAGAACTAGTGACAACATGAATTCATAAATTGCTGACAAACGAGCATTACCTTGCTTTTGAACGAGCATCAACAAGTTGATATGTTCTCTCCTCAATATTATTTCTGACCTGAAAATTTAAAAGAACCATGTTGAAAACTGGAAAAGAATTTGTTTGATGCATTATTAGCCAAACCTAAGAAAACTGTGACATCTACCTGTCAAAAATCATATCAAGTTTTATCTATTTAATACTTTTCCCTTATTCACTGTGTATCTGTGTGCAATTGTAAGAGAATATTGAAGGAAACAAAATAACACAGTTCTAAAATAAACTGCTATCACAAGAAGGGACAAACCTGGTCTAGTGTCCACAAAAGATGTGGCTGAAATCTGGTTTCGAATGTGATCGGCCCAACCTACAAAATGGGATAGTTCCAGTTGATGCTCAAGCCAGTTCTGTGACAACTCAAAAGATAAACAAAAGTTGAATAATACTTACTCTCTGTCCTTGATATACTTTTTCTATTGCCTCACTGGCAGCACTAGCTTTCAAGATGGCATCACCAGATGCACTTGATTCAACATCATATCCTGATGCACGCCATCTCGGCAACCCTCCATCTAGAACCCAAACTCTGTCATGCCCGAACACACGGAACATCCTGTTTAAACCGAAAGAGTTATATAGAGTTTCAATCTTTAAAATCAATGAATAAATGAAAAGCTAAGATCTTGGTACTCACCACCAAACCCGAGCTGCACTGAAAATTCCTTTCCCATCATATACAACCAAACCGTCCTTATTTTCAATACCGAGGGCAGAAACAGCAGCAGCAAATGCTCCTTCTGATGGCAACATATGGGGCAACTGAAACATATAATTGCAACAATAAGTTCTTAACAGTTACTTCAAGGAATCGTAATTATAAGTATTTAAACATACGTGTGAAAAAATGATAACAGGAGAAAGAACGAGAATATTTCCAATTTATTCCACCTAATAATCTCATAAACAAAAATGCAAAAAACTCTGAAGATACATCATCAGCCAACAACTAATCCAATACCATATGATCTAAAACAGCAAAGAAAATCTTACATTAGTTGATCGGTCTGATATGCCATCCACGTCGAAAAAAAGTGCACCAGGAATGTGAGCAACCTGTTCCAGGAAGAAGAGAATAGTGTTAAAACAGGTAAATTGATCGAGAAAACTATGCTAAAGAATAAACAAACTACACCATTGACATGTGATGTTGTGGGGTTAACATACTAAAAAAGGTTCTTATCTTAAAAACATGAGTGCCTAACAGCTATCACGAGGTACATATTAATGCAACTCACTATAAATGTGAAAGTTCAGAACAATGAAGGATTCAAGGAGTTGCCAAAACCTGATACTCTTGAAGTGGATTCCTCTGCTCATCTGGCATATACCAGGACGCGTCGAGTACCTGAGAAAGTTAGCAAGATCATGACCTAGAGTAATCAGAATCTCAAAAAAATATTATTGACATTTGTTGCAAGAGAAAGCATTCTTAATCTCACATATAGAATGTCAGAGAAAATTACTAAAAGAAGCAGCTTAACTGACCTTCAAATCAGGCTCTTCAAGATTTGTGTGGAGCCAGTCAACAGAAACTACAGGATCTTTAGGCAGCAGAGAAGCATTGGAAGATGAGACTTCTGATGTTGCCACTGATGATGACATTCTACACACAAAAATATGCGGCTTCCTACAAGACCAGCTTGACGCAGTAAAGGAGTTCACTGGTACTTTCTGTGAGTAACAACGACCAAAAGTTAACACGCTGTAGCCTGTAGGTACTAAGAAACCTGGAGCTGGACTAAATTTCTAAATGGACTGTTCCTGCTTTGATATAATTTCTAAAGTACACTCTGTTCTGTTGCTCCGTATGCATCACAATCCATTAATAAAAATAAAAAAGTGGCAACCATTATACATTGCTACCGTTTCAGCCATGTCTTTCATCACAGATTTTAATCTTTTAGAAAAGAAATCAATCTAGCAACCAAGCTGTCTATTTATATGTATCTAGCACCAACTAGAAAACTTATCTAGGGCTTGAAAAAACAGGAAGCAAATTCCGCATTCGGTAGGATGATCCCATACTGTGTCTAAAGGCAAAGGTTGCTACCTAATTGAATACTATTTGATTTCTCGTTCTAAACAGTGCTTCGCTCCAAAAATAAAGGTTTTACTCCCTCCAAGTTCCTGTGACACACCACAAAATTCTACACTAGGATGGGAGATTAACAACCAAAATTTACAACTTTAAAATTCAAGCATACATATAGATGAATCAAAACTTCTCAGATACCCTCAAAACAAAAGCGAAAAAAATCACCTAAAGGTCAAAACAAAGATCAGCTAATACAACGCAAAAAGATGAAAACTTTGATTAAATTGTAATCTCAAACAAGAATAACACGCATAAGAAATCCCAAGTAAGACTACCGAACGAATAAACGAGCAATCTCACCACTCCTCCATCCACCCAAAAGTAACTAATTAACAGTATACGGAAGAAAATAAAACAATCATAAAACAACTGAAAAAGAAAAAAAAGAATTACCCTAAAAAGAGATGTCAACAATTGAGTCGATTTAGGCAGAGAAGCAGAATAGAGTGATGAAGACGGAGAGGATTGGACCAGGAAACGGTGAGAAGAAGAGAGAACTCTGGACAAAACGGCGGATGCCATATCAGGTTTCTAATCGGACAGCTGAAGAAGAAGGGAAGGGACCATCCAAATTTCGCTTTGTCTTTTTCTCTGCACAATTTCAGTAATTCAACTGAAGAAATAGGCAAAATAGCTATAACTCGAAGTTTGGATGGGATTACTGCTACACTGTTACAGAAGAACCTTTGTAATTGTTGATGTTGTAGTAAAATACTAAATATCCAAACCACCCCAGCAATTCGCAAAGTTTCTTTTTGGTTTTTTTTTTTTTTTCCCTCTTATGAATTTCCTCTACTTGTGTAGAAAATATTTGCTAATTCTCTGGTTGTTATCTCTTTCTCTTCTCGTAAGAGTAGTGTTAAAAGAGAAGAAATAGGGAGGAAAAGAAAAGGAAAAGGAAGAAAAAAAAAAAAAAGAAAAGTTGGATAGTCTTTTAGATGGTCCTTTAGAAGGGATGCCATTGCTACATCTATCTAAACTGATTGCCCTGTAATTTTTTGTACGATTTATATATTTTTTTACTTTATGATATGTCCAACAAATAAATCTGTGAGACAATATACGCAAATTCTTATGATTGCTTTTGATGGGAATGGGATACCAATATGATTGAAATTCGTATTTATCCGTTCCAAAATTATTATTCGATTCAAATTTTTATTTTTAATTCACATTGTACTACAAATGATATCTGAAATAGGACAATAATTTTAAAACAGACAAAATTTATTAATTCCTAAATGAGGAAAAATGCAGGAGCTATGATCTAAGCTTTGACAAATACCAACAACCCACAAAAATCATAACAACACACAAGAAAAACCGGGGTAAAAGGAGAAAGATTGAGCATATCCATCACAATAAACTCCAGGAAGTTCCACTCTTTAGTATATTTTCACGTCTTCTATCTGAATCTGAAGTCCCTGAACATCCAACTTTGCGAAAACATAATAACTTACCGAAGACCATCTGACATTGCTCTTAATATAATAATATCCTTATTTACACCAAATTTCGACTATATTCAAACCAGTGAATGAATCCACCCTTCCAGCTTAAGTGTAAGTCAATCGCGAGAATACACTAGCTCTTCTGGATAACCCAATCTCACCAAGTTCCATATCTACTATCTTGTTCCCTGGATGATGATGATCAACTTGACAAAGTTCTTTCTCCTTCTGACGGACAAATCTAGGAACCATATCAGAGTAAGTCAGCTGTTTCGTTGATGAAGTACCAAGACTGTCTCCAGCAGCTTGCAGATGCAGGTTAAAATTAGAAACACTCGTCCTGTGCTCCATTCTGTCCGAGTATAAGCCCTTCAAGGACACTTCAACTTTAATGTCACAGCAACCCGAGGGAGTGAGCGGAATGTAGTCTCCCATAACCAGTGGTTTTTCAACTCTCATTTGTTGGGTATAGAAAAGTCTCTGAAGCCTGATTACCTGCAAAATTAGCAAACTCATCACATAATTTTATGAATGCAAACTAAGCATCAAGTAAATTGCTCCAGGTTGTTCAATCACTTGATAACCAGGCTCCATTTCAAGAAAAATAAAAAGATAGCCAGACAAATTTGACGAGTGATCACTCTCGATATTGTTTATCTTGTCAATCCATCGTCTACATTGACAAGATAAACAATCTCAATGCACACTACATGGGTGATCTGCAATAATGATAACAAAAGTCACTACCAATGTGCAGTGAACAGGCAGGATCCCATAATTAATATTCCCAGTTCAATAGACTAATCAAGGTCAATGCATGAATAACTATGCATAACCTACATGAGTTACGCCATCTAAAACTGGAAACAATTAGCATATTCAGCTCTTTAGTACAGCTCCAACTTAATAAGTGGAGTTCATTTATACTACAGAAAGCACAAACAATAGAAAAACGGAAGGATTAATCTGCTGAATCAAGTTGATATGTAAGAGAATAAAGATGAACCTGTTGCTCAGACAAGCCAAATTTGAACTTGTGATTATCATAGTAATTATCAGCGATGGCATCACGAAATTCATCTTCCAGAAGAGGAGGACAGTCCCGGATGACACGAACACGAACCTGAGAATAAAGCCATCCCATTAGCCTTATAATCAGTTGTTAAATCAATATTAATGACGATAACAACATGAACAAACAGTATGATGTTTATCACTTAAATGACCTGGGCAGGGAAAGACTTAGGAGAACAGGAACGAAACGCGTGGGGAACAATATTCAGTTGGCCATTAGAAGTAGCCTCAAAGACACCATGGAGCTTCCTGGACTCATATTCATACAGAAATAAGATCATTCCAGGCCTCACAGCTTCAACAAAATCAGCAAAAGCCATAGGAAGGCCAAAGAGGTTCCTCCGAAGACATTCTTCTTTTGTAGCACTGCTTGACATGAAAATGGCTCCGTGTTCTGGAAAATCCCCACCATTTTCATAATAGTAATACGAAGAAGCCTTCCTCTTTCTACGAGGTGCCATTGCCATTAGGGCCTGTGCTATGGGAGGGGAACAATATATTACTTTCTCGTTAAAAAAAAAATTGTAATTATTTAACGGATAAACAATCATTAGAACACTGCCCGAGAGAAAAATGTCTCCTCGTATGCCATCCAAATTGCATAAGATTGTGAAAAATAAGCAGAAATGGGAAAAAAAAAAAGAAAAAGAAAAAGAATCTTAACCTTAAACTCTACTAAATGAAACTTTTCCAGCATCATCAAAGATCAAAAGCATAGTAAAGAACATCGACCTAAAAAGCAATTAATCAAAGAGGCGCTGAAGAAAAAGCTTCCTTTTAACTATTTTCTCTCGACTTCTTCCTTAGACTAAAACGTAACCTAAGCAACCGAAAAACAGTATGTAAAAGAAAAATACATAAATTATGAGGCTTAACTATTAAGTGAATGAAATCGTAATGGTTTCGTGGACGAACAACACAGCAAAAATTAGCACAGCAGCTCAACAATTACAAGTAAGATTCATCATCGTCGTCAAGATAAAGAAGTTCCGGTGAGCTAGCTGACGGTTATTGAAGACTTTCAGGTAAGAAACTTACAGAGGACGCCGGGAGACGGTGGAGGAAGGTTGGACGGACAGAGCTGAAGACTTGAGTCAAATGACTCGGAGATGATGATCCGTGATCGTGATTTGGATTTGGGCTTTTCCGAGGACTAGACCTCTTTGTATTATGATAGATATTTCTCTTATGGGCCCCCGACGACTTTGACTTCGTCCTTATTGGATCCAGTCCGGGCACTTTTTAGTTTTTTCCGCCTTTTTCTTTTTTTCTTTTTTTTAGCGTAAATGAATTTATCACGTTCGTTCTCAAAAATACAATTAACGCAAATGAAAATGTTAATGAGTGTTTAGACAGGAGTACATTAGATTATTAAAATGTACTTTGACCTATTGGGTACGCAATGTCGCAATCCATTTACATACTTCAAATGGAACTTTAGTTTCGCATATGTTCTGTTTATATTGAGATAAAGATTTAAAATGTGATCCACATATTATGGACTGTGCTTCCTAGGTTCCAACCATGTTTAAGAAATGAGAACTGCTCCATCCTATCCGTTAGAGTTAATGAGGATATATATTTGTTTGTAAGGGGGAAAAAAATAATGAAACTTTGTTCATGCTCCTAATTACCTCGGTTCTAATTATAAAATATATATTAGAATTAAACTTAACTTAAATTTATTATATAATTAGATTCGAAGAAGTACTCTATTTTTTTAAATTTCAAATCTTTTTTAAAAACATCTGTCAAGAAAGACACGTAACATTTATAAAGAGTTTATTTTCCCGCCTAAAAAATTACGTACAGTAGGCAATCTTATATGTAAAACTAAGAAAAAAAACAAAAAAATTAATTCCTAAAATCTATCTATCTATATAACTTAATAATAGAAAATTTAGAAAGAGCAAACTAAGATAATTTTCTGCTTGCCGCATAGGATTGGTAATTTTCTTCAATTTTTTATTTATTAAAAAGGACAAAATAATTATATGTTTAATGAAAAAAAAGGAAACGACAGAATAAAAATCACCCTTCATAGATTTTACTAACAGATCATAAAATCTTGAAGATTCTAACCCCAATTTCTTCAGTTTTCGAATCTGAAAATTCCATTCGAGTTTCGAGATTTGGGATCCATCTTCGTCCAGTGAAGTTCAAATTTCATATTGCATTTTTTATCTGTAACTAATGTTATCCGAGTTTCAATTCAGGTTTCAATTCTGATAATCCACCCACAATCCTCTTTATAAAAGATCGATTGAGGATGTAGTTCTTCGACACCCACTACAATCGAAACCCAAAAAATTATATTCGATTAAGAAAATTTTACTTTCAATTATCCGAATGGCTCAAGAATTCGATTAGATAAGGAGTTTACCCCAGTGAAGAGAAATAAAAAAAGACTGGAAGATCAATGTTCGTGTGCCCAAAGTTTGGAAACCAACTTTTGCTAAATCCAGTGATGTTTCATGCTTTCAAACTCTCCTAATTGATGAAAAGATAACGATGTATTTACTGATTTCTTATATATAATTTCTCAGCACCCCTTAAGTTGCTTTTATCTTTTGATGCCAAAAATTGACTATTTCGGTCACAGTTTTTCTTGTAATTTCATTTGCTTTATATTTACTAATATATGATTCGAAGTATGATGATTTTTTGAAATTGTCATTTTAATTTCTATTCGAAATTGGAATTGCCCAAAGATTTTTTTTTTTTTTCGGCTGGTTCTTCTTCTTAAATTTAGGATAAGAAGAACTCACCGCTTGAGTATGAGTGGATAATTTCCAAATACTTTCTTTCCTTTTGGATTGAATCTCCTATTTGTTTGTGATATTATCGGTTCTTTCCTATCAATTTAAATTAGTTGGTGAGCTTAAAAAAAAGATATAATATAGAAAATGATTCAGAGTAGTAGATGAATTAATCTAGATGAAACCCAAAATGTATTAATTAAAAAATTTGGTTTCCGACATTCCTTTCCTGAATTAGAGTATAATGTTTCCAATGTATATATTTTTTTTGTTCAAATATTTAAGGATGATAGCTGGCAATGGCCAAGAAACTTCTTCTAACTTGGTCAGTCATCTGACGTCTTGTCTCACAAGTTCAATCTAATATGAATTTCTTTTTGATTTGTAACCTAGAAGAATTGTTGATCTGACCAATAGCGACCAGGTGTGAACATTTTGATAAACTCATTTTGTGGTGAGTATATAAATAAAATGTTACACATGAATAGTTAATTACATTTGTTTGGTTCAGCAGTACCTATTTGTTTCTATGGCAACCATTGCGTACATATTGCAGCGTGATGATTGGTTCTACACTGTATGTAGAAAGTGACATAGATCTGTGAAGCGATCAAATATCGATGGTGATTCTGAGATTATCAATGTTGAGAGAAAGATTAAAGGATCTTCTTCTGATCCGACTAATACACCCCCGAATCTATACCTTTCAACGGTCCAAAATGTGATGACACAGAGGTTGAGTTCACCCCAAGGTAATTTTGTTGATATGCTTTTTAAAGTTGTGCAGTTACAATCAATATTCGATTTGTTCAGGTACAAAATTCAGGTTCAAGTCGTAGTTCATAAGGGTTGTGCTACTTTTCTTTTATGGGATGCAGCGGTCCAAAGGATGGTAAACAAATCTGTACTTGAAGAGTGACAGAAATAGATCATGGTACAGTATATACTGATTATCTGTTATATATTTACGTTGAAGTCAATTTATGTGAATATGAATGACTAAAACAATTTCTTTGTTTTAGTTATCGCCAGGTATAGCGTCATAGCATGAATTCTAGGTGGGGTGAAATCTTATTAAGAAGTATTGCAAGAACTAAAAACCTGTACCGACTACTGTAAAACTGCCATACTATTATGAAGAAAAATTAGGATTTATGATGCAATTTAGATATTGAATAATAAATGTTCACATCAAGGTACGTCTATGAAGTTGATATTGATTTACAGTATTGATTCCATTATCGATTTTTTTTTTAAAAAAAAACTCTTCGTATTATGCATCGTTCTTGGGATCATATTGTATAAAATTCTTCTAGACAGTGGTAAAAGGTGATGACATTAAGGAAAAAGATAGCCATTTAGACAATGTAGGCTAAAATGATGACGGCTAAACTGATTGCTTGAAATGATAGTCTTGATAAATACCTATTGTTGCTATGGTTTTAACTCCCGACAGGCTGTTTTAAAAATTTTCTTTGTTATGCAAATAGGAAAAAATGCAAATACTTTGCCATCTTTTCATGTGGATGAATTGCTAATGATGATGTTTATGGATATTCAAACTCTCTCTCTCTCTCTCTCTCTCTCTCTCTCTCTCTCTCTCTCTCTCTCGCTCTCTCGCTCTCTCTCTCTCTCTCTCTCTCTCTCTCTCTCTCTCTCTCCTTTTTGTTTGTTAGTAAACACTTGGAATACTTTTGTATAGGTTTAGTGCATCTGGTGGAGTTGTGAATCATGGAGGTGCAATGGTTTTGCTCTGATGCTGTATATGTTTATAGCATTTTTGTGTTATTCTTGGGTTCTACGTTTATTGTAAAACAGCTTCTATCGTCTATAGCTAGAAAAGGTGTGAAGAATTGTATACTGTTTGAGGTAACTGCTTGGAGGGTCTAGAAATTTCTTCGTGTTGATCAGAAGTTTTGGAAAACAAGATGGTAGCAAATGTGCTAGAAGCATGAAGAGAACTAGGGGTGCTAAAGGTGAATAGAAAATTGAAGTATTTTTATGAAAAACCGCCACAGAGCAAGGATGGAAAAAAATTAAACCTCCAAAATTCATTGCTGAACTATGGGGTTGGTGCATAGGACACATGCTACAGGTAAGTAAAAGTGGAGGTTCACAACCAAAATGTCCTCCAAATATTCTCCAATTCCAAGTCTCCATGAAGGGCTTTTGAGAGCATTTTGAGAAATGTAAAAATTAGATTATGAAAATTAAGAATCTAATTATGTAGTAACTGTTTGATCTCATCGATAGTGAAAAATTCAGAAGGTGTTAGATATTGGCTGAACTTGAATTGTGATATTTTGGGTATATCATATTCTCTTCGTGTAGTAGCCTAACTTAGGCCCTTTTATATATTCGCCATTTACCACATAAAAATGAGAAGGTTCCTTATTTCTTGATCCATTCATAGCAAATGGCACTCTTCATAACCTAGGAAAATTAATTTTAGAAATGTTATCTCCCAAATAAAATGTCCAGTTTCAAAAGTTCTACTGAAATTTAATTACAAATTAAAAAATTTGTTGATTAAAGATAGCTTCTTCCCATAAAGCAGTACCAAACTCCAGCTCCAGAGAGTTCTCTAGTTTTCAAGAAAAAACGTATTGGACACGTGGTTTCTCAACACTGTTGTCACTGAGTAGGTAATTCATGAGTATCATTAAATTTAATAAACTGATTATCCAAAGAGAAAGGTAATTTGCAAATATTACTAAATTTAATTAGTTCTTTTTCTCCCAAACAACGAAATATTATCTTCTTCAAAAACCATCATCTGAAATAAAAAATAATAATACATTGCACAATACTCTGTTCGGAAAAGGAAAGGGTTGCTGAAATTGGTGACCATTGTGCTGCATAACTCATAATTTACACCGTATACAAAAGACTACTTAATCATCTAAATATGAGAAAGAGTTGTCTTTTGAAATTCATTGTTTCAATACATTGAAAACTTTTTTTTGTCTTTTCGGAATACACTACAATACATTTGCGTCACATTCCATTTTAATATATACACTAATACACACATTTTCATATTTAATGTAATTAAACGTGATCTTTTTGCCCAGTGCTACGCACGGGTTTAACATCTAATTATATTTAAACATAAACAAAATTAATCCCTAAACTGAAGAGGATTGGCTCAAATAACACAAATTTTGTTTATCCGCCTTCCTTACAATCTCTCCATTAAAATTAAATTTCAAAAAATATTTTTTTTCTCTTAATCTTTATGGTTGTACAAAATAAACCTTTATTTTAAAACAAAAAATCAGAACAATGTATCATTTTTTTTCTTATAATTATATATCAAGTTTCTTGGAGTGTGAGTCCAATTTGAATTTTTGTCATTAGTTTAAATTTACGAAAAGTAAAATATTAAACTGGACAATAATTTTGGTACAGTTGCACATTGTACATCATTTTTTGAGAAAAAAAAAAAAACCATGTCGAAAAGACCGAAAAGCCTACATGAAGAAAGCTAAAACCCATCATCTCAAACTCTCACAACCGTCTTAGACAATCCTGAAACAACCAATAAACCCTAAACACCACCAATTCGCGCCACCTGAAAAGCGCCAGCATTTGCAATCAATCAAACCGACGGAGGAACCTTTTTAAATCAAGCCTAATTACTGCAATCAGAATGGAACCCCTTGCAGACGGAGGAGTTCAAGAAGACGACTCGAAACCAGTGAGTTTCAAGGACTTGGGAGTGAGTGAACAGTTGGCGGAAGCCTGTGATAATTTAGGGTGGAAAGAACCCACCAGGATTCAAATTGAGTCCATCCCTCATGCACTCGATGGCAAGGACCTCATCGCTCTTGCCGAAACCGGTTCGGGTAAAACCGGAGCTTTCGCCATTCCCATCCTGCAATCCCTCTTTGAAAAACCTCAACCATTTTTCGCGTGCATTCTTTCTCCTACAAGGTAATTATCTACTCCTTTTTGTTGTTATCTTGTTTTCTAGTTAGTTTTTAGTTTAATTACGTTAAGATGGATGTTGATATTTTCATAGTCGGTTTTATTTTTGTCTTTTTTTATTTTTTTTATTTTTTTGGGTGAATTTTTGGAGGCAACTTGCCAACATGATATATTGGGGGCTTAGCTTGAAATAGTTTACCATTCACCTGCGAGGTGTGAAATATGATCGAGTTATCGCCCCTGTTGCCGGAGACTCGATTTGTTTGCTTGGGCTTTTTGCCTGTTTTTTTTGTGTACGGAGGTGATTTTGTGTTTACGCTTGCTGTTTTCTTTTGGTTGTAGGGAGCTTGCCATTCAAATTGCTGAACAGTTTGAAGCTTTGGGATCAGGCATTGGTGTCAAGTCTGCTGTGGTAAGCTTTTTAACTTTGAACTTGGTTTATCTTGTTTCCACTTTTTTCTGTTGCTCATCATTTTTATGGAATGCCATAGGTGACATGCATTGTGATGAAAGAAAGTTATTACTTAGCTTATTTCATTGTTGAAATGTTCTTAGAGGCTCCTCATAATAACTTTTTAATTGTCTGGCTTTTTACAGCTCGTTGGAGGCGTAAACCAGACTGATCAGAGTATTGCCCTTGCGAAGCGCCCCCATATTATTGTGAGTTTTTCCCTGTTATTTTGGATCTTTTTTACCTCCAATCTCTATTGCTGGCTGCTTACATGTCCGCCCTTGTTGCTTATAGTTCTGCCCTTGAATGCTTTTAATGAACTTTTAGGTAGCAACCCCCGGTCGTCTGGTGGATCATCTTTCCAATACTAAAGGTTTTTCACTGCGCATGTTGCAATACTTGGTGAGATTTCCTTTTTGTTCACTATATTTAAGGACTCCTGTTCTGATGCCCTTTGTCCATCCACGTAATGATCTCTACCGGATGTTTGAAAATGAAGTCTTCTCTTCTCAAGTGGCTGATATTGTACAACTTGATATAAAATTTTACTTCGGCATCTAATGTTTCAAATATTTTCATTTGTTTGAAAACTATAGGTTTTGGATGAGGCGGATAGGTTGCTGAATGAGGACTTTGAGAAATCTCTTGATGAGATTTTGAATGCAATTCCTCGAGATCGGAAGACGTATTTGTTTTCTGCTACCATGACTAAGAAGGTACTGGTTAAAGAACTCTGCTTTATTACAGGTTGTTTACCTATATTTTTAGTGCAGCTGACCAGTTTCTCATTTTTATGTTTTGCAGGTTAAGAAGCTCCAGAGAGCATGCTTGAAGAATCCGGTGAAGGTAAATAATCTTGTTATTTCTCCTCAATGCCATTCATTATGTATGAAAATCAGAATGTGTTTGCCCTTGGTTTCAGATCGAAGCTGCATCAAAGTATTCTACTGTCAAAACGCTGAAGCAGCAATTTTGCTTTGTTGCGGCAAAACATAAGGTTTTGACTCAGTCTGTACTTACAAATTCTCTGTGGTGTCAGGCATATGCAGATGTCATATCTTTCTTTATTTCCTTTGTATTAAAGTTAAATTGCCTGGATTGCACAGGATTGCTTTCTTGTTTATATTCTGACTGAGATGTCTGGAAGCACATCAATGGTCTTCACACGTACATGCGATGCAACCGGTCTTTTGTCACAGATGCTTCGAAACCTTGGACTAAGAGCCATCCCTATCAGTGGTCATATGACCCAGGTGTGGCTCCGATTTCTTGAGATTTTGCCTGCTGATCTCTATTTTGGGTTTATGAGCACTTGTACCCTGTTCAAGTCAATTTATCTGTTTTATTTGTTTCGTTCTTTTGGACAGGCTAAAAGACTTGGAGCCCTAAACAAATTCAAGGCCGGAGAGTGTAATATTCTAGTTTGTACTGATGTTGCAAGTAGAGGGCTTGACATTCCATCTGTAGATATGGTTATTAATTATGATATCCCCTCAAACTCGAAGGTAATTATGATAAACTAAACTTCCATATCCGTTTAAGGCTTGCCACCCTATCGTGATTCTTTTGGTGTGATAATTTTGCTCGTGGCTGCTTCACTTTCATTCAGGAACATCTATGAAATAAATAATAATAATAATAATAATAATAATAATAATAATAATAATAATAATAATACGGTATTGAGATCTTTATTTCATTCATCGAAGTGCTTTAGGTGCTGATTGAATTTTGTGATGCACAGGACTATATACATCGGGTAGGAAGAACAGCTCGTGCTGGGCGATCCGGGGTTGCAATTTCACTCGTGAACCAATATGAGCTGGAGTGGTATCAGCAGATAGAGAAGCTTATTGGTGAGCCAATCCCATTCTCATAAAATATTTTAGTAGTATCTATATTAGTAAAGAGTGTTCGATGACGAGATTTTGTCATCTTATTGAAAAGGTGCGTGATGTTAAACGTGGTGTTCTTTAATGTGTCACAGAGAAGAAATTACCAAAGTTCCCGCATGTAGAAGAAGAAGTTTTGCTTCTAATGGAGCGTGTCAAGGAGGCCAAAAGAATTGCCCAATTGGTATTAATTTGTCATGTTGCCTACCAATAGCATCCCTTTTTCCTTTCTTTATTTCTCTTATGTTTATTCTTTTTGGAAACTTAATAATGTCTTGACGGGCCATTCTCGCAGAAACTTAAGGAGACCTCTGGGAAAAATAAACGCAGGGGCAGAGGAGATGATGCTGAGGATGATGTAGACAGATATTTGGCCACGAAGGATGGAAAAGCAAAGAAGCTGAAGAAGAGGTGATCCGCGTAGAAGATTGTTGGAAATGAATATTTTGACGATTCCTTTTCGAGATCAAGAAATTGGCTTTCTTGTTTCCCAGGGAAAAGAATATGAAGCTCACATTTTTTAGGGTAAAGGCTTGTTTCCCCAACAGTTTTGTTTGTCTGTTTTGTGAGAGAGAACATACATTATTAGCCGAGCAGTCTGTTTTATCAATTTTAGCTTCAGAACTTGCTCAAAGGAAATATAATTCGAGATTTTGTACATTTTAAGTTTTTCGCTTAATTGAGCGGAAGGTGTACGTTGGTTTACATTCTCGCAATGAAAAGAATTCTTTCAATTGCATGAACTACGAAAACTTTTGGCTCAAGAAGAATATTTCGAATATCAGTAGCATATTATATGCTCTCCTACCAAAAAGAATGCAAAAGTTGGGCAATCATGTGGGCGAAAGAAGTAGTATATAATAGTCTTGTACATAGCCCTTCAAAAGATAAGTTATGAAAGTCGGTTTCTCTAGGTTAGATCTTCCTCACTACTCATTGTACTTGAGAATTTTGCAGTTTTGCATCGATGCGAACGCCAAAAGGCATGGACCAATAACTCATGGGCATCTCGTAGTTAATGGGTTATCTCGGAATAAGTATATTGGCACAAAATTGATCATACTCTACTCCAGAGTGTGTGATTTGATAGGCGCCCGTAAAGTGTTCGATAGAATGCCTGAAAGGGATGTAGTTGCTTGGACTGCTTTGATTTCTGGCTATTCTCAGGTTGGGAACTATGAAGAATCGTTAAGCTTGGTTTCAGAAATGCACAAAGGTGGTGTAAAGTTCAATCAGTACACTTATGGTAGTGCCTTGAGAGCATGCACATGTTTGTGGCGCTTGGACAAAGGAAAGCAGATTCATGGGCGGGCTCAGAAGGGCCGTTTTGTGGAGAATTTGTTCGTCCAAAGTGCACTAGTAGATTTGTATTCCAAATGTGGCAAAATGGAGGAAGCTTCTTGTGTTTTCGGTTCCATGATGCACAGAGATTTGGTGTCCTGGAATGCGATCATTGGTGGATTTGCTATACAAGGATTCCAAGATGACGCTTTCTCCAAGTTTTGCCTATTACTAAGAGATGGTATGTGTGTATGTATGACTATATTTTCCTCCCATCTTTTCTCAGAAAAGCTTATGGGTTTTGATATTTTCAATGTTCTGTTATGGCTTTGATTTTGCAGGTTTTCGACCTGATTACTTCACTTTTGGAAGTCTTTTGAGAGCCTCAATCACCGGCCTTCGACTTTCGGAGGTTGGCCTAATACATAAGTTTGTCATTCAGTTGGGATATGAGTGTCATAAGACAGTGACTGGATCTTTAATTGATGCCTATGTAAGGTGTGGAAGTTTAGAAAAGGCGACCCTGGTTTACGAAAATATGCACAAAAAGGACATCATAGCATGCACTGCCTTGATCACCGGATATGCCCGCGAGGAAGGTAAGCACTATATCCACGAAGCCCTGGGACTCTTCAATGAAATGCGTCAGAATAATGAAGTCAGAATTGATAACGTAATGTTATGTTCCCTACTCAGTATGTGCGCCAATGTAGCTTCATTGAGATTGGGGAAACAGATCCATTCTTGTGCATTTAAGTATCAAATCCACTTAGATGTGGCGATCGGGAATGCCCTGATTGACATGTATTCTAAATCAGGAAACATCCCAGATGCTCGACGGGTTTTTAGTGAAATGGAGGAAAAGAATATCATTACTTGGACAACAATGATTGCCGGTTTCGGCATGAATGGGTATGGAAAGGAGGCCGTTTCCCTTTATACCGAGATGGAAGCATCAAACTTGAACCCTAACGCTGTGACCTTGTTGTGCCTTCTATCTGCATGTAGCCATAACAGTTTAACTGAAGAAGGATTAAAATGTTTCCAGAACTTGGTTACCAAAGGCCCTAACATTTCTCTCACAGCTGAGCACTATTCTTGTTTGGTGGACCTGTTAGCACGAGGAGGCCACGTAGAAGAAGCCTATAATTTGATCTGCAACAATGCAAGTATTGCTTCCAATGATGCCTCTCTCTGGGGTGCAATTCTCAGGGAATGTAGCATTTCTGGCAATGTGTCCTTAGGAAAAGTAGCTGCCAAGCATTTAGTGGGTATTAATCCCGAGAATTCTGCAAACTACGTGGCCGTTGCAGGGATGTACGCTGATGCAGGCTTGTGGAAGAGTGCAATGGATGCTCGAAAATCTATAAAAGAGGGGAGTTTGTTAAAGACTCCTGGCTGCAGCCTCTACTGCGTGTAAGACCATTTTACCTCCTCTTGGCAAAAAAAGAAAATGCAAACAGCCAAAACTGAGACTTAGCCAGCTTCCTCTTCCATGATTATCATCCTTTTAGGGTCCCTTTGCTCCTCGTTTCCAGACTTCAATATTTGGTAAGTACAAAATTGGCGCTTTCCTCCAGTGTTTTGTTTTCTTGGTCTAAAATATTCGTACATTAAGCTTGATGGTAAGCATCCTTACCATAACCTGCTCCTGATTATGGAGATCTCTGTAGGTAATCTAATCTGGATGGAGTGGATTGGGAGTACTCAAAAGTTATCAGTATTGTGAAGGCTGATTCCTTTTACAAGCACGCAGGCTGGTTGAAGTTTCACGGTAGCATTCGCATTCCTGCAACAACAGTTGAACGCTACAAAGAGGGACTACAAGTCTACTACGGCCAAAGTTTCATATCTTCAACACTGCTGCAAATTAAGGGTTGCCAGAGGCCACGAACGATATGCCAAATGTCATGCTGTTCTTGCGACCAGTCCTTACCCAAGACAATCCCTGGAGAGATCCAAATTGGCTATGGAAGAAGCCCAATTGCTATCGATCAGAGAGGCTAGTGTTTGGCGCAGGGGCTAACACATATCATCTTGGCTATCCTGGTTTCCCGCCTAAATCGGTTTTGTTTGCTCAGTGTGTCGTAATGTCTCAAATGATTGATCGGGTCTTTAAATGCTAAGGGTGAACTCGCATCATGCAGCAGTGCGGAAACTTCAATTTCACACCCCAAAGTGGAGTTTGGGAATTGGTATATGGCAATATCATGTCTTTTATCACATTTTACTCCCGACTAGTTAAAGTGGTGCAAGGTTTATAAGATCTTAACTGATATGGGGCAGTGGCCATGAGCCAATGACAGTGTTCGACCAAAGATTTCCTTTTTACAGAACTTGTTACAACAAAACAGAAGCCCGGTGAAGATTGGAAAACTGATTTTATCTCAGCTTCAAAATATTCTTTTTAAAAAAAAATGAAAAACAAGAATTTTCCGCTAACAAGTACGCACGGAATTCTTTCTTGGAGAATTCTCTAACCTAAAAACCTCAGAAACCAACATATCCTGTCAGGAAAGAAAACATCATGGTATACATCTACTAGAGATCATCTATCTATCTCTATTATGTTCCCCCACCAAGGTGTTGATATCCACCCTTTGCCCAACATTTCACTGATTCCATCAGAGTCCAGATCCCAGATCAAATCCCCACTTCAACTAACAGCAAAAAGGAGAGGGAAAAAAACCTAAGGAAATATGAATTCATTACAACAAAGACGTTCCACTACTTCTTTATATTCCACTTGTGCGATGTCCGAGGACCCGTGGCGATGCCCTCATAATAGCGGGAGTCGAGTTTATTGGCATTCCACCGCGAGGCAAAATCCGAAAATAATTCCCTTGCAGACTCAGACGAAAGATCAGAGAAAAACAACCTTCTCTCCTCTTTAAGCCATGTAGCAAACTCATTATTCTTGGCAAAGTAATCATCACTAGAGAGTTCCTGGAGTAGCATTTTGAAAGGAAGAAAACAAGATCAGTTTTAGCAATTCAACTATACTCGTATCCAAGAAAAAAGTAAGGTTCCAAATGAATGACTGAATCAAATGTGACTTGTCCAGTGGTCCGACAGTTTGACGCATAAACAGCAGAGACAGCAAATGAGCATCAAAGATTTAAAGAATACAAACTCACTGGGTGAGCAGCATGCTTGCTACTAGAAACCTTGTGCTTATCTTTCGACTTCTTATCTGCAACCATTAACATTCCTTTAACCTCAAAACCTCACTATGAATAAAAACCATTTTGAAAATTCCACGTAAATAAAGTAACAGTACAACAAATTCCTGAAGCATAGTATATTATTCACCCAGCTTAATAAATACATAATCTCATCTCATTCCGCTTTTCCCCTATACTCGTTCCAAGAGGTAATTCACTATATACATTGAAAAAGAGAAGAAGAGAGCATATAGGGCGAGTGAAATAAAGCTCAGGTTTCCCATTTTGATAAACAAAGCGAACAAGCTAGCCAATTGAAAACAACCAGATAACAGCAAGAAAAAACAATCCTACAAAAAGTTTCAGAATCCCGGTAAGTAAAGGGAAATAGGGAATAGGAATCCTCCAAAACGTCTACCTACTGAAAGAAACTAATCCTCTTCTGTTTCAATAGATATAACTTCTCCCCTCAGAGAGGTGAAAGAGGTGTTCGTTAAGAGCCGGGAGAGGCTTCTGAAATTTTAAATCAAACTTCCAGCGAAAAAGTAAGGGCCCTTTTCAAAATGATTGGGTAGAGAAAATAACCCTTTTGATGTCACATAGTTGCATTGGCAAACATGAACAAGACTGGGAAAGATGAATTCCCTGAAAAAGGATCGAATTTTGGACTCGAAAAAGAGCAAGAAACCAGGAGGAAAGTCAAATTTAGTGCACCCGCACACAAAATCAAAAAACCATGTGAGATCAGCCATTAGCCTCTAAGAAGTCTACTTGGCCTGGTGGATATTCCCAAAGCAACAGACCTCATATACCTAATAATCCAATATGAAACAGCGAAATTGAACAAGGATAAAGCAGAACCCACCTACAACTAAACCTTCATCCCATTGATTGAAAAAAGATTAAATGAATTGTGAGCCGAAACCCTGGCTCTAACCAAACAACCATCCATTATTTTAAGTCCAGATAGAAAGAGCGGAACACCCAGATACGGGGGGGAAAAAAAGACAGAAAAGGGCAGAAAGAAAAGAGAAAAACCTTTGGAACGGGAAGATTTGTCATGAGACTTGTGCTTCTTCTTATGCCTGGACGACTTGTCTTCATCTTCTCTATCCCTTCTCTTCTCCTTCTTGCTCCGCTTGCTCCTGGAGGAGGCATCTCTTTTATCATCATCATCATCATCATCATCAATACCTAAAATTGGATTCTTTTTGGGTTCATCATCTGTTGTTCTTGTTGTCGATAAGCATAAAGCATTGAAGGAAGCCACGCGATAGAAATTGCAATAAAGAAAAATCGACTGACCTGGGCTTCTCTTCCTGCTTTGTTTTTCCATTTTCTGCTTCCGAAATTAGAACCTAAATGCAAGATTCTTGGGAGAAATTCCTTTACTCCTGGTGTTTATATATACTGAATCTCGACTTATTATTTCTCCATGATCCTTGAGCCTCTGTAGTCTGTCTGTATAATTCGGCAGATTAATAATTACATCGGCTCTCCCGAAGTTTGTAAAAATTACAATTTCCCCACAAGGTTTGTTAAAATTGTCGAATTTGAGCGAAAGTGCAAAAAACCCAAACACAGTTTAATAGTATGCCCGACAGAAAAGAGATACATATGCAAATTTTCGCACCTTTTTCTCTTTCTTTTTTTTTTTTTAATAATTATTATTTCTTTTTTTTTTTTTGGAAGAATCACTTCCTCCTTTTTGTCACTGATTTGACATTCAAGACTCATACATGCTGAACAAGTGGTGTAGAAAAGCTGTAATGAAATGATAATATAAAAATCGAGGATGATGAATATTATGCAAAATGAGAAAAAGAAAAGAAGGGATAGGCATGATGTACTCGTGTATATATTTTCTCATATTTACCAGAAAACACCAAATAATATCAGACTACATTCCTTTTTTCAGTACAATATGGAACCTATCTTTATATTTACCATGGCCATTCATCATTCCTACCTCAAAAACATTTGATAAATTTGGAACCATTGCCTTTCAAAACTAATGAATACACAAGGTACAAAAATACTAATCCTACTTGACATTCTACATAAACTAAAAAAGAGAACTAAGCATTATGCAGCAGTTTAAATACATGCTCCACGGCAGAAGCATCAATGTCAAACCCATAACTCAGCCCTCCATATTCAACATAAAGGTAACCTTTCGATGACAAGGGAGGAGGCAAGATCTGAGATATTTCAGGAAATTCTTGGCTCGGTGGTGAAGGCACATCATTCTTTTTCAGGGAGAAGTGAATATCAGCTAAAAGAAGCCAAATTAGATCAGGGTCCATGCATTTAAGACCCAAAAGTGCATTTACAGCTGCACCTTGAAGACCTACGACACCACTACAGGCTATCCCTACAACGAGACCACTGACCTTCTTCAGGACAGTCTCTAGAGCAGAAGAGCTCTTTTTATTCCGAGCAATATCCGCAATCATGTTCAGCACTGATGCCTGAACTTTTAGGGTTGATAGCTCAGCCACACCATCAGCATCAGAAAAGGTGGAGGATACTTTCCTGTAAGGAAGTTGTAAGGAGGTCCTCTCCTCTTTGGAGATGGGTTTTCTCTGGAAGGGAGATGTGCTCAGGACTTTCCACAAGTGAGTACCATCAGTATGGAAACGGCGAGTGAAGAAATCCCCTCCGCAGATTTGCACTACATTTGTTATAGTCTGTGAACATCTTCGAACAGCCTAAACAAGGAACCATAGGGAGAAATGAAAGCCAGTTATTTCCAACTGTTTCTACACTCAATCTTGCTTTGAATTTAAATGAAATCATGCGATATAACAGAATGATGGCAACATATGATTTATCCAGAACTGCAAATAATAGGGTAAAACCTTAGTTGCATATGCGCAGTGCCAACTTGCCCTATACTAATATTAATCAGTTTTCCAAGGATCAGTCGTCCCTAGTTATGGATTGCAACCTGGTCTATGCAATTGCTACACTAATTTTTGCAGACACGTTGAACCTGGATGTCATTACTAACAATTTTGGGAAAATGGGCTCACTGCAGGGAGAAAAGTCTTGGAAATGCGAAGATCATGCATCATGCATCATGCTCATATTAGCAATCAGATTTCAGAGTTAACAAGCGCTCACCATGGGGTTTCTATTTCGAACACAGGCAATTAAGAATGGCCAAATTTTGTTCATTGCAGGAAGCAAACGATTCTCCCCAGCTTCATCTTCATCGGCAGCTAGATTATCCTGAAGGCTATGAAGTGAGCAGAGATCAAATATTTGGTCGAGTGCCTCTCTGGTGTTTTTCTCATGCCGGTAGGCACCTTCGACCCCGGCGAGTGCTGCAATGGCTTCCTAAAACATCAACGAGCAACATGAAAACACAAAAACTAATAGCAATAATACCCTAAGAATGTTTCAACAACTACAATATAGCATCCGGGGATATAAGCCAAAACATGCTAGTTTCCAATTACAGGAGTTCAGCACAAAAAACAAAAAAAAAAGAAGAAAAAAGAAAAAAAAAAGGCCTGGAGAACAAATTGAATTCTTCTGTCATTAACAGAAAGTGAACAATAGCTGTAAATACCAGACCAAGGAAAAACTACAAGTCTACCAGGAAAGCCAAAAGTAAAAAGCTCCTACCCAGTACCACTTATAGTTTCAGTTAGGAATAGAATGTAACTAAGGCACGAATTAAGCAAAGCTGCTCCAGATCCTTGGCGCTGATTACTGAAGATTTGCAACGGAAGCCAAAAGCAAGGCCATATGTCATAGAAAAACATCTTTACCACATACAATCTGATTGTATCAAACAGAGGTTAGCCACAGTAACATTTAATTTGATAGTGGGCAGCGGTCGAGGGATCATTTCTAAAGTCAGTACCCTGGATATCCTATTACCCCATCTGACAAAGAATATAAAACGTGCATACATATACATACATTTGCATGAGTGCATGATCGCAGCACAGTTCACAGAAACGTACGAGACATAAATCAGGGAGCAGATTCTTACATCAATGACATCAAAAGCTATCAAGCAGGCGGCTTGTTGAGATGAAGCAAGAATTGGTGTCGCCGCAATTACACAAGAACCCGCAATACATCCAACAATTCTTCTGTATCTTCTAGATTCCTTCAACTTCAGCACAACAGGTTCCCATCGCTGCATCTCCCTGCTGATGTCATCAAAATACGCATCCTCCTCTCCTTTTTTTAAAAAAACAAGATATATAAAATTAGAGAGAAACAAGAAGTTAAATCAAAACGTCAACATATAAGGGAGAACGGAGTAATCTTGCATGCAAGTAGTAACCACAAGATAACATGCCATATTGTGACAACATGCAACGAAGTTTTAAAGTTCAGAGAATTTCAGAGATATAAACCTTCATAAGCTAAAGAAAATGCCACGGAGCTGCAGAACTTACCAGAGTCTAAGGTAGAAGAACAAGTTTTCTTTTCCCTTTTCTTCTCAATATCCAAAAGTTCCAATTTGATATCCTCGTAAACTACTTCGGATTCACTTGGCAGAATACAAGCCTCGTGTTCAGAAGCCTTGCTTATTTCAAGTACTGCCTAGTATTTTGGGGAGAAGGGGAAATAAATCACCGAGAATTAACCAATCTCATGAACAGGGACATTAAGCAGCATACTCAAAATTCTTTTCCAACAATTTGATAATAAACTTTGTGATCAACCCAGAGCAATTATAAGGTCAACACGTGATAGAAAGGAATGCAACCAATAAGAAATGATACATCATTTGATTAGAGCCATGTAATGAACATACATGCAATGCATAAAACACAATCAAATCGACTTAGATCCCAAAAAGAAGAGATTAAATTGCAGAGATTACCTTTAAGAAGGGAATGGTCAAATCAGGGTGCTGACGTCTGCCAAGAATCTCAAGTTCCGAAGACACAGCCCGCATCTGCAACATGTCCAACAATTCAGCTTAGAAATGCAACAGGTCAAGTAAGGAAAAAACAAGACAAAAGCGAGAGAGATTGAAAAAATCAACTAAAAGACTAGCAAGCTAGACTTTTGTAAAACTATCACAAGATGTTCAGTCCTTAAAAAAACATACTTACCGGTTCCTCCAATAAAGGCAGTATCTTATGAGCTACTCCAACATAGGAAAGCATCGCAGCAAGTACACTAGGCATGTGAGGATTCAGATCCAAATGGCGCAGTTGTCGGCATATTGAGTCTATAACATAGTCTGAATTTGCTATCACTAAATGGCCCACCTACAGATATTTAATGCAATTGGTTGACATAAATAAAAACTAAATTCCAAATAATGTTTTCAACAAAAATTGTAGCTTCTGCTCACAGTTTGGTAATCTAGAGTACTGGCGATAGTGCGTAGTACAGCATCAGATGCAGTTTTAACTTTTGAGTTTGAGCAGACAAGATTCTGAAGCAACATAAAAAGGCAGGAATGAAGAAATCCACAAGACGAAAAATCACTTCCAAGGCAGACAGTGAAGGCACCAATTCCTTCTGCCACAACCTGTTATGGTAGAAATAGAAAGCCAGAGTCCATCTTTTAGATCGAAGAATCAACCATTTGCACAGATAGTCTAATAAAAGTAAAAAACTGAAAACAGGAAAAGAAAGATTACCTGGTGAAGCATGGCATTATCGTGGAAGAAATGCAAATTTAAAGCTTCGGCATTTAAATTAGGCTGCAAGAGGGATTCAGAGAGACCAAGCGGAAGAGTCCACACTTCTGGAGAAAGATATTCATGCAATATAATCCCAAGACAGTCAATCAATTGATCCCGGGACTGTCTATCCCAAGAGAATTTCCAAGAGTTCTGATTCGGAAGAGTTGCATCATATTCGTCAAAGTTTTGTCCACTTAAGGAGGAATGTCGAAAAATTCTCAAAAGGGCACCCATTGCTTGATCAGACAGACCATAAATTATTTCGTTTAGAATGCATGCAGCTGTACTAGCTTGTCGCACCAGCTGTCCCGATCCGGTTCTGTTATACCAAGACTCCCAACTCTCCAAACTGCACTCCCGTGCACGAATTTCTGAGATTAGGTTACGCATGAAACCCAGTGGAACATCGAGGATGAGAGATAGAGATGCTTTGCTTCCAGACGCTGCTAGTAGATAAAAGGAAAACACGTCAGCATCACGAAGTTGCGAATTTCAGAACAGGTACAGATACAAAATAATAAGACAGCTCATGAAACAAAAACAACCTGCAAATAAAGATAAACCTACAAGTCTGAGAACTGCTGACAGAGCCTGGTACACCTGTTGGTTACCAAACCAAGGTGGTCTGCCTGGCAACTCATATGCCCTAGTAACATCCTTTTTCGGGTTTGGCAATTGTTTAGTCACCATAGATTCAATATCTTCAGGACAAGCATTTCGGGTGGCTTCCATCTCTGCAATAGAATGCACAAAACCTGCTGAAGAAGGTTTTGCTACCATAATCCTATCCAGTGAGCCAGCAAAGACTGTGTTCTGACTAAAGCAGAGAGAAAGAACATCCAAGAACCGAGCAGCAGCTACCTATAAAAAGCCATTAATAGACATTAGTGCCGGCTTCAATAAATAAGCGGCAGCTCAGTAACAGCTAAAAGTAAAGTACCACATACTGGAGAGTGAAGTATTTGTGCAGCCACGAATTTCGGACCAGAGAAATATATAACCACAAGTAACATCCGGGCATGTGAGAGAAACACTGACTCATCATTTCCTAGAACCACGTGTGGAATCTTTTCAAGGAGCCTGCTAAATATCAATGCAAAATCTTGTTCAACGTCGCGCCGGTTTGATGAAAACAAACATTTTAAGAACATCTGTGCAGAAGAGGACACCGCCTCAGAGTCATCACATGCCAAAACACATGCGCACTCCTGTAAAACAGTGAGGTTATGTCAAGCCAGACAAGGCAACAGTGAACATAAGCCAGAAATGCCTACAAAATATACTAGCAACTCAAGAACTCTGATTGCATCTCACCAAAAGCAATAATCTGCTATCGTGCAATGTATATCGGCACTTCAATAAAAGATTCCTTATGGCTGACAAAATTCCTAGCCTCACTTTTTTTGATGGATGAACAACAAGCTGAAGAGCATGGAACGTGTTAGCATTTGCCATACAAGAAGAGAAAAAAAAACGGCAACATACAACACCAAGACCAGAGGTAACAAAATAACTGTCAACCTACAAAAGGAAAAGTTGTCGAAAATAGTTTATTAATGTGAGTTGATGTATTTGCGATCCAATCCTTACTGCGATCCACGCGCAAAGAACCTCTCATGCCTTTTTCAGGCTTTGAATCAATCTTAGGGGCAATTTCAAATGTTTTCTCAACCACAGCTTCACCCGGATGCCCAGTCTTTGAATGCAAGCTGCGAAGTTGATCCAGAACTGCAACAACAGATTTTCCCTTGCCCGCATGCTGGAGAGAATCATTCGGGAAAGTAGCAAGACTATGTAGATTCAGATCATCCATCATAACAATTCCAAGAAACTCCGCCAAACTCTTGATTGCCTGGTCTAAAGCTTCACTGCTTCCTGCTGCTCCACTACTCATTGTTTTGGACATTAGCAGAACTTTCCCAATCTGACTAACGATGCCTGGTAAAAAGAAAGCCAAAGCATCCGCGTTACCTACCTGCAAGATATCACATCAAAGGAAGTTGCTTATAAGAACAATTATCAGTCAGCTCTGCAAACTGAAAAATATTCCAGTCTCTCACCTCCTGAAGTTCACATACAAAAGACTTAGCATGTATGAATTAAACAACTAAATCAACAGATCCACTTGAAACAAATGTTCAATAAGTAAAATTGCAATCACAGGCATTTTCATCTGCACAATTTTTATTACCTAGAAGTCATAAGATGGTGGAACATGATCCACAAAGAATAGCTGCCCCCAAAACCAAAAAAAACCGCCCAGGCTGACACACACACACACTCAAACTTTTCTGCAATCTTACTTACACAGATGATAAATCATGTAAGTATATAACTGCAGCTTATGGTTGATGCCATCACAACTTCCAACTACAACTTTGCTGACAAGGAATAATGCATTCAAGAAAAAACTATCCAAGTCTCAGCCTTTCTCCGCCCTCATTAACTACAGTTTTCAGTATCAAACATTTGAACTGATAAACAGTTTTCTTCATAAAAAAATACCAACAAAGACACAACATACCTTAGCTATGAGCAGTCGAAGTGTAATAAAAGCTTCTACACGCAGTGCTGCACTTCCTCGGTGTCCCCGAGCTGCCTCAACATCAGCAGCCTTTGGACACAACAAAATTTGAATTTAGAGGACATTATGTACACTATAACGGCCTGTAACCAATGAAGCAGCACAATTTCACAATGGACCGGGAAAAAATAGAGTAAACCTTAAGAAGAAGTTGCAGCCAGTGTCCCACTGCAACAGAAGCAGTTTCCGATTGGAGAAATGCAAGGAGACAATCTTTTGGTTCTGAATCATACTTGGCAACATTATCTAGTAGAAATTCTGAATCCTTTCTGTCCAGAAGCTCCGACATCCTATCAGTTTGTTTGCATGAGCACAACTCATCAGAACATGGTTGCAGTCGAAGCAGCACAGCTTTGAAACATTTTATTATTCCCTCACGGAATTCTTCTGAGGCCTCCAACGGAGAAAGCATTGCAGCGCGACTCAATTTCTTTAGCATGACAACCATCTGCAAAAGCAAGTCTCAAGTTCTAGTTACAATTCAAACAATTTTGTAAAGACAAGGCATGGACACATTTTCCACATTTGGCAGTTGAAGGAATATCTTCAGATACCATGCTACATTACTACAAAGAACTTAATATCCAGCGATAGAGCAATCCACAAATTAAGGTTGAGAATTTTAAGTATGGAGAAGCACAACATAATTAAATGGGGAGGAATAAAGTTTAAGGTACAATTGAATAAGATAACCCCAAAAGTACCTGATCCACAGATCCCAGAGCACATTTCCTGAGAAGTTCCTCCAAGCAAGCAACAACTCCTTCAGCAACGAGATCACTCACTTTATGTGGTCGTGACTGGGTAACACCAGAAACCTCTGGTTTTCCATCATTTTCTGGTGAAGCTCTGCAATCCACTGCCGCATCCAGTAAAAGCAGCAACGGAAACAAGACGTAGCTGTAAAAAAGAGAAGAGCAAAAAGAAAGCGAGAAAGGTTATATGTCAAGCAAATTGAATGAACAGAAACTGAGGAAAATAAATTACACTTTAAAAAAAAAAAAAAAAGCTCATCGGATAGCTAGAACTCCAAGCAACTGAACAATCAGCCAAATAGTGAAACTTTGGTTAACATAAAAGAAATTGGATGTGAAATAAAGTTGTGAAACCATACTCGAATAAGGGCTGGAGAGAATGCGTAGGGGATCGTCGGAGGAGGCGGAGGAGTTGGAAGAGAACGGAATTGTGGGATGACGATGTCGAAATACTAGGGTTCTGGTGGAGTTGCAGCAACTGTAAGCAGCAAATTTTGAGCTGGGGAAAAATGGTGCCGACCTGAAAATCATCTTCTCCTACTCCTCCTCCGATACCTCCGCCGTCCAATTCGATCTTGACGGCGTCGTTTTGGTGGTTCTCGTCGGCTTCTTCCATCTGCTTCGGCAGGACAGCGGAAGTTTTCGGTTCAGGCGTTTCCCGCGAAAATGAGGAAGAAGGCCTGTTCGACCTGTTCGTGGGTGGAAGAAAGTTCCGGAATTTCGTTTGGGCCAGAAGGCTTAATGAGTATTGGGCATCCAAAAATATATTGGACCGAATTCTATACAAACAAACTGCGCTATACATTTGGGATGCCTCCAGCTTACTTTGTAGAAGAAACATTTCGAAATTAAACATTTTTTCCCAATATAAAAGGCAAAACTTAAAAAAAAAAATAAATAAAATTTTACAGTACTCACTACCCATCAGTTAGTAAAAGTCTGGATAATAATGTTAAAGTCTGGGTAATAAAAATAAATAAATTTACAGTACTCACTATCCTTGATATGTCAAAATTCCGGTGTATAATCTTGGATAAGTAACACTTTCTATTTTTTATTCTTGTCCGATTTAAATACCCTTTGTTCTTTGTAAATTTTTTTTTAAAGTAGGTTTGAAGGTTTTTAAGGAAGTCTCAGACGCATTGAGATTGTGTTTTATTCGATCAAGGATATAAATTCCAATTATGATAACAAAGAATTATTTAAATTTTGCTTTCGAAAGTAACCTCAATTTCTTTCGCATTTTCATTCTGTTCAAGTGTTCATACCGTTTTTCTCTCATAATACTCCATCCGTTCCAGAAAAATAATATGAAACTCAGTGTGGACTATTTTTATGGGCATAAGTAGTATTAATTCCCCTCATCATCACCATTGACTGACTATGTCATCTTTCAAAGGAGATAGTGTTTTTGGCTTCCTGTGTCCAATTAGTCAATCACCTTAGCTCCTACTCCCACCACTAACATTTTCCTTTTTTTCTTTTTCAAGGGTGTTTCTAAAATGTAGGCAACCAATTAGGTTCTACTTGTTTTTTTTCCTAACAAATTATATATCATACTAATAAACAAGTAGTATATTTACTTAGTGACGGTGGTTCACCTCCAAGTTTGACATAAGTTCTTAACAAAGTTTTAGAACAATATCTTCCAATAAAATTATTATACATAATACCTTTTTTTTTTTGACAAATATACCATTTTTTGACAATTTTAATACATAATACCTAAGTTAGTCTAGTACTACCTCTTTTCCCAAAATATGGTCCATTTTGAGTTTTGAATATCATATTTTTTTTAATTTCAAAACTTAAGGTGAATTATTTAATCGAATACTATCTTTATTTTCAAAAAAAGTCCAAATTATATTTTTGTTTAAAAATTTGTACTATTAATAGTAAAAATTTCAGATCCCAATGTGAACTATTTTTTTTTTTTGCACGGAAGAAGTATTATTTATTTTAGAACAACATCTCTTGTCATTCACCTAATGACCTAACACTGAGGGGCCAACTTTGATCCCTTTTTCCAGCATGTAACAGTTTTAAAACCATGCTTCGCATAAAACGGTCATAAGTAAAGACCAAACATCAATACCGTTATATATACACAAATTGTTAACTCGATAATTTTTACTTTCCGAGTATTGAATAAGAGTAAAGAAAAATGTATAATGTTATCCAGCATAACCTAGTACTGTATTTTTTTCCTCCACAAGTTGTTGGTGTAAAGGGTACAACATACAAGTTTTCTAAGGGCGAGAGATACCACGAATGTCAACAGCACTAAACTAAACTAATGCCGACTTCCCCTATATGCTATTGTATCCATTTTACCCTATTGGATGACTAACAAATTTGTGAAAAAAAATAAAACTTCTAAGTTTGGTAATCTCCACTTATACCCATCATCTTCCCGAATTACACAAAAAAAAAAGAAAAGAAAAGAAAGAAACACTACCCCCACTTTGCATTTGACTTTAGAAACCAAAATCCCACATTGGAAAATTAGTCACATCAATATCTTCTTCCTTCAACTTTGTTATCTCATCTAATTGTTGCTCTGGTTTGCAGCTGTTGTTGTAGAGCTGTGATTGATCAACTTCCTCCAATCCCAGTTCATGTGCCATGTATTTCACCCAATCATCGATTGCCACATTGTCTTGTTGCTTCAGTTGATGATCGATATCATATTCTCCAACAAAAAATGACTTCAATTGGGACACTTGGTCATCTAGTGATTGTGGTCTTGTAGCAACAGCAATGTTTGACTCTCCACCAGCAGGAGGAAGATCAACATTAATGTTGATGTTGTTGTTGCTTAAAAAGTCCCAATTGATAGAATCGATTTCATTTGACTCCATCTCCAATGGCTGCTCACCAGGAATTATAATAGTACTTGGTGAATCAACAACATTGACATAGTTGTCTGATGATTCTTGTCCACCCTTTGATGATCCATCTAGGGTTTTATCTATTGAGAACAACAAAATAAATAAATAAATAAGACTAATTAAAATGCTTAAGCTAGCCTTAAATTGTGCTTAAAATAATTGTACTAGAAATTAAATAAACGTTACTTTGTTCAACATCCCGAACTTTGTCGTGCTCATCCATATTGGGATCTGCATAGGAGATGCAAGAATCCGTCGAAGGCGAAGTCGGCAACGTCGATTTCTTTTTCTTCAGACGTGTGTTCCATACATTCTTGATCTCATTATCAGTTCTTCCGGGCAAGTGAGCAGCAATTTTTGACCACCTGTGCATGCCATTTTAAATCAATCAAGATCATAACATATCCTTAGCGCACAATTTTCTGCGAATAAAATTTGACGAATTAACTACGTACATTATACATGTTCTTAACGCGAGTAACTGACTAAGTAAAGTTATAATCAATGATTATATATTATTATATTAGTCATCGTGATATACTAGCGCAATTATAAAAATTAATAGAGATTTAGACGTGTCAAGATAGTCGCTGAGAAAACTCGATTAATAATAAACAAATGGGAAATTAAACTGAGAACAATGAGTGAATGGGATTGAAAAATCTGGCATACTTGTTTCCCAGGGCGCTGTGGAGGTTGATGATCAATTGGTCTTCTTCAGGTGAGAAGTTGCCTCGTTTGACATCAGGGCTTAGGTAATTAATCCACCTCAAACGACAACTCTTTCCACATCTCTGCAGCCCTATATATTTACATACATGTTTTATCAAAAAGAACAACACCCCCAAAAAATAATGTTTGCAAAGAAAATGAAAGGGATATAACTTTATAAAAATTTTAAAATTTTGCATAAAATTAATACTAATTGATGATTATTAGTGTCAACATAGAACATCAGAAATCCTCTTTATTCATCACATTAACATTATTTTCAATTAACCAAAAACCCTTTTCGATCGGGGGGAAAAAAAACCCCCCGGAAACAAAGAAATGAAGAAATCACGATAACAAAGAAAGGAAAAAAAAATGCGGAATCAAAATTCAAAATGTGCCTTAATTTAGCGATGGTTTCACCAAAAAAAATAAAATAAAATAAAATAAATAGAAATGCAAGTATATGTGAAGGAATGAAAAGAAATGGAAGAAAAGAATTTACCGGCACGGCGAGGAAGGGAACGCCAGTTACCATGGCCGTGGGTGAGAACGAAAGAGGAGAGCTTCAAATCCTCAGCATGAGTCCATGTCCCCTTCTTCACCTGGTTCTTATCACAGCATGGTGCCCTTCCCATCTCTCTTTCTCTCTTTTTCCTCTCTAAAAGTTCTACTTAATTATATGGTCACAAATCAGTACTAATGTACTTTAGCTAGAACTGAAAATTTGACTTATAGGAGGAAGAAGAAGGAGAATATTTTGGATTGGTTATGTACTTCACAAAGTACAGCAGAGAATAAGCCAGCTGATGCTGCTCAGTACTTTATAAGTGATATGATGCTAATGGTTTGCCACGCCTTTTGGTTTCACCTTCCCCCTCTATTTATAGGCCCCATTTTCTTCCATTTATTTTAGTAATGTGTGAATTCCTTGTCTATGTCTTAAATATGGAGAACCATTTTAAAAACCAACCAAAAAAAAAAAAAGAAGTCTAGCGTTTTTTTTTAAAAAAAATAAATTCTTAATAAGTTAAGAATTTATCCATGTGAACACGATCATTTTACAATAATATTTACTTGATATTATTAACATATGTAAGATTGTAAGGTAAACTCCCGACAAAATGGAAAACCGCTCAGTGAAATATAAGGCCAGGGATTCTGTGTTTGATAAATACATAAAAATAATTTAGGCTCACTTTGAATATGTGTAAAATGATGGAGCATTTAATTGTATTGAAATAGTGAAAAATAAGGCCAAACATTGCTCGGCTGCTAGTACTAAACAGTTTTACTAAATGATTAAGGTTAAATATTCGGAAAGCGCAAATCGGGAAAAATAGTTGCAATAATAAATCACATTCCATGACACTAGATTTTTTCCCATAAATGAGAGACTAATTATGGACTCTTTGTAACGTTTTTATGGATGCTTTTGAAATTTTGAATCATTTTATAAGTGTATATTTGTAAGTATATTTTTTAATAAAAAATATAAAAAAAAGTGTATTAATAAAAATATATTAAAAATACTAGAATAAGACAGATATTATTAAAAAAAAAAAGAAGATATTCCTTCACATAGGAATGGTGTGGTCTTATGGAGTGACCTATCGGATTTGACTTTGGCAAAGTGCTATGAATTTAAAGTGCATGATGTTTGTAGTCAATGACAAACGATCCCTATCTTCCTTTGAATCTAAACATCTACACTAGTCCTCCTTAAATCAAAATGAATCATTTTCTTTTGTGCCAAAAGTTATTTAATGGATTATCACAAAGACTAATTAATTTGGCATATTCATACTGTTGAATGACTTGTATGTAGCCTCCGGTCAATACGAGAATTGTTTTTTAAAAAAATAAAATAAAAATCATTATCGTGTCATTATTATAATATTCGAACTCTATTTAATAATAATAACATTATGTTTTTCTTTGCCAAATAAAATTATAAAACTAATACTATGTTGCATCCTTAGTTCAAACCAAGCCAACGTAAATGTGCAAATACACATTATTTTAGCATATCCTTCATTTGCATTTAAATTACAGGTAATATTTATTCACATATGGGAGAAATGTCAAGAAAGTAAGCGTCGTTAATGTACACAAATTGTTGTAAGATTTTCATTCATGTTTCTCCCTTTAATCATGAGCAACAAATAATGATGATTTAGAGATACATTTCACTGCAAGTCGCCTTTAATTTAAATTAATTATGTGAATTTCATTTACGTTCTTACTTTTTAATCATTATAAATCTTCTTTAAAGTAATAAGGAAAATTTACAGTGAGTATAATGTACACAGAGATCATGATGCCCTGTGATGCTATGGCCGGGAAATCAATGATTATGAATCTTGTGTTTTTTTTACTGGAATATTCGTCTTTTTTTTATTAAAATTATTGTCACAGATAGATACTCTCTAAACTAATTTTATCACGTGGCAGTTTCAATTTTTATAGGTCACTGGATATGGTTGCTTAAAATATTGAATTTGGGTGGCAATGGTATAGCTAAATCTTTGAAATTAAGTTTGGACCAAACTTTGAAAGAAATGGGGGAATGAGTTGAAAATATTCTTAAATGTTGATTATACTAAATTTTGAAAGCGAAAGGTTATTACCAAAGAGTCCCCCTTGGGTCACATTGGTCAATTGAGGTAGCTTACCGGCTCAAAAAATAAAATAAAATAAAATAAATTTATAAAAAAATCTGCATTCCCCCTTTTTTTTTTTTTTGCATATTTGCATGATGAATATTTCTTCTTTCCTATATACTACCTCTGTTTAAAAAACTACTACACATTGAATTTTATGGTTTGTTCTATTTTAAATATAAATTTCTTTTCTTCACTACAAAAGAGTATTTTTAATATAAATTTCAACAAGGTGAACTATATTTCTAATATAAATAAACTTATGGAAGTGCATCATTTAGTATGTCTAACCGGTAAAAATTCAATTGATGCATTTTTTTTTCACTAATAAAAGAATATATATTTCTTACCAGTTTTACATGTATATTTATACACGGTAAAGATTTTTACTTTTAGAACTCATCATTAAATCGCCAGACTGGTTCAGTTAATCTGGTCCTTTTAGTGCTTAAATTTTCAAATTTAGCTAACTAAATTTACCAACATTTTGATCATTTTAGATCTTTGTTAGTCTTTAAGAATAAAAAGTCCTCTTTAAATAATTTAATCAGATCGAGACACATAAAAAAAAAAAAAAAAACTAAGAAATGACGGGAGAGTGGATTCCAAGTCTTTGAATTAGGAAGCCAACATTTAAAAGCTTTTAACCAAGTTTGAAGTGATACCTAATTTTTTTGGACAAATGTTTGATTTGTTGGGTTTAGCAAATTTTCACTAACCACCAAGGCTAGACTTTAGATTGGCCAAACATTCATGATCTCAAATTCTCCAAAGCTATCAAACTATTTAAATAATAATTTATCGTGATACTTATGGGGATTACTTATTAGTAATGATGCACGGGTGTATGAATGACGTACAGCCTTGTGTAATAAATCCGTGAAATGAATTCATCCTTTTCTTTTCTTCTTTTTTAATTAAATTAATTACATTATTATTCAACAGTGAAATTTTTTGAAGTCACAGTCATCCTTCAACATTTCAAAACAAAAAAGATATTGCTTAAAATAAGTGTAAGCCCAAATCTTCCACTATATGTTTCTTCCTCAAAGATCTTTACATTAATCCTAATCACACCTGAGCTTCAAGGAGTATTATGTCAACCCTCAAGCTATTGGTCAAAGCTTGCTAGCACCCCAACTGCAGGGCTTTCGGAATATTCGACAAAATTCAGGAAGTGCCATATTTACACTTACATCAAAAGACAAAAGCTTTCAACTGACGGTTCTCAGGCAGAGAAGAAAAAGTTCAATTCAGTTATTGCAAAAGAATGTAGAATGTGGGACTATGTTCAGATTAATGTACCTGAGCTATCCCTAGCTAGCTACTCGGTTATTGTAATAAGATACGGTCTCGCGCCAACAACTTTCAATTTTGATCGTCATGTGCAAATCTTGAATCTCCTGATGGATGAGGGAGACATCAGACAGCTTCCTCTTCCTTTTCATGTCACCACAAGAAGGCCGGGGTCTAACAAGGGAGTCTGTATAGAACATGATGTAATTGGAATATTACACTCCCTCCGTCCCACAAAAATATTCTACATTGAGTTTTGAGTTCTGTATTGTTTTTAGTACAAATTTGAAAACTTAATGTTGACTATTTTTTTTGCGACGGAGGTAGAATTTTCAAAATGTAACTATTTCTTCGTAAGGCATAAACCTCTCCTTTAATTGCAACAAAAAAAAAAAGTATGAATACATCCACCATAATAATAAACAACATTGATACCACATCTATTAGTACAAAAAACAATCCCTTCTTCAACCGAGACATCACACCATACAAACTCTATCGGGTTCAAAACTGCTGTCCTACTCTCTCTGCCCATGTGTATAACCACCTATGAATAACGGCCATAGATTTGTATGTTCAACATCAGACCTCAATTTTGTCCAAGAATAAAGGCAGTTTAGGTTGCCGAAATTATGTTACGTCATGTTTTGAGTTACGTACATCTAATACTGTTCTAGTATTTTTTAGTCTTGCAGTAGTACTCAGAGTCCGATACATTAATATAATGCTATTATTAGAAGAAACGTGGAAAAATAAAGCGGGATTAGAGACTACTTTACTTAATTTGGAGAGCAAAAGAAAACAGAATCAAAAGTAGAGTGAACCAAGTTTTCATAAGGATTGTCAATTTTTGGAAACTAAAAACCTAACTTATGTAGCACTTATATATCTTTGCGCTTGGGACAATGACGCAGCTTATTCGGTTCTAACCGAGCCGCGTCTATTGCTGGTTGAAAACTATTTCCAAACCCCCTCTTTGGCTTAGGTTCGCCCTAAGCCATCGAGAATTTCTGGAAGGGCTCCCTTTTCGGGGTAAAGCCCTACGGAAAAAAAAAAAAAAAAACCTGGGATTCTCCGATTAACTTTGGGAGAGAAGTTTCACTTTTGTTAAGGTCTTTTCAGGTTTATCCGTTCGTCATATAACAATTATTCACAACGAACGAAGTCAACTCCAACCGAATCATGTCCGCACTCGGATGAATGGGAATACAATTTCATCAGTATATAATTCTGTCACAACACACCGTATGACATGGTTTATTACAATTCTCCTACACTACAATATCGGCCTGCCTGATTTGTGGAAGAATTAAGGGACAATGTGGAACAACCTCCCCGAAGATCTGTTAACTGAGGTGCTGCTGAGATTCCCGGCAAACTCCCTCTGGGAGTTGAGGCGCGTTTCGAAATCGTGGCAATCTCTCATTGATAGCGATGATTTCATTAAATCGCACCTGATTCGATCGTCCCCACCCGTTAAATTACTGTTCGATGGTAAAAGCGCAAGCCTTGAACAAGGCACGCAAGCGTGCTGTTATGCTACCGCGGAATTCGATTTACCCTCAAAGATAGAATCTACTCTCGAGAAGATTGATATCCCATTTCACAGAGTACTGTTTGCGAAGAACAAGGGAAAGGAGATCACTGAATTAAGATTTCAAGGTTCTTACAATGGGTTGATTTGTATGAGTTACCAAGTTGAACTCAAACTTGAGGCCCTGTTATGGAATCCATGTATTAACCAATACTTTATACTGCCTAATTCCCCTGTTTCACTCTCCCACTACTATGATCCCGAGGAGGTAAGGATGGACTATCGTCACCATATTCATATATGTTACGGATTTGGATATGATGAAACTCGTGATGATTACAAGGTGGTTAGAATTGTTCAATTCAGACGTAACAAGGTGATGAATGATTATGATAATAGCACCAGAAGTCTAGTCCAGAAAGAAGCTAAAATTTATAGCCTGAAATCCAATTCTTGGAAGAGTGTTTCCCCTGATGATTTGTTTCCACATCCAGTTATGTTCGAACATTATGAGATAACAACGTTGGCTAACTATGCTCTACACTGGGTCGTTCGAAGCGATGATGGCAGGAATGCAATAGCGGCCCTTGACCTTAGAAGCGACAAGTATCATCTTGTGCCTTGGCCTCAATCCGATGATGATGATGATTTTAACCTGAAGAGAACTTGTTGGGCACTAGGGGTCGTGGATGGTTGTTTTAGCTTCACCTGCGCACCCAAATCCATACTGAGAAGCGGTTTTGATTTGTGGATAATGAAGGATTATGGCGTAAGAGATTCGTGGACAAAATTGAAGTTTGACGTTGAATATATAAATTTATGGCCATTGTTCGTAGGCGGTTATACATATGGGGAGAGCAGAACTGCAGGTAGGAAGTTTTTCTTTGGAACTGAAACTGAGTTTGTATGGTGTAGCGTCTCGGTTGAAGAAGGGAGTCTGAACAACCCTATTGTTGTCTATACAAATTATTGTGGTATGCGTTCTGTTCATGGAGCATATATCCATACTGACACCCTTGTTAGACCTCGGCCTTCTTATTGCGGTGACATTAAGAAGAGGAAGAGGAAGCTGTGTGACATCTCTCATTAGAAGATTCAAAATTAGAACCGGTTAAGGTTTTCCTGTGTCCTCACTGATTGTCTTATTTTAACATACTCCCTCCCGTCCTTATAATTCTGCTGAATGCTCCAAATGTTACTGCGAATTTAGTCCATTGGAACTGAACATGGTTTCATGGCTTTTCATTTTTTGGTTGCTGATACTACTTGTTTACTCTGTCGTTTATCATTGCAGCCCCCTAGGTTTCAGGTCATCATCAGGATACAACTTCAGAGCAACTAGAACTTATCAATCCCTCGTCAACCAAACTGATTAAACAAATACAAATTATCCTCGCTCGACAACTACAAATGTGGAATGTGTTCATCTAAAAGTATCTTATGGTTCCCATATCAATAAGAATTACGAGACGAAATGACAAAAACTAGAATAAAGGACGTTGAAATGCCAATTGGTAAGACACTGAAACAATGTAAAGTGGTAGGACATTGAAATTGTATTACATATTATTGAAGTTAATAATGATGACCATTCATCATGAGCTAGTGAGTATACATGAGGATTATTGAATTAAACCTCAAGTGATCTATCAATTATTCTCCTTCAGAACAGTGCTAAACTCTGTAATGAAATTAAGCCATCAATTTGACAAAGACTTGATATCTAAAATAAACAGCCTTAAGAATAACTCTCTTGCCAACAAGGTCACAGCGTATAAAACTCTCCTTAATCCAACTCCTGTATCCCCTTGTCTTGAGACCATTATAGTTGACTCGACAAGTTTCAAATCATGAAAATAGAAAGAAAATACAATGCGCTCAAGATCTTTAGAATGATATTTTGTTGGTATTCCATACAAAGAATCAGTTCACAGCTACTACAACCAATAACAACCAAGAGGCACAAAAGAATTTTAGTACCCATCTAAATTTCTAACTATGGGATATGTGCTTAGAAACACTACTACAAGTTAAACTGACAAGATTCTCTTGTACAATAAGCTGTAATGTGAAGAAAATTGCAGCAATCAGAAGAGAGAAAGCACAAACTTGACATACAATCATCAAAGTGGACTCACTGTTTCAAGTGCTCGCTTTGTTAGAGGCATCAGCATTCAGCACCTTCTGTGTTGACCTTGTGCTCTTCAGAAGGCTCATCATTACCCACATGTGAGTTCACCCAAGGAGGATCCAACTTAAGCTGTTTGGGAACCTGTGTATCAAAATACGTAGCAGCCATTTCCAGATGAGCTTTAGACAGTTCCTCAATCTGTCTTCTACAAAGTTTTCCAGAAAGCATAGAAGCTTCTCCCCTTGGCCCCATCAGGTTGAGAAATAAGATGCCATTCTTGTCCACTTCAAAACAAACATGGACTCTACTCGTAACAACATCACTAGGTATTTTGAACGCCTCTTCATTCACCATTAATAAACCGTGGTTCAATTCAGGTATGAATTCCAGAGTTTGCTTACAAGGGATACGTTGGTTCCCACTGAAAACTTCAATTCTTGTGCCACCCTTCTCTGTAACTCCGATACCAGACGGCAAAACATCAAATATGTTCAAGGTTTCCATCCCTGACCCACGACGCAGAGACGCAGCCCTCCAGGCTGCACCGAAATCTAAAGTATCGTTCCCCAAAAGCAGAGTATCAGGGTGGTTCTCAGAAACCGAATCACCGACCCTCCGAGCCCCAAGAAATAACGTAGTGTAAATCTCAGAAATATATTTGGCGGAATCGTCCAAAACCCTGTTAATCACAGGAGCATAACCTTCTCTTGAGTTCTTTAGGTTCAAGAGAGAACCCTCATCAAGGGCACAGAGGCTCTGTACTACGAACTCATTTTTTTTTCGACTTCTGACTAGAGTGATGACAGATAAAGTCAGATACTTGCAGTTGTGCATAGCCAAGACGTTGATTCCTCCACGGGGCAACGTCTCCTTGTAGCGGATATAACTAGTGAGCGCAATGGCGGAGTGGTCACTCAAGAAAGCGGTTATGCGCATTCCGGCAATGCCAGCTGCATCCACCACCGCTTGGCGGCGGAATGAATTGAAATGCGCCGGGATACAGAAAACGGCTTCTTGAACCTGGGATGGCAAAGATTCTACGGCAGCAGCCTTCAATTCCCGGAGAAGCATCCCGAGCAAGCCTTCTGGGAGGAAGAATACTTCTTTGTTGTCCTCATTCTTGAACCCTATTTCAACACGGTGGCCCTCCCTCTGCCGGAATAGTTCAATCCCGGCCTCCTCGGCGTATTTCTTGATCGAATCATAATTCCGCCCAATTAATTTCATCGGATCAACTATGGTGCCACCCGGACATATCAGAATAGATGGGATGCGACGGAGAAGCTTGAAATTGCCGTTTTGGCACAGGCTGACGGAGAGATTCTTCTCACAGAGATTAATTCCAATGCCCCAAAGAGCGCCGTCAGCCATTGTCGATTAGCTTAATGCGTAACTGCTGCGGATTACTTATGTGGTGTATCTTTTTATTTCTATTTTTTCCTGTAAAAATGTGAAATTGTTGCTATAAGTAATTCGTACTACTTCTTACCAAAATGTAATTGTTACTACTGCATTGTGTAAACGGTATTTCACCAAAATCTGAAAAATATAAACATTGTCTAATTTAGATGTGACATTCTTAAGCACAAATATTGGCGGTCTTTTCTGTATGGTTTCAACGTTATCAGATGACACCAAAATGATAATGTTAGACTAACAAATCTGTAAAAGTTTATACGTCTTATATGTTTTGATACTTAAATATCGGAAAAATTGGCCGATCTACCTAAATGTTGATATGTGTTATCAATTTTACGTTATTCTTTTTCGATTAGCCAATATTACCCTAAACTATCCAACCGTTAGCCGATTTTGTCCAATTTGCCAATTTTCGTTTAAATTAACGGAATTTCGTTAATTTTAATTACAAAATACCCTAATAATTTTGAAAATTATAAAAATGACCCTAAAAATTTGTAAAAATTACCAAACAGTCTTTTTTTACTTTTTATTTAATTTTTTCTGTTTTCTATTTCTTTTCACTATTTCTCATAACTATAAAAATATATTATATAATCTTTTAAAAAAAACTATTTATTTTTAAAACACTATTGTGCAAATTTATAGATATGCATATTCGTAACTCATGGTTGATTTACATAAATATATTAATTTTTTAATAATATGATTTAACAGTAATGATACTATTTTTTTAATCTATTTTTTTCAATATAAAAATAAGATTATTTAACTAAACCTAATTTTACATAAAAAATAAAATATTTAGCATAGATTAAATTTTTTTTAATTGGTATACTTTAATGTATTATTACAATATAATTCAACAGAATTTAGATTGTATTGTAAAATTAAAAAAATAATTAAACTAAAATATAAATTTTCTTTAAAAGACCAAGTACAAACAGAAAGTAAAAAAAATTGGTAAAAAATATTTTCTAAAAAATATGTATATTTATCATTGCGAGAGTTTAACATTTTGTGATAATTTTTTTGAGATATTAACATCTAACTTTAGCAGGAAGTTTTTTTTAATAATAATAAAAAAATATGCTCCAGTACTAGACTCCACCTTTAAAAAAAAAAAAAAAGATCGCTCCAATGAGAATTGAGGTCTCGAATACAGTAATAATCATCTCCCATCTTAAATCACCTGACCATCAAACTCAACCCTCTCACCTTTAGTAAACCATGCAAAATGTGGATAAAATCACTCTCCCGGTTAAAAATCCTTGGTGAGAATTAATCTTATATCTACTATCATGAAGCTCAACACCCTAAACACTAGATTGTACACTATATTTTAGTTTAGAAAATTTTTTGAATTGGATAATACAATCTATAGTTTGTTTATTCAATTTGTAATAAATTAAAATATACTAATATATTAATTTTTAATCTATGCTAAATGTTTTACTTTTTTGTAAAAAAATGGTTTTTTGTCAAAAAATATTATTCTTTAAATTGAAAAAAGGATTAAAAAACTAATATCATTGTTGTCAAGTTATATTATTAAAAAATTAATATATTTATGTAAATCAACCATGAGTTACAGATATACATATCTATAAATTTGCACAGTAGTGTTTAAAAATAAATATTTTTTTAAAAGATCATATAATATATTTTTATAGTTATGAAAAATAATAAAAATAAATAGAAAACAGAAAAAAATTAAATCAAAAGTGTAAAAAGACTGTTTGGTTATTTTTACAAATTTTTAGGGTCATTTTTATAATTTTTAAAACTATTAGGGTATTTTTTATAATTAAAACTAACAGAATTCCGTTGATTTAAACAGAAATTGGCCAATTGGACAAAATCGACTAACGGTTGGATAGCTTAGGATAATATTGGCTTATCAAAAAAGAATATGGTAGAATTGATAACGCATGTTAACCTTTGGGTAGATCGGCTAATTTTTCCCATTATTCATTATTATGCCATATTCTCTAACGTACATTACACGTTTCAAAACAAATTTTCATTTGATTTTAACCAAACTATATCCAAATTTAAAACAATAAAGTAAATGAAAGACCTGTCCATATTGTAACTTTGGAAGTGTGTAGTTACTTAAGAAAAAAAAATAGATATCAAATACTACTTCTGTCCCACAAAAATAGTTTACGAGTTTTCAAATTTGTACTAAAAACAATACAAAACTCAAAACTTAATGTAGACTATATTTGTGGGACGGAGGGAGTACTGATGAAAAGAAAGAGACAGTAAACTAATTAAAAGTATAGTAAAATACTCCCTCCGTCCCAAAATTATTTTCCAGTTTGAAATTTATCTTTTAGTATAATTTTGGGACGAAGGGAATAAAAACCCAAACTGGACAATAATTTTGGGACGGAGGGAATACTACAAACAATTCCCTCGGTACCAAAAACGATCCTTTTGTTTATGCTTTCATTTTTAGATAATTTCTAGTTTTCTACCAAATTAAAATATAATACGGAAGAAATGATATTGTACATGTCTATGTCGAAACTTGATTACCTTGACTTTTTTTCACCTTCAGTCGAAAAACGAAAAAGTCTACCCAAGACAAAATAGTCTACTAAAGACGGAGTATATAATTGTGAGTTGTCATTTACGTTCTTCTTCCTCTCTTTTTTTTTCCCCCTTGATAAAATGCAAATATTATATTCTCAATGCACTAACATTCTGTGGAGCGTGACGTCAATCTATCTCTTCCAACCAGCAATTACAGTGATTAAGCTCATTGCCTCATTTCATTCTTACTGATCTTTATATACTATAAGGAGAGTCCGAATGTTATCTTATCCATATGTACTACAATTGTCACCCCAACACCATCGATCTCAGACCTTTGATCAACTGCGATAATCAGCTTCTTTTCTTGGCCTGAAATCCATGTATACCCGTTTGAATTATGAAGACAAAAGGTTTATAAAACTATATCACAATCAGCATGCAGTCAAAGAAGAATCCTAACAATAGAAATACTAATTGTTTTCTCCCACAAATTGCTTGGGTTTAATCTCAAGTGGGTGAGAACAATGGTTTTCCCCATATCAAATCTCAAGTGAGTGGAAATAGTTAGTGGTGTTTAGCGGTGTTGTGCTTAGTCGTGTTGGGAGTTTGGCGTAGTTAACGAGTCTTTGCACCTTTAATTTTTTTTTTATTTTAATTTTTTCCCTTTTTACTATTAAAATTAAGTTTACTTCTTTATTTAACAGGTTAGTTTTTGGCATTTTTTACTAGTGCCTTCTTACATGTGTAATTAAAAACTTTTGTCTACTACTTAAAACCTAAAATGTCTTATTTGACCATGTACTATGACACTTTACAACTAGTGCCTTTATATATTTATTCTATTATGACATTTTTTTAGTAATCCCTTGATATGTGTGTCATTATAAATATGTTTTCTTGTAGTGGGTGATGAATAACATAGCTAGATAGTTCTAAAATCGAGAGTTTTCATTCCTCCTTTCCGGATGAAGGCCAAAAATCTTGAAGGGTATTTGACATTTGACCAAAAGGAAAAAGAAACTTTTATCTAGGGCTAAAAGGAGACGTAGAACTTGGAAACTGTTCTCCAAGTGAAAGCACGTACCCTAAATGCATGCTTATTCAACTGTTTCTATTACTGAAAATATCCTAAATGCGTGCTTATTTAACGGTTTCTTGCTGATTATAATATCATTAAGGTAACGTTTAATTCAATTACAAGTTTCATTATAAGGATGAGTATAAGCACATGAAGAGTTTGGTTTCGGTGTAATCATTCCAACATTATTGTTTAGCACATCAGTTAGGTTTAGATGACATTTTTATTTTTATTATTTAATAATTATTAAATTTAAGATGTCAAACAATATTGAATTTCTTAGAACTCAATAAATTTTGTGTTAATTTACTTTTAAGAACTTATATTATTACTTTTATTTAGATTGATTGAGTCTGTTAAATGTTCAATAGTTTCAAGTTTAAGTTAAAACTTAATACATGAAACAAAATATGAAATTCAATAAAAAGAAAAGAAACAATTATGTAGTTTGATATGATTATAAATTCCATATGAATGTTGAACTTTATAATTTCGAAAAAGCTTTATCATAAAAATTACTAGATGTTAGACCCGTCTGATGGACGGGGAGCACATATACATAGATATTACTACACAAACAAATCAAAAAAATGTTAATATTTGTATAGATTTTTGTATTTTTATAAAATATATAATGAATTCATTGAAAAATATAAAACACAAACATCGACAACACTTTACCAAACGAATACACTGGTAATTTATTTAACGCAAAAAAGATTGTTAAGAAATTAAAAAAAATGAATTTTGAATTAAATAATTATATATTTTGCAATATTTCTTGGTAGACTATATTGGTAGTCTGGGATGGAAAGGTTGGCTACGGTGGTTAAGAGATTATGATAAGAAATTTTTATTTTTTTTTGAAAAGATTTATGATAAGGAATGGTTACTGCCCTAACTTATTGTAGAGGCCATCCAATTTTTTAATAAGAAAAATAAAAAAAAAAGGTTAGATATGAGGACTTTTTTCTAAAAATTTGGATTTCAAAACATTAAAAAAGAAGAATAAAGAATAGCCATAATTGAAGCCTTTTAATATTTTTATTCTTTGTCAGAGCCATTCTTAGTCCCGCTACATCAACCCATCACCATAGTATTTTAACTCAATTCCATATTTGAAGCTAAATTATAGAAGTTTCAGGTTGACCTAACTTCTTTAATTATTTTAATAAATTATTAATATAAAATTCTTTTTCAGTTGCGTTTTTTTTTTAGGATGAAGAGATCCATCCATCGGATTTGTAGGGATTTGATCGAATCAATATACAGTTTGAATTTTTTCAGTTGCGTTTTTTTTTTTTTTGGTTTTTATTGTTTTATTTTGTGCATTTTTATATTTAGAAAATTAAGAAAATACCATATAGGATAAAATCTTATGTGACATGTGCTCCTTGACTTTAGATTCCTCTCTCTGATTTTGCCTTAGTATAGTATGTAGATAAATATCGTGAAATATGAGATAAAAAATTAAAATTGAGAATCAAATCAAAACTCGACCCTTTTGAAGGGTTTAGAGAATTTCTAGGTATCAATCCATTCCTCCTAAATCCAAACCCACCAACCAAACTTAAAGATTTAGAATCATTCCATTCCCTACTTCCAAAACCTATCAACCAAACACCACATAAATCTTTCTCCACAAACGCCTTTTATCACTTTTCATTTTCCCCAATTTCTTTTTTCCTCAACAGAGTCGAGTATGAAGTTCTCATTTTTTTCATTGGTTGGCAGCAAAGTCACTGTCTGTCACTCATCATAAATGAGGTTTAAAAAGAGGTAAGGCATCATAAACACCAAATGAGGCTAAAAAATATGTAAGACATAACATAAATAATAGATAAAAAAAATTTTCACTTTACCATTTTCGATGATGGCGGTGTGGAGCACCAAGAACGTTGATTGACCCTTAAGATTCAATTCGCGATCTTGACTGGCATAATGAGAGAGGATGGCAGTGTTCACATCGGAGAGGAATTTCTTGATATTTATTCCAGCATAGCTATCGCATCCACCATGGCTCGGCATCTACATGAGTTGAAATGGGCGAGCAAGCAAACTATTGCGTCTTCAATTTTGATACATAGTTTATGTTGAGCGACCGACTTCAATTCCTGTAGAATTATGGGGAGAAGTCCCTTTCATGAAAAACTGATTCTCATCGTCGATTGTAAATTTAGTCCGGTGCCATTTTTTCTCACAATATAGCCTGATGCCGAAGGTCAGATTGTTTGGGAGGTCGTCCAATGTCTGAGCTATCATCTCCATGGGGTTAACTAGGGTTCAGTCTGGGAAAGAAATGTTGGTTGACACCTCGTGCAATTTCTTGGTTGTCCCCTCATTATAAATGCTAACAGAAGATCAATCCCTATTATCGCCATAATTCCCAGTTACAAGATACTCTCTCTAGCCTCTATTATAAGATATTTTAATTTGTCCTAAATTTTACCGGGCATGTTTTTTTCAAGAAAAGTTAAAAGTTTTTTCTAATAATTAGGAGAACGCAATGAATGTGAAAATATATTTTAAAGATTTTTTCTTCAATTAAAACAATATATTAGATGAAACTTGGGACAAATTAAAATATTTTATAATAAAGATCGGAGGGATGAGATAGAAAGCTCGAAAAAAAAACTGAAACAAATTGGGTCAAACCGAAATAGTGAAGAATAGTTGGTGAAAAAGATTTTAATATTCTTATTATCTATTTATATCATATATACTATTCCCTCTCTCTTAAAATTATCATCCAGTTAAGATTTTTAAATTAGTATTAAAATTAGTATAAATCTCAATATGAACTAGTAATTTTTTGGGTGGAGAAAATATAAATTACTTCTAAAGAGTCTAGATTGAGATCGTAATTGGAGTCTGGCTATACTCAAATTTAGTTTTTTGGGAATTCTACTAAAATTTAGTTGAACTTGAAGACTGGGAGGACAGATCCTCATCCCCGTATCATGTTTGTTCTTGATCACGAAGATTGTCATTACTAACTTCATTCTTTGCAAATCTTCCAGAAATATGAACCATACTGCCCAACACGCCAACTTAGGTTTACTGCAAGAAACCATATAACAATTAATTGGTTAGAGTATTTCCAATTATTGCACTATAATTTACACTAAATTTAGTGTAAATAAAATATTCTAAATATTTTTGTACATTAAATTTCTTTACACTCTAACCTTAATGCACCAAAAGGTTTAAATGTAAAATATTTTTAGTTTAAATTTTATTTTAGTAGTTGATTAAAATCTTACGGTTTAATTTTAAGTCACTTTTTATTTGATTCTAGAAATATGAAGTTTTTCTATTTTTATACAGATTCAATTTTCACAATGACTAAAAATAAATTCTATTTTTAGAATAAATTTTTATATTCAATATGGTTCTAATTTTGTAAATCTCAAAAAACTATTTAATATGATATAATTTTTACAACATAATTCATTTTATAAGTTTAACTATATAGCAAATATGTAATTACATCTAAGTAAAATATAGTGCACAAAAGATAATATAGTTGATAATTTACACCATATTTAGTATAAAACTATTTTTCACTGCATTAAAATAGTGCACTGATTTGGTGTTTTAGTACAAAATTTACACCAAAACACCAAATTTAGTGTTTTGATGGTTTCGTTGGAGATGCCCACATTGGCCTTATATGCTTATTTGCAGCATGGAAGTTTAGACCGTCTTTACTTAAAACAAATCGATTTGGTCAATATTTTTGCAAATTGCGCAGCCTAATCTTGAGCAAAGTAAAACAGTTACTGACCAACAAAGAACTACTGGAATAGGAATCCAAAACACGAAACTCCAGAACAACGCAACAAATTTGATGAGACAAAAAGTAAACACATTACAATTGGGAGAGAATGTGCTCAAACTCAGTCTCAAACCACAAGCATTCCATGTATCTCCAAGAAATAATTAGTTACACCTTGAAACAGGTAATTTTCTCCCGCGCGCCTGGATGAGGAAAAGTTCAAATCTGCAGCTAACAACATCCACCTTGACCTCCTCTCAGTGCAAGCACAAGGTGAAGAACAGAACCACCCTCGATATTGTAATCCTTTGCAGTCTTGTCATCTCCGAGCTGCTTCCCCGCATAAATGAGCCTGCATCAGTAAACAAAAACATTCAACTTCCTAACTAAATGTTGAATAATCTGCTGAATGAGATAGCATGAAGTAATATTGAGGAATAACATTCTATTCTTTTCAGTGAACACGAATAAGACCTTTGTTGTACAGGAGGAATTCCTTCCTTCTCCTCGACCCGTTCTTTGATGCGATCGATTGTGTCAGTTGGTTCAATATCAATTTCTATCTCTTTTCCAGTAAGAGTTTTCACTTTGATCATTGTTCCCCCCCTAAGCCTCAACACCAAATGAAGCGTGGATTCTTTCTGAATGTTGTAATCAGCCAAAGTACGGCCATCTTCTAACTGCTTCCCTGCAAAAATCAGTCTCTGCTGGTCTGGAGGAATACCTTCTTTGTCCTGCAAGCATCAGTAGGCGATTTAAATATAAATGCAGACGTGCGCACACACATACAGACACATACATAGTCATTACTACCAATGAAATAAGACTAGAAAAGCTGCAAGCAAAAAAAAAAAAAGAAAAAGAGACAATCAGAGCGATGTCAAGAGCTCAATAACTTTTTAATGTATCACTTTCAGTATTAAGTCTAAAAGCTAAAGCATGCTCAAGCAACATATCCATCGCAAGTGAAAGATAAGAAAATTTCTTGAGATCAACCCATTGAAAGAAGACATTTCAGGCCAGAAGAACATGCTCTTTTTTGTCTACCAAGTACATAAAAACATACACTCATGTTCAGTACAACCACATTAAAATGCATCACTCCTGGAAAAACAAACCAAATGTTACACGATGGAGAAAGAAACCTTGGAAGAACAAATAGAGTACTATACCAGTCTTCTAAGATATGGAGCCAATGAGAAACTACATTCCTTATTGTCCGTATCACAGAAAAAAATCAAACCAAACCAAACCAAACTCAAAACTGGAATAAAGATTTTCTTTTTCTCCCTCGAAAATGATCTTTTCTAAGTTATAATCCATTTTCCAAGGTTGAGATTCTTCCTCATCGGCATCATATCAAGAGTCGTTTGTCTTCATCAAATTGAAAAATATATTAGAAACATTTGTTTTATTGCAGTTCAACAGAATCAGACTCACACCAAAAAGATCAGGCCTTTTTTCTGTATTCTGAAAAAAAGGATTGGTAGGTAACGCAAGTCATTTACTACTACTTCTAAATTTAAGTTATCTAGGAAACACTACATGATTAGATGAACACCAGCGTAATCCAGAAATTGAAACAAGGAAATCAAATGGGCAGCTATCAAAATACATCCATCTCTCAAAAAAGTTGTCACCTAAACAAACAAATCCCAGAAAGAGCAAATGATGACCAAAATCCCACATGACGGGAGAAAAGGAAAAACAAAAAAAAAAACGGAAAACCCCCGTTTTGTTTCATATCAAATTGTACAACAATGTTTATAGCCCTCCTAATTGAAGCCCGGATAAATACGGCGGAAAATTGAACAAACCCAGTTCGTAAATTTGAGTAAAATCAGCACGAAATAAATTAAATACACAAAAGAGAGTGGAGTTTTGAATCGGGACCTGAATCTTGGCCTTGACATTGTCGATGGTGTCGCTGCTCTCAACTTCGAGAGTGATAGTTTTCCCAGTCAGGGTCTTCACAAAGATCTGCATAGCTTAAGAATTATGATTCTGATTGTGATTGCTTTCGGTTGGACGATTGAAGTAAAACAAAAATGGCTCCTACTCTTCTTCTTCCTGCGTGAGGAACCAAAACACAACCCGAGTCTAATATAAAACGCAAAAAGAAAAGAAAATTGAAGTATCAGGATATAGAGGGTAGCCGCAAAATTACGCTACTTATGTTACCAATTAACCATTTTAAGTTTATTATATTTATAGTTTTGTCATTAAAAAAATACAATAAAATTAAGAAAACGTCCAATTTAGCGATTAATAAGAAGGTACTTTTATGTCTCGCTTGGTAGTTGGCACCAGAAGTACAAGTTACTGAGGATCCGTTTGGTTAGATTGAATTGCCATTGAATTGGAATTATAATACTATTAAATTGAAATTGAGATATTAATATTGTAATTCAATCTCAATTCTCTTGTTCGGGAGATCTTGAATATTTACTAGAATTAAGGTTCTAATTCCAATTTGTGCGTTTGGATGCATAAAAATTTGGATACTTTAGAATTGAAATTAGTTTGTTATTGTATAACTAATACTAGTACAATTTATACTTCTTGTCAAAAACTTTTTTTTAAAAAAAAAAATTTATTTTAATATGGATATGTATAATACAAAAAAATAAATAAATTCATTATGTACATGTATATTTGACTACTTTGTGGTTGTTTAAATTATACATTTTTTTACGTTTTTTGTTAAAATGAATTATTATTATTAATTAATTTGCTATATCAATTTTGTAATTTATTATGTACACACATTTTTGTTGGAAACAAAAGAAATATTATTACGTATAAGAACTATTAATATAATACTTAAAATTCTCACTTAATACACAAACAAGTAACACGTAAAATATCTTTATTTGTTTAATGTTTTACTTTCTTTTGATACATATTTTTTACATTTTTAATTTACTTCTTGTACATTATTAACAACATAAAAATACAAATTAAAAAAACGATGTAAAGCTCATGCTCTACTAAAATACAACCCCTCAAGTGGAAGATCTAACTTAAATTTATCAGCATTGGCTCATTTCTCATGTTCCGTAGGACCCTTAAAATGAACATTCCACCAACAAGTCGCTTAGTCTCGTTCATACTAATTTAGCTGATCATCCTTTTCCTTTGACCATGTTGAAACCAATATAATGAAAAAAGTTTACCCAAATCATATTAGATCCTTCATCTCCACTATTGCATCTTGTTGACTTTAGCTTTGACATCTTGAAGAACATTATTGGCCATTGACCAAATTAATCTATGCACTTTGTCACTGTTTTAAGGTCAGCATTTATATAATGGAGCAGTTCGTCCGAAAATAGATAGTGCTTGTAAAAATTCAAAAAAAAATGTTCTATGGGCCTACTTCGTAATAGCATTACCAAATCTTCCCGTTTTGGCCCAAACCAATTGTATTTCTTTGTTAGGTAGTTAATTTCAAAATTACATAACCTACAAATTGACAAAATACTAACCACTTCATAACTCGAATGACTGACTAATCACAATAAGCATTCCCGATAGTGAAATTTACTCAGTTTTTTTAAAATCATTTTTTCTTGGTTATAAAATTTCATTATTCTGTTATGCACGCGTTAAATGGCGATTTTTCAAAAACAAAAACAAAAAAAAATACTACTACTATTATTCACTTAATGCTTAGTTCAACAAATACTCAATTTTAATTTTATGACGGAATAAGAAGAAGAGAATGATGTAAGGCAGCGGTTAGCTGGAGAAGTTTCTTTCACAAGAATTAAATGCAGCATTGAATATTTTCCATAGGCCGTGAGATTTGACATTACTGACTTGAGATTTTGACAATTGGTTTTCTACGAAAAAATGGAAAAAAAAAAGAAGAAAAATTCTTTTAATTTGACAAAAAAAAAAAAGAGTTTAATATAGAAAAAAGAAAAGTAAAAGAAAAAAGATATAAGTACTTTCTTTGTCTGGGAAAATAAATCAAATTTGCTTCATTCATAAATGAGCATTGAAAGGGGCATTAAATGCCAATCAATAAATCTTTCCCCAGAAAACCTTTTAATTCCCACGATTACGTATTGGGTACTGCACACCTGTACCCTCTGCTATTTAATTCCTTATAACATTTCTTCTTCTTTTTTATTTTTATTTTACTACTAATTAATTATTCGTACGATACTACAACAGCTCCACTTAACAAATCTACGAGTTAGATATTAAATACGGGATACTCCGTATTATTATCTGCTTGATTTTTTTTTTTATCATAAAAGCTCATAAATGTAACACATATTCAAATTTCAAATTTTTATAATTACTCTTTTTTTAAAGTATATATAATTACAATGGCCAATAATCCACAATTTCAAATGACTGCTCCATCATGATGTAATTAAGAGTATTTTTCAATCTCAAACTTTTCTTCTTTTTTTTTTTTTGCATGTTAACGGAGTTTACATCGAGATTATACCATTAGTTTTTTATTTTGTATCTCTATATCTCAAAATGGTTGTTTAACTTGGATTTTCACTTTTAAGTATAGTAAAAATTCACACTAAATAATCATTTCATGACGGATTGAATACATACAACGATTTATTAAACTTAGGACTAAATCACTAAAATGCATGCGTATAGTAAAATTATACATTTATTACAGCTCCAAGCCTGCAACAATGAGTTGTACTAGTGGCCTTTTGGTTTTTAACAAAAGAAAACGCTAAAAAGAAAGGATATTATGAAAACTTGATATCGGTATATCCTTTATAATGAGATTAGTAATCTAAATACTCCTTCCGTGCTTTAAAATGAGTGTCATGATTACTACTATTATACTAAAAAAATCATTTTACATGGGAGTACAAAAAAAAAAGGGTTACTATTAGAATGTTATTATTTTTCACTATGAATTTTTTGGACTTTTTCATATGTAAAAAATAACAATGTAATGAGTAATACGACGTTTTCCTACTCTTGAAGTTTCTTTGTGAAATTTCTTATGCCAAATATTAAGTGATGAAAAACGCATAATAACCATCGGATCAGACCGAATTTGAGAGGTGTCACGCAAATGTGTGTGTATGTGTGTTCTTTTTTTAATAAAAAAAAAACTGAGAAATGAATAAAGGCACTAAGAATTTGGAGAGATCAATAAACTATGAATTCCCTTCATACTCATAATTAAAAATACTTCGTCTGTCCCAAAATTATTATACAGTTTGAGATTTTATTTTTAGTATAATTTGAAGTAGAAACGAATACCTAAACAGGACAATAATTATGGGACAGAAGGAGTATGTCACATTCAATAATGAGGAAGATTAATACTTTAGGAATATCGATCTGCAAAATCAACATCATTTGGTAATTTCAATCATGAGTCACGACAAAGTTAAAATTTCATGTAGTAATTCTAAAAAATGTAATCTTTATTTTATATGATAGGCGTGGGATACTTTTTAACCCAATTCATACGTTTTCACTCATGTATTCATAAACAATTCTCGTACGATCATTGTAAAGATGTTCAATATGATGCAATATGAATCATGGTTCACATAACGTTAGATAACTTTAATATAAAGTCATCATGATGTAATTTTATGAATCTTTTTTTTTTTTTCCCTACACGTAAAACACTGAATATTAATAAATACTGTGAATTAAAAGCCAAAAGAGGATACCAATCAAAACACTCAACTCCAAAGGAAAGATCCAAAAAAGATTTTAAAATATAAAAGAGAATAGGGAGAGGGGCGGGATAGGACTACTTAAGAACAAAGTCATAATTGTCAAACAATTAATGCAAGCATTGCATCCAAAGAAAGTGCCAAAAAGAAGGTCACACTGCAACGTTTAATGCGGCCTCAATAACTAAGTTGAAGACTCTTTGCTCAAATATATGATCATAATCCACCATTATTAATTCAGATACATCCGTTTGCCAATATCTCTACTTTTTTTCATTGTGGTGGTGGATCGGTTAGGAATTTATGATAAGTAGTTGCTGTTATTACGAAATTAGAGATTTTATTCTCGTCACGATGTAAGATGACATAACTAGAGTTTACAACGTTTCTCTAATCAAATTCAAAGAAAATTTTAGTTCGATATAAGATTACTGTTTACGCAAAATATTTTTTAATGGATGGTGACATTCAAATTTCAAAGTACAATTATTAACATAATAAAACTCCACACCACCTAATATTTTGCCATGTGATGTAAATAACTTTTTAATCGCATGATAATATGGTGATTAATGTTGTTGGCTCAAGATACCAGATCAATAGGACGATGATGTAAATGAGAATGTCACATAATTTTGATTGAGGCACTGTGTTTTTGTCCGAAAAAGTGATAGAAATTTAAATAATTCCACCACCAGAATAAACGTTGAAATCGTCGACCCTCTATTAATTGACCGTATTTTTAAAGAGTGGGAGGGAGTTCATTTTGGTTTTGAATATATTAATTAATTATTACGTAGGAGTGAGTATATTATTATTAGTATTATTTTATATATTTTTTTTGTAGCGTACTAAAAATTGTACGCATGTATTTAATCACAGCTGTCTTCTAATGTTCCCAATTTGCATTAAATGCCGCAATTACTGAAAGGTCCCCTTTCTCTCTCTCTCTCTCTATCTCTATCTCTATCCCCTTAGTTGAATTTTCTTTCTTTTATTATCATTCACCCACCACAATTAACATTTAATACACCACCACCCCCTATTTAATACACTTCTAATTTTATCTATCCCATTTAATGATTTTTTCAAAATTCCTTCTTCTTCAAGAATTATTTCCCTAATTATTCTACATTATTGCGTTTCCATTATTGTATCCTTTATAGTTCTTTTCGTCTTTATTACAAAATGCTCCCTAAACTACCAATTATTGACAATGACTTACCTCCTAAAAGTTTTATATATTCCACTCTTTCACCCCCGCCCCCCTTCAATTCTAAGCACAAAGATTAGACAAAGAATAAATCCATATGTTTGTTTGACTCAGTAAAGGAAAAAAAAAAAACAAAAACAAGAGTATTGTTTTTAAACAAACACGTACTTTTTACAATTTCAATAATGTAACTCAATATGGTATGAAAAAAAATCGTGAATCTTTTTTAATTCGAAATTAAAGTCTAAAACTATGATCATAAATTTACTAAAACGTACAACATCCACCTACGTTTATAAACTTTAAATTGTAGTATGTGATCTGGATTAATGTAATAGAAACACGACATTTTTTTTGGACTAGGAAAAAAAATATCTGCAAATGTGATCAATTTTTTCCCTTAATCATTTGGTTGAAAGGATGAGTAAATTAGTAGATACGTATTTTTTGTTTCCTTTACGGTAGGATTTGAAGAATTGAAATGTAGAGTGAATATTGAAAATAAATAAAAATAAATTTGATGATGTGGTTGCATTTAATGATTTTAATTCAAATTTTACCATTTCCATTTCATTTTTTATCACACAAGAATTACCCCCAACACATTTAAAAAGATTTCCCTTCCTCCTCCCTTCTTCTCTCTATAAATACTATCTCTCTCTTTAACTTCAGTTTATTTTTTTTCTCCTTTATTTTCTGGGTCCTCCTCTTTTTTGTTCTCTGCAACCAAAACAAACAGAACATAAAGAAAACCTCTTTCAATTACAATTTTGAATCAATTTTTCGTTTCTGCTGGTTAAAATTATCGAATTGAATTGAGGACTGTATTCAATAAGCGATGGCAGCTGATGTGAGTTCGTTGATCAGAATATTGAACGGCGGCGGCCGTGGTGATACCAACGAGCCGGCTTTGATCACCCGAGACCTACTCGGCGGCAGCGGTAGCGGTGGCGGCGGCGGCGGTCATCATCTCGATTCCAGAGAGTTGGTGGACCTGGACATGCAAGTTCCATCTGGCTGGGAAAAGCGTCTCGACTTGAAGGTATTATCAAATTTTGATCTTTTTTATCCAAATATTCTGTCTCTTTTTGCCTTTTTAAAACCGAACCCGTTTGGAATCCTGGTGAAAACGAAATAATTTTACTCTTTTTTTTTTTTTTGCTCATATGAATAGAACGAATTAGAATTTTGGTGGCTTTTATCCATCAGTTTCAGTCCCAAAATGAAAGACAATTCACAGGGTAGACAGACAATTTTTACTTTATGTTTTTGTATTTGATTTTTTTTGAGTGATGATTTAGAATTTGAGTGGCTTGGTGTTTGTTTATTGATATATTCTAATTCCCGGTTAGCTGATCATGGTCTTCTGGTTTATTTATATCCATAAACGTTTTGATGTTGATTTTTGATCTGTAATGAAATTTGGATGTGATATTGCATCGGCCCTGAATTGATTAGGTGTTGATGATTATTCTTTGTTAAATTTGGAGATTCTGTCTTGCAGTAAGAATCATCATCATCAGTGTAAATTACTTAAAAGTGAATTCCTTATAACGTTGCTGAGTTTTTGTTGTTAAAAGAAGGTAAATGAAGAGCATTCATTAATGGACAACAGTAATATATACGTTCAGTTTTGTTATCCAAATTCCATCATTTATTTTGTTCGGTTACCAAATCATATCACTTCATATTGTGAACCTTGATCCATAAATTGAGTCGGGACATTAAATTCCAATGTAAACACACCTGCCTCATAACTAGATAAAGCAGCTGGCCATTAAAGTGTAATCTGAAGAAAAGTGTATAGTCGGGCCATCAATTAATGTAAGCATACTTAGTTCCTGCCTTATATTTCTGGACAAGAGATGAAAATGTGCCAGTTGTTTAAAAACGGTTCGAATCGGTCTATTAATGTTTTATGCCACCTCTTGAAGCTTCCAGGGTGTATGCAAGGTCCTGTACACCAGTTAAGAGTCGGTCCTTCTGGGCATTGCCTAGTTGTGATTTCAGGTCATTTGATGACAATAACACATACTGCCAGGCCAAAGCCACTCTTCTTAGTTTTGAGTATGTTTATCTTCAACGAAGTTAACAAATGATGAGTTTGAATTCATCAAGGAAAGACCAGAACATGTTATTCCTTATCCTTGATGACAACTTGTATTCGTTTTGTTTGTGTCCTGCCCTGCACTGCCTCTCCTGCCATGATCTGTTTCCACATTTTAGTCGTTCCTGATTTGGTGAATTTTGTCTATGTTAGGTTTAATTTTAATGTTTGTTTGACCTGAGGATATGTATAAGCACACCAATAATGTATTATTTCTTTCTATATCACAGTCAGGAAAGGTCTACCTCCAGAGGTGTGATTCAACCACAACTTCATCATCCTCGTCAGAACATAACAAATCGATCAACAATGGGGCAGTTTCCAATTTTCAAGACCTCAACTTACCACCTTCTTCAAAGCAGCAGCAGCCGATGAATCTGTTTGATGATGGTAGCTTAGACCTAAAGCTCGTGTCATCATCAACTGAATCATCACCCTCAAATTACCAGAGCGTTTGCACTCTAGACAAAGTGAAATCTGCACTGGAAAGAGCAGAGAAAGAGACTAACATGGTCAGGAAGCGGTCAATATCCATGTCGAAATCATCCTCACCCTCGCGACTCTCAAATAATTCTTCATCCTCTACAGTAGATGAAAATGAGGAGAAATCAGCGCCAACAGCAGCTTCTTTTGCGGCTGGTTGTCCTAATTGCTTGCTATACGTGCTGATATCGGCTAGCAACCCAAAGTGTCCTCGCTGCAGCATCACAGTTCCATTGCCAAATAATGTCGCAGCAAAGAAGCCGAGAATCGACCTGAACATTTCCATATGAGAAAATGGGAAGGGGAAATTTTATTGATTTTTTGTAAAGATAGAAGATAAATTTGTAAGTAAATGGGAAGGAAATAGCACCTAATTCATAAGCAGGTAAAGATTAGGTTTTGGATTTGGTTTTTTCGGTGCCTTTTGTGTTACAACAGAATAACCTTCAAAATCATCAATCCATTTTTTCGCCTTTTCATTTGTGTTCTGATGCTGATGATGATTTGGATGCTCTTCTTCTTTAAGAAATGAACCAATGCAAACCAGTAAATATACAGCTAATGATTCTCATCTGTTGTAAATGTACAGCAACCCATTTGCAAGCTGAATTACAAAAAAAACACAGGTCCACAGTGTCTTAAATTGGCCTACCTCTTAAAACGGAGTACAAAAAATATCTTTTTTGCCCTTTTCGATTAGACAAGGTGTGGAGCGTATTAAGAACATAAACACTTGACAAATGTTTAATAATTCATTTTCCTTCTATTATTTATCGATTACTACTAGTACGCAGTAAAACCAACAATAAATGCAGCTGCCCAACAGAGTATCATTTTTAAAGCAATGATGATGAAGATTTATTCCTAGTTTCCTACTACTACATCGCACTTCTCTTCTATTTTTCTTTTTCTTTTTCCCTTCCAAATTATCAAAAAATATTTTGAAAAGTTAATACTGTAACAGTGCTCAAGAAAGCTACTGGCAGCTGCACCGTTGATTGACTTCTGTATTTTATGTAGTATATAATAATAATATAACTAGCGTTTACTTTAATTTGTTGGATGGAAATCTGGGAATAGTCAATGATTGATTAAAAAAAATGGGCATTCGCATTAATGCTAAATGACTGATTAACATCCTATGATGTTTCCTTCTGATTGAGGATAATATGGCTGTGTTCATGTGCTTGGTTCAGAATCATTAGTTAAGGTTCTTTTAAAGATCGATAGATATTAAAACAATTTCGTTTTATACGCTTACTAGAGAACTCAAATAATGTCGAGATAAAAGTATTGAATCAATTTAATTTTAACATGATTCAAATTATACAACAATTGAAGTAGTTATTGTTTGTAAAAGTTTGACTTATCTTTTTAAAAGAAATTTACTTGACTCTAATCTAAACTCCTAATTATTAGAGAGTATTTTTTTATGCATAGTAGTAAACATAAGATTCATAATTTATATACATCTCACAAAAACAATTTTATACATTCATGATTGATCATATACTATTTTCTTCTTTTTTTTTGTGGAAAAAAAAAATCAAACACGCGTACAGGGTCACAGGGAAATGCTAACTACACGATTTTGATACTAGATGAATAATTTACACTTTGTTTGCGTTTAAAATAAATTGGAATGAATTTTTTGAAGCTTTCATTCGTTAACATAATAATATTGGACAGGATTGTCGGGAGAGTTTAGAAAAATTGAGTGGCAATTATTGCTTTAAACAAATTTTAAACAGTCTTTTGTAAAAACAAATGGATTAATAAAGAAATGGAAAATGCACGCTACGCCACTGGTAAATTTTTAAGAGAATATATATATATATATATGGACTGTCAGACTATGAACATTTTGTGAGGCAGCCTTAAAGTATGGAAGACTAATTGAAATATGAAAAATTACATTAAATTCAGAAAGGGACCCTGCAAATTCTAAGTTCAATCCTGTCATCTATGTCAGCATGCATTCAACATGTCACTTAACTAATGGACCTTTTCCCTGTCGCACGTATAAATTGCATTAATTATCCTCCTAAAATTATACTAATGTTTGACAAATAATTAAAGAAACTGTTTATAATTTTTTAAAAATGTCGCTCTCGGGTTTTTCATTTTGAACTATTTGAAAAAAAAAATTTTGTTTACTCATACTATGAAAGCCTTAATATGGTGTATTTTTTTTAAGAAAAAAAGAAAACTTAAGAGAAAGACTACAAATTCAAAAATTAGGTGGAATTATGATCCCTATCGAGAAGATATTTTATTGGCGTGTGCATAGAGCTCAACAAGTAAAATTGAACAAGTAAAAAAAAAAAAAAACTAAGAAAAAGAGTGGTAAATAGTAAAGGAGGAGAACAGAAGACTATTCTGATTTCTGAGTGCTCACCTAAATTTAGTCAAAGAGATTAATATTGTGCCCCTCCATATTTAATACTAAATGAGATGAATAGCTAAGAAGGGCTTATAATTATGGCATTTAAGATGGAGAATTCAATATATACCTAACATTCATTTAATAATACTACTTGTAGTATACAATAAAAACCTTTGAACAACTCCGCCATCAATTCATTGGTCTTAAATCTTATGAACTACTGCTCAACTTCCAAAATTAATTATTTCACACGCCCCCAAAATTTTTATAAATGTTTTTTTTTTAATAAAATAAATAAATTTTATTGTGGTTGTAGAGTACTCGTGAGATTGGAATTGATGATCATAGTTAGTACTCACTCATCAAACATATGAGTTACAGTTCGTTGTCAGGTGATTAATTCGTTTCCTCTTTGATTTTACCCTAAGTTTTTCTTTTTTTCTTTTTTTCCCAGAATGATGATGAATGCATAAATATGTTGGCTTACCGACATCTTGAATTGAAGGAACAATGAACGAATATATTGCAACCAAATTAATACTATGTATGGACATCGTTTTCGTTATGATTTATAGCTCAAGAACATTAGTGGAAGTATACAAATAAAAAAAATAAAATAAAAAATGCGCGCCTTAATCTCGATGACTTTAATTCCTTCGTTTATAAATAAAAAAAAAAATTGAACTTCAAAGATCTTCATCTGTGCAGAATCACAAACGACATGATCAGGAGAAAAAAAAAAAGAGGAAAAAAAGAAGAGAAAAACATCACATATATGAAGTTTATAATTTCTCACGTATGAAGTTGAGTAACTTGAATGTTAGTTAATGACGTGAAGAAATTGAAGAGCTCAGAAAAGCCGCCCTTGAAGGTTCCTTTACAGTATATTGATCACGATATTGGTACCATATATACGTACAGTAGTATATCATTAAATTTTATTGTTCAAATGCATTGATCATTTATCACGTTCGTTGAGATCGATCCCCCATATTCCTTCTCTACGATGATCCTATTAATTTCAAAGTCCATTATAATTTATAAGCAAAAATAAAAAATATCACGTCATATTTTTTTCTTTTTTCTTGTTTTCTTGTACAAACCAAAAAAATAAAAGAAAACAGGTCAACATGGGAAGAAATCTGAATTAATATTTCATGAATAAGAAACACCGACAATATCTAATCATAAATATATGAGTCTTTGGGATCCATTTCCAGGGCGCGCATGCATGGTTTGAACTCAAACTTTTGCTTCTTGCCCACTGCCATGCTATGTGCGATATATACAGTATCATGCGCGTTTGGTTATTTGGCGTACGATGAACTATGAAAGTTGATCTTTAGATGAACAAATGTATACATGCATTGCTTTATTAGATGTAGCAATGGCATTTTGTGACACGATGATACGATTTTTTCAACAATTCTATTGTAAAGAAATTCAAAATGAGCATAAAGATCATGAGTAAGAGATCGTTGGAGGCGAATGGAGAAACATATTTATACTACACAGATAACATCAACAGCAAAACCATTACAAAGATTGAATCATGTAGGGATTATACCATATTGACTAATATTATTAGTTTGGGAGATGAATGAGAATAACATCTTAATTACTCCCTCTATTTCAAAAGTCACTTTAAATTTTGCATGTAAACTAAGAAAACAATCATGCAACCATTAATTTATGTATTAAATATCTATTTTACCTCTTATTAATTACATTGAAACTATAAATAAGACTAAATAAAAATATATTAGCATCATTTATTGAGGGTAAAGTTGAAAAAATAGTCATTGATTTGCCTAGAATTTGTAAAACAACTTAAATTTTGAAAAATCTCTCCAAACCTAAAACGACCTACAAATTGAAATGGAGGGAGTATGACTTATATTAGAGTTTTTTTAAAAATAAAAAAAATTTACAACCTTCAACATATGAACAGAAAACACAACTCAATCGCTACCTCTATTAAATATGTATCTTTTGTTGCGTTGAGACTTGAGAGTTGAGAGTTATAACATAATTGATGATTGCACAGGTGCAGCGGGTAGTAGTATTAAAAGTATTCAACAACTGGTAGTGTTGTACTGTGTGTGGTATTTAAGTGTAACTCCAAAATTTTGCAGAATATATGTATGTATGATGAGAAGAAGAAATTAAAGAAGAGCAGCGCAGGCTTCAATTCATCAACCATAAAGGCGGATTCATAAATATCAGCAGTTGTTGTCCGATTAAATACATTTCCCCTCATCCATCCCCCTTCTAAAAACTAAATAGACACATTTCATTTCAAAAAATAATATATATATATATATATATATATATATATACATATCCGATATAGCCCCTTTTTTATGTGATCACAATCATTATATGCGCAATCTATCTTTATTTAAAAATGATTAACAGTACTGCTTGGTAGTGTGAATATAGATCCAAAGTTAAATTGTTATTTAAATCTTTGTCAACTTTTGTTAATCAATGCAGATAAGATAGAGGGAATCGAAACTTCCATATAGTACAATTGAATTGATTATTGGCGTTATCGGGATCGGAAATTGATCAATAGAACTGATATTCGAAAACAATACAACTACTAGTACACTACTCCCATTACGATAGGAAAGGAAGACGCTCACCATGATTCATGATAGTACTCCCTCCGTTCTAAAATAAGTGTCATTCTAGAGTTTGCACATAGTTTAAGAAAACATTGAATAAGGTAACTAAATTATTAGAATATCTTCAACTAACCCCAGTAAAATAAATATTCACCAATAATATCATTTCTTTTGAGGGTATGTTTGGAAATTTTTGACAAAAAATGCATTGGAATCCGAAAACGACACTTATTTTGGAATAGAGGGAGTAATACGTTATCGTTTAATTCATTCTCTCCGTCCTAAAGTTATTATATAGTTTGTAATTTTATTTTTAATATAAGTGAATTAAAAGTAAAAATTCAAATAATTAGACAATAATTTTGAGACGAAAAAAATATTTACAATTTAATAAATGAGACTCTAATTTTGGGACGGCAGCCGTTAGTATTTATTTTATATAAGCAATGTGGAAGCGAAATTAAGAGGAGCATTGTTATTCATCTTGATGGCGCTGATTGAGGCACTTATGAGAACCCACTTGCAGACTTGCTCCTTCATCATTTAATGATTTGGTTTACTTACTGGAGTACTTATATGGCACTTAGTATTAATTAACGTTTGCATTTATTTAAAAGTTTGCTCACCCACCTTCATGACTATGTGCCCTTTTTAATGCTTTGACTCAATTAAACTTATTTTATTTGTCATTGTAACTTGCTCATTCATTCAAAGAAGCGTTTGATTATTGAAGTTTTGAAATCATGGACTAGTAGGATAGAAGATGCAAATGGTAACAGTTCCATTTGAAAATGTATACTGTTTGGAAGTTTATACTACTAAGAAGTCAATCAACAATGGTAAAATCTTATGGTAAATTTCTTTGACAATGGATTAGAGCTATCTTTTGTCTTATGTTTCATTATGAATAAAGAAAATTGCAAGTATCAAAGAGTTAGCTCAAACGTAGATTGTTGAGTTGCATTCGCTGTTAAATATGAGCTATGTCGGGTCATCTCAAATAATTCAGGATTCAAATATGATGACATCTTTCTGTTGCAGGTTACAATATTTTAATTTGTTAGGATTTTATTTTTTAAGGTCATTTATTGTTGTACATTCATATGTGCTAGTTTAGTAATTTAGGCCTTTTGGCATTGTAAAAAAAATAAAAAAAAAAATAGTAAAATCTTAGGGTAAAGCTACTCGCGGTATATATGTTATCAATTTGTAAGCATTCTCCGATTCTTATTATATGAAAGTATTAAGAAAAAAAAGAAGAAAACGATACATGTTATCCATCTTCAATATCACCCTCCAACTGGCAACGGGTTATAGGAAATGTTGGGAACTCAGTCGTATTGTCTGGATGTTATTGTCGGCTTCAATTTACCAGAAATAATATACAGAACACATTGTAAGAAATTTGTATAAACGTTTTTGGTTTCAGAAAAGATCCTGAAGAAGGGGTATAATATTTTAAATCCTAATAAAATAAATACTCATGTCACATAAAAGTAGTGTACACTGTAAATTATAAGAGTGGTGATAAAAGAAAGTGAAAAATCATAGGGAATTTTGGTATAGTAATTGATGTGTAAAACTTATTAGATAATTTCTTAGAGGTAGTTATTATCATCAGATGAACTACTCACACATTTACAAATTAGTCTCTACACCAAAGTCACTATGATCTATACTTATTATTTTCCAAATTATTTTTTATTTGACTAAATTTGTATTTAAAATTTACAATGTGTGTCCTTGTTTAAAAATTATTACTGTATTATTCTATCTGTTCTAAAAATTATTGTTCAATTTAAATTTTTATTTTTAATACAATTTGAACAGAAAACGAAAATCAAAACAAGATAATTATTTTAGGATTGACGGAGTAATATTTTTATTAAGTTTTTTTTTTTTTTACAATTTGAACGGAAAACGAAAATCAAAATAAGACAATTATTTCCAGGATTGAGGGGGTAATATTTTTATTAAGTTTTTTCTTTCTTTTTTTTTTTTCCCGAGAAAGAGTTTCAATTTCGGATGCCTACGTTCAATCATTTTTTTATTCAATAGACCACTTATCAACTAAAAACATTTGATCCAACATGCTGAATTACAGTCCAGTCCAGTAAACTTTGGGAGAACGTCAGGCCCAATTATCTGCACCTTCATTCTCAAAGGGTTTTAGCAATTAAGAGGGTTTACCAAAACGAACTCTCTCAGCTTCAACCCTAATTTTCACGATTGATTAATGGGGAAGAAGCAGAAACAGAAGATTGTTTTGCCGCCGGAGCTTCCGCCGGAAGTTCCTGACGATGAAATCGTGGTTTCCGGTGAGGATTTGGAGTTTGTGGAAGAGAATCCTGACTACGCCGGATTTGTTTCTAATTTGGATACTAAGTCCCTCACCAAGTAAGAATGCATTCTGTGGAATCGGCTCATCTGTAATCAACTTAAAGAATAATGGTTTATGATGTGCTTTATCAAAATAAGCTTATTTCAGTTTTCCTCAGACGCATATTGGCGTAAAGGAGAAATTTTTCCGAGTGAATTTTCCAAAATAAGCTTTGAATATAGTTCCATCCATCAAATTCGAGTTCACGTTCCAATGAATAAACAGCAGTTTCTTGCTTACACAGAAATTTTTTTTTCTTTTTTTGGGTGGTTGAAATTTTCACTTGTATTTCCCGGTTTTAGTGCTCTTTACTAGTGTATTGCTCAATTCGACCTTCATTTTATCGTAATAGTTAGTGTTTTTATTTTTATTTTTATTTTTTTAAAAAAAATGTCTGTAAAGGTAACTTACACTTCTAATGATAGCCATTCAGTTTTTGTTTAAGATGAGTTACTTTGGAACTGTTACAGAGGGATGGAAAGTAAGAAACTTAAGTAGAAGTGGCTCTTAAACTGAATATTGGTTTCAATTCACAAGTGATGTTTGTTTTAGAGTTGGAAATGATTCGGTTGCTCAACTTTGGCCCCTTTGAGGCCGAAAGTTTTATTAGTCTTTTGATGATTTCCTATTCAAAATTTGGAACTATCTGTATGCATTGTGGCAATGCTGAGTATGATTATAATTAGCTTGGAATCAAGTAACATATGTTTAGTTATAGTTATAGAAAAATTGAGGCCTTTGATGTATTGGCTGGTAGTTTCATTTTTGTGATAGGGCTTATTATAGCTCTAGACCAATGTAAATTGTTCTTTGTCAACAGGCATGTCATTCGAGTTGCGGATGTCAAGGAAGATGCTTTGGAATCCATGTACGAGAAACGGCAGTTAAGAAAGAAAGCAATTGAAAAGGAGAAGGAGGAAGAGAATCATATTGAGGTTGAACCTGTGGATGCACTTCCAGTGAAGACCTTAGATGGGAAACTTCATTATAGAACAGGTGTAGAAGATAGTCTCTTCTGTTTTTTGACTAGTCCCAGAATATTTTCCCTTCAGTGTTATCCAATTCTAAAGATGTGTGGCTTGCAGTCCCCAAGGCATTGGGAAAACTTGATGCCGAATCAGAAGTTGAAGCAACTGCTGTTGATAATGGCTCTGTGGCCAAGTTGACAAAACCTGAAAAGAGAGCTAAGCTAAAGAAATTGCGGAGGGAAGCAAAAAAACAAGGGAAGGATGCGGCTCAGGAAGAGGAAGTGCTGCAAGCACCTCAAGCAGAAGTTTTGGTATGTTACTCCTATATGCACCAATCTGTAATGCCCAATTGTTGATATGTTTACGCAAGAAATCTGGAATTTGGTTGTTCATTCCTTTTTCTTCAATTCTTGGATGAAAACAACCCCTTTATAACAAAAGAAGTAGATGTTATTAATCAGCTCCTGTTCTCTTAATAACGTTAAATTTGATATGTTAGGATGAGGTGAAAAAGGAGCTCAGTGCTGCGGAAGCCAACGAAAAGAAGAAATATAGGCTTGCTGAGCTTGGAACTTCCCTGCTTGAAGATCCAGAATCTAATATTAAGTCTCTCCGGGAGATGTTGGATATTTCTAAAGATGCAGATCATTCCATTGTAATTCTCGGTCTGAAATCTTTGTTGGCTGTCTTCAAAGACATCATTCCGGGGTAGAAATCTCTCTCTCTCTCTCTCTCAGCGATTCTGTTCATTAATATGAACACTTCATGGGTAATGATTTACTATTCCTACTGCAGGTATCGTATTCGGCTGCCAACAGAAAAGGAAATGGAAATGAAGGTGTCCAAGGCTGTTAAAAAAACACGTTTTTATGAATCCACCCTCTTGTCTACCTACAAGGTTTAGTTCATTTGAAATTATGGTGTATAGATGACTCTACCATGTATATGTTGTATAGAACCATTATGCTTATTGTTTTTGACCAGTCTTTCAATGTGTGTACAGGCATTTGTGCAAAAGTTGATTGCACTTGAACAGCAGCCTGTGTATACCCGTGTAGCTACCCGCTGTCTCTGCACTTTGCTGGAGGCAGTCCCGCATTTTAACTTCCGAGAGAACTTGTTAGCAGCTGTCATTAAAAGTATAAGCTCCGAGGATGATGTTGTGAGGTTATTCCGGTTCTTTCTTCTGAAACCTGTGTTTTCCTATTTAACTGATGATGACATTCAAAATTGTTGCATCATTGGTACTATACTAAGAATGGTTACTATCGTTAGTTATTGAACTTTGTTATTCTACACTAAGTGATAACAAATGTCAATACTTTGATGATGGAACTTTATGGTGATATAAGAATGGTTAAACGTTTTCACCCGCAGTTGCAGATTATATAGTAAACTGTCGTAGTGGCTTCTGCTTGTAATTGTTGTTTATCATTTGTCTGCAAAATGTTTCCATATTGTATTTATAGTGGTAGACATATGATCACTTGTGTCTCACTGATTATTGACAGAAAACTCTGCTGTGCTGCTGTGAAGTCGCTATTCTTAAATGAAGGGAAACATGGGGGTGAGGCTACTGTTGAGGCCGTTCAAATGATTGCGGATCTTGTGAAGGCTCACGATTGCCAGTTGCATCCTGATTCAGTAGAGGTAAGATTTTGTCTTCAAGGACATTTAGCTCTTTAATATGTCATGTTTATTGATTTTATAAAGAAAATTATGGTGGATAATGTGTCAGGTATTTATGTCGCTGTCATTCGATGAGGATCTTGGGAAGCCCGAAAGTTCTGAAGTTGATGACAGATCTAAATTTAAAAACTCTAAGAAGAAAAGGAAATTTGAGGAGCCAAATAAATTGCCCACTAACGAGAACAAGAGAAGTAGGCAAGAAACCATCGCAAAGACAAGGGAAGAGGTATGTATTGGCTTCTGAATTTCAGCTTTCCTATTTCTTTCAAAAATTAAAAAAATAAAAAAAGTCTTTACAACATCACTTGTGTTTCTTGTTTTTGCAGGTGAAAGCAGATTATATGGCTGCATCCTTTGCCCAAGATGCTGCAGAACTGAGAAGGATGCAAACCGAGACTCTCTCAGCTGTATTTCAAACATACTTCAGAATCTTGAAGCATGCCGCTCGACCTAGGTGTGCTGTCATACCTTGACATCTTATCTAATGGAATATCATGTAGAATACAAGTTTCCAAAAGCAATCTCCTTGAATGATCCGCGAAGAACAATTATTCTCAAATAGGAGAGTTATTTAGTTCTGGAAGTTAGGAGAAATTTACCAGTTGCAGATTCAGGCATTAAAGTTCTAAAATCACCAGTGCACCCCATTTTTTGTCATAATGCCCGTTTTCTGGTAAAACCGACAGTAAATTATAGGTCAGGAAATCTTTGGTTTGCCCATTCAATGAAAAATGATGATACTATTTTAGAAATCTTTGAACTTCTAAATCACCAGCGCACCATATTTGTTTGTCAAAATGCTCTTTTTGTGGAGGTCAGGAAATCTTTGGTTAGCCCGTTTAATGAAAAATGATGATATTATTTCATGAAACAAAGAAGGAAGGAAGAAGTTTTTCTTATAGCCTTTAGATCTTTTTGGATTGAAGCCATCACTTTTGCATTTTGAGCTCTGCAATTACGTTATATTTGCTCCTCTCTTTGCTGCTCAGATCTCTAACTGGTTCAACAAGTGTATTTGGGGATCACCCGCTGCTTGCTCCATGCTTGAATGGGATAGGAAAATTTTCTCATTTGATTGATCTGGATTTTATGGCTGATCTGATGAGTTATCTGAGAAAGCTTGCTGGAAGTGGCAGCAGCTTAGGTAGTTCAGCTGAAAGTGATGCGCAATGTCTAACTGTAACCGAAAGATTACAATGCTGCATTGTTGCATTTAAAGTGATGAAGAACAATCTGGATGCACTCAACGTTGATTTGCAGGAATTCTCTGTGCAACTTTATGGTCTAATACTCGAGTATAGACCAGGAAGGTTAGATTTTCTTTAATGTACTATTTATTTTATTACTCTCTCCTTTGTTTCTGTCTTCGGTTCATCTTGTTTCTTGGATAAATATGGGCGATAGTCTAATTCTTTTAGAATCAATTTCTCAGTGTTGCTTCATAAATATGGTTATGTTTTTCAGGGATAAAGGTGAGGTGTTGGCTGAAGCTCTGAAGATAATGCTATGTGATGATAGACAGCATGATATGCAAAGAGCTGCGGCGTTCATAAAACGCCTGGCTACATTCTCTGTATGCTTTTTTGGTTCAGCGGAGTCAATGGCAGGTAAAACCTGAATGCTAGTGAATTAACCAAGTAACCTTATCAGAGTGGGAACCATATGGTTCATGGACTTTATTCTTTTTACATTTTCAGCCTTGGCTACTGTGAAGCATCTTCTACAAAGAAATGTTAAATGCCGGAATTTGTTGGAAAACGACGCCGGTGGTGGCTCTGTCTCTGGTCTTATTGCGGTAAGTGATCACGTCGTTCGTGTATTTTCGCAAGAAAATGTCAAGGGAGATGGTCGAAGATTTAAAAGTGGTTCTGTGAACTTTAGCTATGAATATTTTTGCCCACCTTAAATAGTTGTTTGTCCTTTGCAAAATGCAATTTATGGTTCTCTTTGTGGAGGACAATTTCGTTCGCATACTGTTGTTGATGCTAGCTTTTCGGAACTTTCTTTTTAATTTTTCGCAGAAATATCATCCGTATGCCTCGGACCCAAACCTGAGCGGTGCACTTGCATCCGTTCTCTGGGAGCTGAATCTCCTCATCAAACATTACCATCCAGTTGTTTCTGCGACAGCCTCAAGCATTTCGACGATGAATACTGGCAATAACCAGACAGTTCATATCAACCTATCTCCTCAACAAGCGTTTATGCAGCTATCACGCGAGCAGGAACGTTTTGTCCCAGCTTCCGTTTTCAAGAGAAAAAAAGGTAGCGGCTGTTCAGGAGCAGCCTCCACTAGAACCAAGGTACAAGAGCTTGATTTCAAAAGCTCGCCTGATGAAAATCAGGTGAAAGAGAAACTTGCTGAGCAGTTTTCGATAATCAATGAGATGGTGAAGAATGAGAGATTGAGAGCGGAATTGTATGAGACGACCAAGTGTCTAGCAGTGTATGAAGAATACAAAAAGAAGCAGAAGAGGAGGAAAATCAGGAGATAGCTGAAAATAAATGTTTATATTATTTTAGTTGCAGCAATTTTGACAGTAAGTTTTGGGTTATTTAAAACATCATCCCCTTAATTTAGAATCATAATTTTATGTATGGAAATGGTCCTAAAATGCGACTCTACTGGCCTTCCCATGCATTATCCACTTTGTCCAATGAAACAGAACCTATTCACATGCACATACGCCTATTTCTTTTCCATCAAAAAATAATAAATAAAAAAAGAAAACAATGGGCCATAAAAACAATGTACCTTAGAATAAACTCCAATAATGTGATAATACCGAAGTACAACTTAAACTAAATTGTTAAGGAGAGAAGAACTGGGATTGGCAGTTGTACGATGTAACTAACTAGAAAGGCTCAAACTAAAAAGATACATATCTGCAGCTGAGTTGGAAAATTTTGCAGGAAATGGCACATCTGTCTCTAGTCTTTAGTTTGAGGACCAATTGAATTTAGAGAATGTGAAAGAAAACCAAAAAGAGGGGTTTCTGGTATTTTTCTGTATGTTCCCATTCACAAAGTGAGATATCATCATTCACTAAGATCATGTGCTAGATTTCTTCATCTTCCCATGTAACATGGTTAGATTTTTTAAAAAAAAAAAATGAAAAGAAAGAAGATAATTTTTCTTTTATAAGAAAAACGATATAAACTCTTGGAATCTACTACTCCATGCCAAACTTACTGATGTAGAATGTTTGCTGAATATAAATAATATCACACCAAGTAGTTTTGATGGTTAAGGAAAAAAAAAAACAAAATGGTTATTGGAAATTACTATATTTTTATAACTAAGGCTGAAGCTAGCTAGAAGAGCTCCTCAATTAATTAGCTCCATATCCAAACCTTAGCGCCGAGGTTTCATACAGCAAAATGAAAACATTCTTAATTCTATAACAACGCGGCAGTTGCGTAGAGTAAAGGAAATTTCCGTACAATATGCAGATGCGGATTCTTTTGCAATAATGATGTTTGACAAAAATGTCGTACCAAAAGAATAAATAAAAAATACAGCAGTTATTTATTATATGAAGGGGAAGAAGCATGAAGAAATTGATGACAGTTAGAATTCACAATTTTAAATAGGGGAGTGAGTTGGAAATTTTGCAATAAATGGGGACACGTCTTTCGTCTTTTGTTGAAACCCAATCAAATGTTGGGAATATGAAGAAGAAATATTTGTAATGTGGAAATTATGAAGAAGAGAAAATGGAGGTGCATGATCTGCGTCTTCCATCATAATTTTGCATGATAGTAGTATCATTAAAATGGGTTTGTTAAGGTACTGTACTGTTTTTCGGGGATCCATTGAAATTAGAGCTCCCAATCATTTGGTACGACACTACTAGTCTAGCTGCTTATGAGCTTGCTTAATTAGTCGCAGTTCTACATTAAACTAATCCCAAGTGGATTTGGAATCGAATTCTTTCCCCCCCGGAAACGACTTATTGGGGATTAATTATATCTACGAGTGGAGGATTTATGCATAATAATGGAACTAGCTTCAATCCTGCAACATTACAAGATCAATCTCATGATCTGACTGTGTTTCGTGTTCGTTGAAAGAGATAAGACCGCTCAATGCATACAAAGAAATAAACTAACCATGTTTGTACGTTGTCATATAATAACATGGATGTACTCATTTCGTGTCAAAAATTGATGTATGATTTTTGGTTAAATTAAAATGTGCGACAAAAATATGACTTTTGTTTTAAGACGGGACTTCATAAATTGGTTGAGAGTGCCGCCTTAGCTAGTTTGCATGTGAGTAGGGTGTGGGTTACCGCAGATTAAGGAGGGGGGAGGTTATAGTCAGTGGAGGTGACACACTCTGAAGGAGCAGGAGTGAATCTTGGTGACCATAGTAACTAGCCTGGACTGAACTGGAAAGAGAGATTCAGGCTGATCTTAATAAATCTCTTTCGTGACCTCCAATCATTAGTACTTCTATTTCCCTAATCATACTATTCAATCATTAGCCCTAAACTAAATTAACTATACCGCGTCGCCGTCGTACGTTACTCGTTTGCAACTACAACAAGCAATTATATATTCCAACTACAAACTCATTAGAGCTGCGAGCATATGCATATTCTGAAGAATCAATGCAGGGTCAAACATGGAAATAATTACGATATTACCTACATACATTTCAAAGTTTATGTATATACATATTGATTTCCTCATTATTATTTTCCACAAGTAAACGATTAAACGAATCATTTTAATTTCTAGCTACCTGGTCAAATATTTTTCACCAAACTGGCTCTGACAACAAATTTTTACGTGCATGAACTGAATCTTAGGGTTCGGATAGACAGCCAGCTGAGGTAAATTATACTTTCTTGTTGGCGTTTTTCGTATCCTGGGAGTCTACACATATTATTTTGTGAGTTAATGTAAGAAGCCTTTGCATTGTTTCAATAACGTAAAACAGTCTCGTAATGTTAAAAGGAAAACAAAAGGGAAAAGGAGGTAAAAAAAAAAAAAAACAAACTTCTTCAATGGTGAAGAGGATATATTTTACTATATTAGAAACAAAAACCACACTTAAGAGAAATCACCATTATTTGCTATGTGACATTTTCACATCATATTTTTAAAATAAATTTTTATTTACACATCAGTTTTCTAGACTTAAAAGTCAAATGCAGTCCAAATCCACCACTACCTCTTATTTTCGCCAAAAAAAAAAACACGGCTTCTTAAAAAACACAAATCCTCATCTCTATCTCCACGACAATCGACTCCCTAATCAATCCCTTCTCCATAATAAAAAAAAAAAACAAATTCCTCATCATTAATCATCAATTGAGAATATACGGTAATTATACTTCTTTCCTGTTAACATGTTTAATCTTTTCATTAGTGATGATCAACTACATCTTAATCTGATAAAATTTCGACTTCAAAAAATATTCTCTTTACCTCTCTATATAAACACAAAGGAAAAATAAAATTCTCATTGATGTTACTTTCGGCCCTTGTGGTGGTGCCATTACAGATATTAAAATTTAAATGATTTTATATCCACAGATCATTTGTACGGCTTTTATTATTTTTTATTTTTCCCGTTCAAGAATAGTGTTATTACTATTATTTTTATGCGTCCACCCTTTACAGCTACCATAGCCGTTGCCAGTTAATATGATGTGATTTCTAATATGGTTAGTTACCTTAGAATTTTTGTATGATTTTAGTTCTGTTTGAATTGAATTGATCAATTGGGTTTTTGTTACAAGGTGTGGTTTTTTTTAATTTTCTTTTTTATGTTTTAATTTTTCAGTTTTTTTGGTATATGGTCAGTTATGAATTGTGTTTTTTCTTTGTTTAATTGCTTTTGATTTTGTTTCATACTCCCACTTGACCAATTATTATTATTATTATTATTATTATTATTATTATTATTATTGCAAAAGAAGCGCGTTTTTTTTTGTGTTCGGGCTTTCAAGAATGTACTTTTTTGAATTTAGTTTTTGGACTTTTTTGAATTCCTCATCATATAAATAGTTCAGATCGCTTCCTCTAACTAATTTATGGGGAAGCCTTTTATAAATTTGAGGTGGAGAGGGAAGGAATGATGTTTCTACGTTTATTTGTGTTTTAATACATCATTTTTACCTACAGGAAAAAAAAAATTCTCAATTTTTAATTGACTCTTTTAACTTACTTTTTTTTTATTTGTCATAATGAGGTGAGTTCTTTTTTGCTATAACTTGAAACCTATGCAAATTTACATTAATTTTCATTCTCATATTTGTGATCAACCAGTTTTAACAATTAACCAGTTTCAAAATCATATTTTTGATATTTTACTAGCTATAAATCTTTGGAAGAAACATTTCTAATAATTAAATGTATACCCTTCGGAGGAAGTTTACTACAAAGCTATTATAAATCTCCAAAACTAAGTATTGATTTGGCACGAAAAATGAAAAACATCAATAAATCATCTTACTAATATTTAAACTTATTAGATGCTTTTATATTTTGTCTAACATTTACTTCAAGACTTATACTTGATCAAGTTTATTTATATTTAATAAGTAACCCTTATAA